CTCTGGTTATCCCTGGAACAGGCACACTAGATGAGTTTCAGCTTCCTGCAATTAAATGAAGTCCTGAAACTAGGTTCAAGGGGTGTTCTTCAAGGGCTAGGGGAAGGTGAGGAGTATAAGCTACTGACACTTTAAGGCAGGAAACTGAAAATGATAAGGAAACTGAAGATGAATGGCTTCCTGGCTAAATGACAGTACACTGAAGAAGATACAGTTCTTATCTGAATCAGAAACTTTCCACCAATACCACAGAATGCCTTGTTCAATCTATCACTTTCCTCTCATTTCTGAACTGTTGGGATAGATCATTACATTCATGGAGTGCTAAGCACCAACTCTCTCCCCATCAATTCCACCATTTTTTGCTGTGATGTATTTAATACCTTGACCAAGATCTGTTCATGGATCAGTGGACCTTGCAGCATTACTCCAACAGTAATGTCCTGCCGCAATTTTCATAATGGGACCTACAAGTCAATTCCAGGTCTTTCAAATCTAAATAAAGTATACAGTAGGGAAATGTGCAGCATCTTGGATAATACCAGAAGCTACTGGCTTTTTAGTTAACCTACCTCGAAGAGGCCTTCTTTAAGCCACTTCCAGTTATTAGATCAGAAGTGAGTTTAATAAGTATACAAGTAATACTACATAATATTCTACCATGCGTAAATAGATGTTCTTTCAAAATTGCACTTAAAATCAATACATTTTAGGCTCCCCCCTCCCCCAAATCATCATTGACTCAGCAACAAGAAAGGACTCAATGAAATGTTTTGATGATATTTCAAGCTATACAGATCAAAAGGTTAAGCCTTTTCCTTGTGCCTGAGTGGTATGATTAACCTTGTTAGAAAGTCAGGTAGGCAAGACTGGTTTGAAGGGAAAACTCTGATGCTTTCCACCATCATCACTGTATCTGATTTACTGGGAGAAAACTGCTTAACCAGACACCAAATAGAATGTCTGCAGGTCCAGTTTAAGATTGACTTGGGACAGAGACATACAGTTTCTGAAAGCTGAAAGTGGTTTGGGAGAACCTTCACTGCACACACACACACACACACACACACACACACACACACTCATCTTCCTGCAGCTTGTCTCATGAAAGTCAGATTTTGGAAACAAACGCTGGGATCCCTAACATGGTACCCATGATCTCTAATATGTTGTGGGTGCATTCCTTGGTGCCAACCAAGCTCCCTGCCCCTTTTCTTATTAAACATTTTTGCCAGATTTTTAAAAATCAAATGTTCTAACTGGGACTCTAAGATCCTATGAATGGATATGTTAGAAGCCTGTACCATTTTTATTTCCAGTTCAGCCTCTGGGCAGCTGCAGCTCAGCACTTTTTCCCCTGCTACCCAGAAAAAGAGGCTTGCATAGTAGGGTGTGTCTGTGTTCTGTCTATGGCATGCATGTGTCTGTGTGGCCTGGTTGTTTGTTTGCTTGATTTTGGTGGGCATATTATTGTTCCTGAGCATTAGATTTTAAGGGTATTCCCATGTTACCTATTTTTGTAAAGAAGGAATGTATTTACTATAAATAGTGCTCCCTCTTTCAAATCACCCTCTGCTTTCTAAAAAATTATAGTCTGTTCTTATCGCTGCTCTTATATGAGTAATATGGGAATGCTATCAGAGTTCTAGTGTCTCTTTAGAAAAAGATTTAGATTTGTTTTCCATTGGCAACAAGGCAATTAAGGAGGACAGTGCTCTATGTTAGGGAAAGAGGTCATGAAAAAGCAGGAGAAATGCCATTTTCAATATCAGTATGTTGCTATGCACAGGTCACATGCACCACTCACAACCTAATTAGTTTAAAACCTCAGACTAAGGATGCCATAACTCCAAAACAATCAAGAAGCTTGCAAAGTTTTAGAAAAGAGTGATGAAAGTGATTGAGGAACACTTTCTTTACGAGGATATGTTGAAGGGGGGCTTAGAAGTGATACTAAGTGAGGAGGACATGCCGTATTTCCCCAAAAAGAAGATGTAACCAGAAAATAAGCCCTAGCATAATTTTTCAGAATGCTCAAAATATAAGCCCTACCCCCAAAATAAGCCCCAGTTAAGATAGTCAGTAAGACAGACAGCGAAACACAGTGGTACATCCGTTGCAACACACAATGGACATATTTAATTAAAAATGATGTTAATATTAAATATAAACAAATAATAGTATTGAGATTAATACTTAAAATAAATTATAATATGCATTATATTTAAGTATTTGTAAATAGTCAAGCGGGCGCCTTTGGATGAGAGGTAAACGCCTATGTAAACTGATGAACTCGAGACTCATTGCCGAATGACCGATTGGAGTCCAGACACAACACATGAATAATGTGCACACTTGATAATGAACAGACGTGTTTCATAATTCAATACATCGTGTGTTGTAAAGGTAGGTTGCTTACCTGTAACTGTCATTCTTCGAGTGGCCATCTGTGCATCACACATATGGGTGCTACACCTGCACAGTGCCTAAGGCCAGAAAGATTACAAAGCTAACAATTTTTGGCGGGAAAACTCCGCTCCCCTCCCATTCAATGATATAAATGGAGTGGAGTGTCCGCCATTCTCTCAGTCTATTGAAGACCAGACGTTCGCCCTCTCGCGGGAGTGAGAGATATTACAATAAATTCCGTAGGGACCATGAATATCAGGATAAGAACATGGTCCTGAATAAGAATCCACTCACTGACACCAAGCGGGACTGGCGGGTGGGTTGTGTGAATGCACAGATGGCCACTCGAAGAACGACAGTTACAGGTAAGCAACCTGCCTTTCTTCGTCATGGCCTCTGTGCATCACACATATGGGTGACTGACACGCTTACCAGAGTCGGAGGAGGGCAGTGTCGTCATCGAAGGACAGTGCAGAGGACTGCCCTGCCAAAGGAACAGTCCTGTCTTGCAAGCATATCAAGGCGATAATGCCTGGCAAAAGTGCACAGGGCAGCCCATGTTGCAGCTTTATAGATGTCCTGAATTGGGATTCCTGCAGCAAAGGCAGAGGAAGCTGCTACCGCTCTCATTGAATGACCTCTCGAAACAACAAGTAAGTCAATTTTGGCAAGTTGATATGCCAACTCAATTGTCTGAACAATCCATTTTGAAAGCCTCTGTGAAGACACAGGGGAGCCTCTGTCATGTTCAGAATACTTCACAAAGAGGCGGTTAGATTTTCGAAGAGATTCTGTACGCGATCTGTAAAAGGCTAAGCAACGGCGCACATTGAGGGCATGCAGCAATCTTTCAATCAGATTCGAGGGCGATGGAAAGAAGGCAGGCAGAACAATGTCCTGACTGATATGAAATGGAGTAACTACTTTGGGCAAAAACGACGAATCAGTATGAAGAACAACTTTCTCTTTATGGAAGTTCAAATAAGGGGGATCTACTCGAAGAGCACAAGGCTCACTAGCTCTTCGGGCTGATGTGATGGCTACAAGGAAGGCAGTCTTCCAGGACAGAATACGTAAGTCAATAGTTGCCAGAGGTTCGAAGGGGGCTCTGGTGAGTGCCTGAAGTACAACTGAGAGGCTCCAAGTAGGCATGACAGGACGAATTGGTGGATGGAGATTCTGTAGTCCTTTAATGAATCTTCTAACTGCTTGAGAAAAGACCGATAATGAACACTCATGCCAGGTCTCTTCGCTGGTCCGGTAGGGAAGCAGTGATGTTGTCAAGCTTCTGCATATGGAAGTATTGGTACCGGGCCAGTGTTGCTTCATAGTTGGAGATACGAAGGCCAAGTCCAGAAGCCATGTAAATTCACTGCGCCAACATATCAATTTTCCAACCCTCATTGCGAGGGGCAGTATGGCCCCTCGACTCTCGTCCTTGGGAAGATTCCACCACTACCGAGTTCGGTTTTGGGTGATGCAGGAGAAATGGTATGTCCTGCTCCCAGACTTGGTACATTGCCTCATAACGACGTGACATAGACTGGGGTTGAGTCAGTAGGTCCCAAGGTTGCACCATAGCTTGACGGAGGGTCGTTATCAGAGGCAGGATGATGGCAGCAGATTGTTCACCCTCAGAATATCATAAAACTTATCGGTGCTAGGGTCGATACGATGTTGGGCTTCGATCTCTAGCGACCGGACAAGTCTTGCCATCAGTTCTCTGAAGATGACATGAGGTTCCTCCGGCGATCCCGGCCCAAGTTGTAATGGCTACATTGGGCGAGGTCGACGCCACCTCGGATTCGTCTGAATCAGTCCTGTATTGCAGTGGTCCACTGGAAGAGGAATTCGCTGGCAAGGTGGGGTGTCCCAATCTCATCTGCCTGGAGGTAGACAGAGCCCCTCTTGGTACCAGGGAAAGCGTACGGTCCTGAGCCAACGGATAGTAGGCATAGGAAGGGTAGTCATCCCAACCTCCACGATGACTGCCCTAACGGGGCTGGTCCCATACCTCCAGGAGTTGGTCTGAGAAGTGACGTAGGTGACATGGTTGATGGGAGATAGGTTCCGCGGTTGGCCCAGGATACGGCATCATTGTTGGAGAACGAGCTGCCGGCGGAGAATCACAAATCTCCCCATCGGAGATGGATTCATGCAACGGCACCTCAGGTCGCTCGGGGGACGAATGCACTGAGTTAAGACCTGTCTAGGGGACCCTGGTGGAGTCACCTGCATGGCAATCTGCAGGGACGGGCCCGTTGGCGTCAGTGCTGTCACAGCCATCAGGACCGATGGTACAGATGAACCCGAATCATGGTGTCAGACTTGATTGGGTTTCCTAGGCTTGTGGGCCATCTTATCCAACTTATCCTTCTTTGGCTTTTTATGGCCAGAGGATTTCTCAGATCCGCCATGTTTCCTCTTCTCCTTTTGCTTGTGAGGAGGAGAAGGAGGTTGTTGTGCCTGCATAACCAGGGCACCATCAGCCGATGGGCGCGGTGGAGGCGTGGCGGAAGCAGAAGCAGGCTTAGCGGCCAGTTGGTCGGATTGCATGAGGGCCTGGTCCCACAGCATTTTCCTCAGGCGGTTCTCACAGTTTTTGCGCGCCTGTTTAGTAAAGGCCTGACAATGGCCGCATTTGTCGGTTCTGTGTCTCTCGCCCAAGTGTGGGTCGGTGAGTGACATCTTTGACCCGCACTGTGAACATTTGCGGAAAGCCGCCCGCTGCGCCATCGCGAAAGAAGAAATAAGAAGGAGGAGATAGTAAAGAGGGAAAGATTTTTTTTTTGTTTTTGGTTTGTTTGGTTTTTTTTTTAGAAAGTTGAAGAGTAAATGGGGAAACTCGAACGGGAATGAAAAAACTTGGAGATAAGAGATAACAACTAGCAACAAGGAACAAGATAGCAACTAAGATCAATACAGCGAGAGATAAAGGCTCGAGGCACAGTGAACGGCAGTTGCAAAAGACTGAGAAAATGGTGGACACTCCGCTCCATTTATATCGTTGAGGGGGAGGGGAACAGAGTTTTCCCGCCAAAAACCGTTAGCTTTGTAATCTTTCCAGCCTTAGGCACTGCACAGGCACAGCACCCATATGTGCGATGCAGAGGCCATGATGAAGAACAGATGTACTTAATGCGCTCATGTGTTGCCACTCCTGTCTTGTAAGTCTTCAATTAACACTTGATTTAATGGTAGATTTAAAGGGAATAATAGTTTGACCCCCAGCCAAGATGAGTGCAAAAAGAAAGAGCTATTCCATTGAGTACAAGAAAGGAATCATGGAGGACTCTAAGGCTTTTATGGCTTTTGTAAGGAAAAAAATAAGACATTACCTGAAAATAAGCCCGAATGCGTCTTTTGGAGCAAAAAATATAAGACCCGGTCTTATTTTTGGGGAAACACGGTATTAGATGTATAGAAAAGTATAAACCATGTACAGAAGAGATAAATTTTTCAGCATCTCTCAATTTACAAAATTCACTTACCAGTTTGAGCAAGTCAATTAATTTGTGAACATCTTCTCCAGTGGAAAGATCTACAAAATCTTTGGGTAGTCTGTAGCTGAGATAGGGGCTGGGTTGGACAGTAAGGTTGCTGTTCGTACAACGGAATGCTGGGTAGTCCTAATTTGAAAGGGTGGAAGGATAAGGAAAAATGTCAGCTTGTTTAACCTCAGTTTGGTATGCTGTTTAGGTAGCCTGACAATGCTGTCAGGAATATGATCAAAACATTATAATGGAGAATCTATTCACTCAGGCAGTTCCACTTTTCTCAATGGCTTTTAAAATGCACTTCGATTACAAATTTTGTTACCCATACATTGTGTTAAGACAATCAAAAAAAATTCAGAGTAGTTGAATATTTCTAGGGGGCAGAATGTGAATGTGCCCTGGGCAACAATAGAATTTCCCAGAAGACCATTTTCAGAGCAGAGTCAAACAAGATGGCCTGCTGGCAGGCTCTACTAGCACAAATGCAACTCCCTTCACACTTTCAACTGCCAATGTGGAGGGCATGGTCCATGGCCCAGGAGCTTCAGTTGCCATCTTCTACTATAATTGAGAATCAACATTTTCAGTGTCTGAGCACATAAATATTAACAGTGAATAGAAGTAAGAAATACTGACAATTCTGTGAGATGGAGGAACCAAAATGATGAACAAAGCAAACACTGTGAGGAAATGAAACGTTAAATGTACAAAGAGCAAGTTTATAAATTAAGATGAGTTAAAGCAGGTGTAACATTACTCTTCAAGAATAATGTTGAATCAGAGGATGTTTTGTCTGGAAGATGCAATAAACTTCAGAAATATGACTAGCTTGTGAAAGCAGGGCTGTCGCTCTGAATGCCTTCTTCAAATTAAGCTTGCTTTTCATTTTCCATTCACCAGCCAGCTCCCTGCATTTCAGAAGTGTAGCATACATATGCAGCCGATGAACAAAGACAAGGCACCAAGGATAAACCCTTTTACTCCTGCTGTTCCAATATTCCAGAAAAAACAAGGGCCAGTTTTATAGTAGCCTGCAAGGGCAAAAATTTGGGAGACTTCCACGAGTTTTTCTTACTTGCTCCATGGCTGCAGCTTCACTTTGGTCTTCTTTCAAACTGTTTCCTGATCTCAGTTCTTCCCATGTAAACAGCAGAGAATCTGTCACTTCACCAAATGGATTAAAGTCAATAAGCCACACTCTCCCCTGCAAGAGAAAAATGGTAGAGACAAAACAGAAATCTGTTCATCTAGATGACATGCAGAAAAGCTTTGGAATGCTATATGAACAAACATGCTTACTACAAACATTCATGTGACTGTCTTTATACATTTATTTATGAATGTATCCATTTCTATACTGCCTAAGAACTGAAGCTCTCTGGGCAATTAACAGTTTATACACACTATTAACATACAATCAAAATACGACTACAATAAAAACAGGGTATAAAAATTCAGTACATGCCCAGTCTTTGAAAAATTGGGCTTGATGACATTTATTCATAGGCTCACCATAATTTGGAGATGTCTTGACAGCACGTAACAACAGCAAATGATCAGTTAAGTGGCCCTGTATTTGAAAGGGTTTCCAGCTCAACACTGAACATGCAAGAGAAGCAAGACCATCTGCAATGGAGAAGGAAGGTTTCTGTCTCTTGGAGCTGGGTAAGATGAAATCAGAATGGTCTGGCTGAGTGGGCCACTCTAGACCATCCATAATAAAATCGCAGCTAGAATATTCACACATGCTGGAAAGAAGCTTTAAAAAGCCTGTTACTAATTGCTGTGATAGCTTTATGATTGTACAATGGCAGTTCATTTTTATGGAAGAGTAGTACAGAATTTACTAAAATGAAATATTGTTTTGCCAAGGAGGAGATGATAATCTAAAATATATTTCTGCCCAATCATTTAGGAAGCATCAGAATTTGGTCAGAACAAAACTAATAAAACATTTCCAACCAAAATGTTCACTTACCATGCTGTCTCTGTAGACATCAAACACAACTGGAAAGACACCAAACAGAAGTGGGGGAGGAGATAAGAGGGAAAGTTAGGATCTTTCTTGAATGTATAGAAAAGCTGTAGCCATACACAGCAGTAGTTAACCACACACTATAAGCGGTATTTTAGCACTAAAAATAAAGATACAGGAAAGGGCTATCACACTGATCAAGGAATAGGAACACCTCCGTTATGACAAAAAGCTAAAATGGTCCAGGCTTTTTAATTTAAGAGAAAAATGACTCAAAAGGTGAGCACGATTCAGAATCGTTTGAAAAGAATGTTTCACTCATAACATTTGAACAAAGAATCAGCCAACTAAATTGACTGGAAGACGGTTCAGAATGCATGAAGTACATAGTACATGGATACACTGATCTATGGAATTTGCTGCCACAAAATGCAGTAAATGCGATGAGGTTAGATAGCATTGCAAAGTATCAGTCAAATTTATGGATAAGGTTTATCCTTTCATATTAGTTATGACAGCTACATGGAAATACTTACTGCCTAGTAAATCTAGTATGCCTATGTTATACATGGTTAAATCTGCATACTTTTTGCCTGCCTCTGAGTATGCCAACATTTCTCTGCCATTTAATGAAGTTAGAATCTTTTGGTTACTGACTCACTGACCACATATACTACATAAAGAGCTTTCTTTCAAGAAACTGTTCTCGAGCACAATGTTTCTAATTTTGGGGTAAGAAATCTGAATTCACTGAGTTCAGACTGTGTTTTCTAATGTAGCCCATTAAACCATACTTCTATATAAGCTCTACTTCTTTAGCTGTGTGGCTAAAATGAATGCTATGGAATCACTAGGTATCTTACAAGCCACACAAGGCAACAATAGGTTCTATTCTAACATATACTTTAGGCGCATTGTAACATAATCAATATAATCTTCCACAATTCAGTGTTTGAAAGAAAAGATCATTGCAAGCTGCAAACACTGTCTGTGGAGATAAAAGATAAAGGATTTTTATCTGTATCTGTGGAACACTTTTTCTTACAGTTACTATAAAAAACAATTTTTCAATTCCTTCTCCAAGCATAAGAACTAAAGCATAACATTTTAATGCATTCATGTGTGCTCATACATATACACTAGTTTGCAAATAATGTCAATTCCTAGGTATAAGTCAATAATTCTTATGGCTGAGAGCAAGCACAAGAATGTGGTGTCTTCTGCATGCTTGTCACTTCCATTTTCAACCAACAATGAAGGAATGTTCCTGGGTTATTACTATGATATTCAGCCTTTGCAACTGTGAAACTATGGGCTGTTTAGGGTGTTAAAACCCAGAGTTTTAACCCAGCAACAAATCATGATTGATTGCTGAGTAAACTCTGAACTGTTTAACCCATAAACAGCCCAGAGTTCTGGGTCAGGATATCACAACTACCGAGGAATATTCCTTGTTAACTGAAAGCAGAAACGATGAGCACTCAAGAGTTGTTGCCACATGTCAGCCAGAGTTGGATGAGTTGATTTTTACTTCCACTGCAGTTATTAGTACAGCTATTTATAGTGGGTCTATATAGTTTTACTGATACCTATAACTGGTATCTGTATTGCCCTGAAGGCTTCTCTGACACTAAAAGGACAATAAAAGAGGTTAACATTAATATTATTGCCCATCCATCCCATCATCTTAGGAGGCTCAAAATTTTTCAGGAGGCTGAAAAAATCCTCAATTCCTAAAGTCGTATAAACTCCTAAATTCTGAAATCATTTAAAGTTAGCTGACTTAAATATCATTATTTTAGTAAAGAGTATAATTTGTCCGACGTTATTTTTTATTTAGCAAAATACTATTTGTTTCTGATAAAGAACAAATGAGGAGTCTACTCCGTTTTCACAATTTTCTGTTCTTCAGGATTGACATCAGAATTCTACTCATCAAGTGCTGAATCAATCTTGGGCTATGATTCTCACTTTGGCAAACTTTATAGGCACTTGGGAAAGAAATGCATGTAAACCAAGAAAAGAGTTTGACATTCCTGAGGAAACTTCTCTTGAGCATATTTTTAAAAAGAAGCCAATTTGAAACTAAAAAACAGATTGCCTGTTGAATTACCTGAGTGGCTCTCAGTGAAATTTCTAAGATAAACTGTGGCTATCAGTAAGATTCCATTCCCAACACCACACCACACCACTTTGTATGTGGTCCTAGGTGAGCAAGACTAGTCCCAGCTATTTTTAGCAGAAACCATCAGGCAAATCAATCAGGGAAGAGCATCTGGCACGTCAATCCTCCAGAACTATTTTCAAGAGAACCATTATCTTTCAAAAATCACCTATTGCTTCCCAATGTTAAAAGAGTACTTACAGTCTTCATTAAAAAATTTATACTGTATGTGTTTCTGGAAGAACTCCTGTATACATCTACAAATCTCTTCTTTCTGTTTAGAGATGTGCTCATAGTATTGAGTGTAGTCTCGCTGGGATATACCTGTCAAAGGAAGTATAATCATTCATCCATTGCTACAGTAAGATTAAAATAGAATGTGAGATGGTTGGTAGAACATGACCAAGTTCTCTAAATATGCTTGCTGTAATAGTTCCGATAGGTAAAAAGAGAGGAGTGCTCACTGTTTTTTTCTTTTCTTTGCTTACCTTCACAGAAGCTTCTGGTCAGATTTTTGAAAACAGATTCCACTGAATGCAAGTTGGCTTTTTTTCCAAATAGTATCTCCTTTATAAAGGTCTAAAGTTTAGACTCTAAACTGTGTTTCAGACTGCTGCTAGAGTAGCATGCAAATAATCATGTGTACTAAGATTACCCTACACCTACTTAAAATCTTTCAGGAATAATTCAGGAACACAGCATTTGATTAGAATGGTATACCAAAGTCAAGGCTATTTCTGTATTACACATCCTGTCTCTTTTTATAGCAATCCAGAGAAATCACAGAATTAAATTCAGCAAGCCTTATAGGCAGACAGGGCCTCATTTGGACACAAACCCTACAGAATTTCACACTACCCTGATAATGCAAGCAAGCAGTTTTACCTTTTTGTCATGACTGCAAATAAGCAGCTCAAAATAACATTTTAGTCTAACGGCCTTGTGAGATTGAATGACTTCACTGTCTTTTAACCAGAGAATTTCAAATCCAATATACTAGCTGGTCCAGTTGTTTCTGCCTCTCTTTATCCAAGTATAGGTATGAAATCTCTATTTGAAGAAAGCATGTAGTTGGCATCAGTTCAAACTCCACAGTCTACCAAGAAAATTGCACTGATGAAGCAGACAGTTATGATTGTGACATTTTCCCACCCTCTGGCAGGGAAGAATAAACATCCATTGACGTGCGGCAGCAGTTATATATGTTCCCATGATGCATTTCTCCATTTCTACATCACGACCTTTCCCAACCTGGTACCTTCCAGATAAATTGGGGGGATTATGGGAGTTGTAGTCCAGCACACCTGGAAGGAGCCAAGTTAGGGAAGGGTAATGTATGCTTCAGTAGAAACAGAAATGCTCTAGGCAGCATGCCTAATTTTCTTTGCTCAGTGTCAAAGTGAGAATGTACACAACTGAAGACATCAAGAAGTTGACTTTTTAAAACTTGTTGATGTCTTCAGTTGTGATGCAGGCCCTGAGATCTCAGAGACATGGCAAGTTGGAACTAAAAATAAGTAACTCTGAAGATACATAGATAAGATAGGACCACAGAAAATGCAGATTTATCAAGTTAAAAATCCACCACTGCTTTGTGCCCGTATTCCATATTATGTACAGTAAAACATTGCTGGTACATTTATATTTTGAGTTTTCAGGCTTTGTAATTGTGAACTGCTTCAAGCATTAATGTATATTGAAAATACAAATAAAGTTATTATTTATGAGCAACAACAGCACTGCCAAAGCAGTCATGGCCATATTACATTTCCTGCATAGAAAAGATACAGTGACAGCTCAGCTCATAAACGCCTCAGTTCACGACCAAATTGGGTCGTGAACAGAAATTTCAGAAAAATTTTGCCTCAGGTTGCAAACTCCGCGGGTGCAATGGCAGTCATGCTTGCGGGGGGATGGCTGTGATCCGTGTTCAGGGGGCTGGGGGAGACGGCTGCTATTGTACCCATCTTCCCTGCACAAGTGCAACTATGATCGTGCCTGTCTGTGGCCGCAATTGTGGTCGTGCAGGGAACATGGGCGTGATCACGGTCGCGCTGGGCGGGGGGAGATGGCCACGATCATGCTTGGGGGATGGGGGAGATGGCCACAATTGTGCCTGTCTATGGCTGCGATCACGGTCACACCTGGGGGAAAGATGGCCGCAATTGCACAGGCACAGGGAACACAGGCACAATCGCAGTCGTGCTGGGGGACAGATGGCCGCAATCGTGGGGTGGGGGGGGAGATAGCTGTGATCTTTGTTCTTTGTCACTTTGCTTCAAATTTTTGTGATTAAAAAAAAAAAGTTACAGAACGAATTAACCTTATTTACATTGAACCATATGGGGAAATTTGACTTGGCTTACGATGAATTTGGGTCGTGACCAGAGTTGTGGAACGGATTAAGTTCGTGAGCCAAGGTACCACTGTATATGAAAGGCAACCATGAGAAACAGCATTGAATGGAAGAATCCTTACTAGTAACCTCACCTATAAGTTTGTTTTCCTTCACAAAACATCTGAATTCTGCCCCAGGAATTAATTCACACCATTTTCGGAGTACAAGCTATTGAAGGAAAACAAAAGTAAAATACACAACAAAAAAAAAACCTGGATCACTGTTAATTAGCATCAAAGTACACATGCTCAATGTCAGCAGTAATTATATTTTAAAAAACAGTTTTAAACAAGAGGACTGTTTTAGTTTGTGCAATTATCTCAGCAAACCAGCCAAGAAGCTAAAAAGTTCAAGTGTGATTGTTAGCACATTTTATTTGCAAGAAACACTTGACTAATATGCAAATCTTCCTTTTGCCTCTATTAAGAACCAATTTCCCTTGCAGGAGAACCATTGAAGGTCCATCTAAAACAGCATCCTGCTTCCTATGCCTACCAGCCAGACATCTCTGCAAGTTCAGAAATATGAACATCTATATGAAGGCACTGAAGCCAGCCCGTATCAACTGGCCCCAGCAACAACTGACATTTGGACACAGAACAAGGGTAATTTAAATGAACAAATATTTTCACATGATGTGAGAAGGGGTGGTGCATTCTGCCCACTGCAACACACACATATACAGTTTACAAAAAACAAACCAAAACCAATCCATCTTTAAGTACTTCATACTCTGCCAAACAGCAGCAGCTAATTACTTCCCATCAGGGAGGGTTCATGCAAGGTAAAAATTAGATAATTTTGCACTGTCCTTTATGTTTAACCAGTGAAGTAGCTGATAAGTATTTCTTTCTTTCATTCTTTGTATAAAGAGACATGAAAGCACAGCCTTTGTGTTGCATTACTAGTTATTTCTACAGGCAAAAAAGCAGTCCAGAAAAAGAAGCTTCTTCTTACCTCATATTCCAAACTGGGGTCAGGGGAATCATCATTACAATGGATAAATCTGGGGGTGGGGGGAAGCACATGCATCAGCATTTCCTCCAGTATTTGCTTATATTTCAGAACAAGGCGTAAGAACATGTTAATCAAGAAGTTAAATCAATTGGTGGAAAAGATCATTAAAATCTCCACCTTGTCCATTAACTGTACAAAGCAATAAGCTACTTCAATCCTATAATGCTCCACCAAAATCAATAGACTCAAGTTCAGCTAATATTTAAGTGCAATCTTGTTGATGTTTAGTCAGACATAACCCCCATCAAGTTCAGTTGGATTTACTCCCAATTTAGTGCTGACAGGATTGCAATCTTAGTCTAAATCCCATGCAATAGGCTTATCAACAAGGTTGTGCACATCTTCTAAGGTACAAGATTAGCACGAAAGGGGAAATATTTATTAGACTTAATGCTTAATATTCAGCCTCTCCAGGAACAAACATTATTTTGGGCTCAGAAAATGCAGTTTCCATCTTTTCTTCCCATTCCTTGCTAAGCTAGCTTGTTCACTGTACCTTGTATGGAACGTGGTTAGACAAGTTTCATTGGCACCTAATGGACAGTACTTATGACATCTAAATTGACTCTCCAGCAATGGAGTTGTCCTTCATTTCAATGCAGCATAATAATTATGCCTTTCTTGTTCTTCTTCAGATGAGCTAATATATGGTTCCCAGAGGGTTTTCAGTGGAGGCTACTTACAGAGTCAGACCTACTAAGGTTTAGCAGAAGTACAGCTTTAAGTGCCTCCAGAACTTATACTAAAAGTCAAAATTATTGTATTTCCATCCCAACTTTCTCCCATTGTGAAACTCAAGGTTCCCATTGTGAAACTCACATGCAGTTCCCAAGTGGTCTCCCCTGCATGCTCAGGCCAGCCCAAACCTGCTTAGCTTCAACATGGCGGGTGCCTTATGTGCCTTCAGACCATACTCTGGGTCTGAGCATACATTCAACTATACCTGGGCAGAAGGCAGATCTCCAGAAGTTTTGGATTTCAGCTTCAGGCATTCCTGACAAGTGGCCATGCTGGCAGTTGAAGTACCAAGCACCTGCAAATCCACCTTCTGCTCACCCCTGCAGAAGAACTATGCAATGACTATAAGCTGAAATCACCATACTAGAGGATCACACTGTGAAAATGTTATTCAGTTTGTAGTGTGAGATTCAGTCATCCAACAGCAGTAGCTTTTAATCCAAAATGAGAGAGCCCATTTCTGACCATATTTGTGGCAGAGCACTTTAAAAGGCAGATGCAGTGTCTGCTGAGGAAAATAAGACATCTTGTGAACACCAGTGTTGCCCTGTTTGTTTCTAGAAATCTGGTCCTTGCCCATATTCCAGAAGCAACATCTTTTCTTCTTTTTGTACTGCTCTGCTATTACACTAACTGGTTGCTGGGATAAAATGTGAGAAAATGTATGATGCTGAGTGTGTTAGAGATTACTGTAGTGTAGTAAGCCTGAGCAGCAGTATCAAAACAAAGGTAGAAATATGTCAGCAGAGATATTGAAAGAACAGATAGCTACGAGAATGACAGAATTTCCATCTCAGGAACAAAGGAAGCTGCCTTACAATGGTCCATCTGGCAGCATCTCTCCAGGCTTTTAGATAAGATTCTTTTCAACCAGGGACCTTTTGCACACCAAGCATGTGTTCTACCTCGGAACCCTGGTCCCTTCCCTTTCAGCACTGGAGATATGTTTTAAGAGATATTATTCACACCCAAAAACAGTAAGAACTTGCATTTTTAGAAACAATTAAAGCTAGCTGTTTATCTTGAAGAGCCTTTTTAATATTTTTCTTTCTAGATTTTGAGCAACTTCATTTCTAGATTTTGTGGTTACTTATTTCCCACTTGCTTAGCAGCAAATATCTCATTTATCAGGCATATGTTTTTCTGTCACTACTAACAATTCTACATTTTCTTTATATTATCACAGTAGCTGCAAATATTGCATTAAATTCTATCACTTTCAAAAAAAATACCATAAGAAAAAAAGTATTTCGAAATATAGCAGAACTAGTCTTATTTGCAATCAGCATGGCATTTAGTAAAGTGCACAGACTGATGACCACTGATTTAGTGCAGAACATTAACAGGAAATTAGGTAAGCATAGACTATTTTTAATTGAAAATACAGTCTCCATTACCTCTGTCAATCTCTTAATGGATTATCAAGAGAACAATCATGTATTTGAAAAAGATCAATTAAGATTGCAATGCTATACAGACTTACCTGGAAGTAAGTCCCATTGTACTCCATGGGACTTATGTCTAATGGATGTAAACAGGAGTTCACTGTTAATTTGTTAATACATAATTCATTAGAATGCCTTTCTAAAACTGTGAAAGCCAAGATAGGATAAAGAGGGCTCTCAGGCCATTTCCCATTCAGGTCAGTCTCAAACCTGCTTAATTAAATTAAAAGCAAAATTAAAGCATCATGTGCCTTCAATGCATCCCTGGGTCTGTGCAAAAATGTGTGTAAAATTTCAAAAAGGAACAAGAGAAACCTGAATGTGACCTGTTTGTCGTGACTAATTCCCCAGGGAAAACAAAGTTTTTCTGTTATCCATTGAAACCCTGAACAGCAGCAGCCTACACAGAGATAAAACTTTTTATGCAAGGCTGCCATCTGAAGGATGCTCAGCAGAAGTGCATTCCAGTTTGTATTTATCTTCACTATGATCTTTTGTTATGCAAAATCTCTTGATAAAAGCAGAAATATCTACCAGGAAAAATGTCCTTCTCAGCTGAATGCAAGTTCCCTAAGCTTTTAACTCTTGGGAACAGTTCAGGTTTCACTAATACGTCTGACCAAATAAAATCTAAGTCATTTTATAGGGCAATTTTTCAAAGAATAAAATTCTTGCAACATTGAAATTCCTGAAATGCCAAGTTCCAAAACTTTTGTGGGGGGTAGGCACAGGAATAGCTAGACTGAAAACACTGTTAGCTGATCTCACATCATTATTAATATTGAGCCACTCACATTTTCCAAGTGAAACAGGACCCTTATCTGCCAAGGAACTGAATATGACTCCTCTGTGGAATAAAGCTTGTTGTCACACCTAAATGTAAAACTACTATCTCAAACCAAATGCTTGTAACTCTTCTGTGACTCCTTGCCTATGATTTTGACAGAGTTTCAGATACTGAGCACTGGAGGTAGAAGCCTACACTTCCATGGAAGGTGCAGGTCTGGGTTGTCTGGCTGTAAGAGGGTGGTGCACTATTAAGCAAACTTTCTTTTGTGCATCTAGCAATGGCTCAGCGGATGAACATCCAGGGATGGGGCAAATATACGTTAACTCAACCACTGATGACATTAGTAGTGGGCCACAAACATGAGCAAGGAGATGGACTGAAGAATGTTGTCCACAAGGAAGTAAAGCAAGACGTTAATAAGGAGGTAGACGTGGCTGAAAATGTTGCTCAAGAGACATGTTGCCAAACTGTGCTAAATCCACTGAGTTCATACATTGTTCTAACCTGCAAGCAGCTCTCTAGTGAGCTGAATCCAAAATGGCCTGCAAGTTCCATCAGTTAAACCTTGCTCTGGACCATCAAATCTAGATGTTACTTCTACCTAAAGGTTGGGGGGACTGTCAAGCGTGTGAAGAGTGAACCATTGCTTTGTTTGGTAATTATCACCTGCTGTAAGATAATTGTAGAGCAGTCTTACGTACAAAAGTGACTGTATAAAAGCTTCAAGGGCAATGCACTTATAGCCAAATGAAACTGAAGGACATTTTATCTTCCTGCAGTGGCCTGAATTTTGGTTCTCAAGAACACTGTTTAACCTTTACACTGACCTGTGGCAGTGCTTACAGAGGCACACAAGATGTCTGGTCAGTGGGCATTCCCTGTTTACACTCCTGTTAACACAGGGATTAAAGCTAAGATATAAGGCTTGATGGACTAATGTAGCTCGTCAGAGAAACTATCTAGTGCCTTGGAACTGTCCAAGGCTGCAGATCCTATTCTTCTGCTCTACAACAAGGCCCCACTACTTCCAGTTGCTAGCCACCATGACTCCCTGTTACCTGCTCAAATGGAAAGGACTATAGCTCAGAGGCCAGCACATGGCTTTGCATATAGAGAGAAATACAAAAGGTCCAAGGTTCAGTCCCTAGAATATCCTGCTTGTTGTTGCTCTTATTATTTCTAAACATGTATCCACCACTTTATTTGGTAAAAAAGCATCAAAGATTTAAAATAATACAACTTTAACAAAGCAAAAACATTGAAAACAGTAAAATATTAAGGGCACAAGCCTATGGCTGCTACATGGAGTCTAGGCAGTCATACAAGTCTCAACTTTGACCTTGGAATTTAGCTCTGAACTTCCCCTTGCACTCAGCTCACAGCTAGCATAGGATAAATTGCACCAGCTGCAACTCTGTGGTTGTAAGAGTGACCTCAGAGAGGGAGTTCTGTGATTGTCTGGGGCGGGGAGACAGGTGCCAGCACAATTCCAAGTATCCTGGTGGCACCTCAATAGTCTTCCCTCATGTTCTGAGTCAACACACTTAGACAGATGAAATTGGATGGTAAGTTTTCCAGGACAGGAGCAGTACAGAGGCAGCCTTCATCTTTCCACTCTTCCCTGCCCTGCATGGGAAAACAGTAATCTTTTGAGTCCAAAGGGTTACAGGCAGTCTGACTGGATTGCACTGCCCAACACCTGCATAATTTTAAAGTCCAGTTAAAAGGATCAGGTAGCAGGAGATACAAAGTACCTCTGCATGAGATACTGGAAAGCAGCTGACAATCAGAATGAGCTAGATGGATCATGAGTCTGACTTGGAAGAAGACAGCTTCCTGCATCTCTCAAAGGATTACAGCCCATCCTCAAAAGAACAAGGGAAGAGCCATGCTGGATTTTTACTTAGCATTTGTGGCACGCCACCTGCTGTAAAAGAATAGGCCTACTCCCTGTGTGAAATGGCTTAAGGTGACTTGGCATGAAGAACTTATTCCCACACTGGTACTTTATGTAGAAAAGCTGCAGAAACACCATTACATATGGTTGTCTACATGTCCTCAAAGAGGACTGACATAGCAATGCAGATCAGTCAATGTATGAATAGCAATGGACAAATAAGAGCGTGTATTTCTTGATTTCTAACTCAATGGTGAATGAGACTGTGCTAAACAAAACAAAAACATCTTGCAATTTATTATGCAGTGAAATAATAACCATCAGCAAATCTACTTTAGTATATGTTCCTTTAGAACTGTCAAATTGCAGAACTTTCTCCATACAAAACTTTCTTTTTCCTCCTTAAAAAACCCCTATAAACCTATTCAAGTAACAAAAGAAATCATATAGCCATGCGAACACCTGTTCCGCATTTTCCTTCTGCATAACAATCACATTTCTAATATTCTCTCACCAGGGGTTATGAAACCCAGTCAATCTCATTTAATGAAGACAGTCTTGTGGTTCAGCAGGTCTAGTTACTTCAGACTCTGCCTAGATACACTCATATGAGTTTGGAATTGTTGTGATAAAAACAAAACCAAATTTCCTGCTAATTATTTCAATCCCAAATGTTTTAATTAGTTAAGAGGCAACACTTTGTAGGCGCTATATAGACACAGACGCTAATACTTAAGTGGAATCATTGTTCAGTTTTGCATCCCCAGGAAGCACTTCTGGGAAGGGCTATTCCTGGCATACCAATGAAGTAAAGAACAGCTTTTCAATGAAAAGCTACTTCTTGCTTTTCTGAAAATGGCCTCACAGCCTAAGGGGTGTGCCAACATTCCCCATCTGAAGGTTTGGATCACTTATTGTACAAGCTTTTCTAGATGGAACAGACAAACAAGTCTGTTGGAACGGACCAACAAAGAAATAAACTAAGCTCCCACAGCCAAGCAATCCATCCCATGTGTAGCCTTTTTTGCTTAGTTCTGGAATGTTTGCTTGGTTATGAGCAAAAGATCATGTCCTGAATCATGTCCATTAAATGTAAGGATATCATAACCAGCTTGGCATGCCTGCAAAATTTCAGCTCACTGAGCTAGATACCTATAGGTATGCCAATCACATCCTCTGTTTGAAGAAGAAATGTACAAATACCTTGTTTTCTAGAAATAATGGTGTCTTTGACAACATGGCACCAATTGTACAGCATATAACTGAATATGAAGTTTATTACATAAAATGTAGAAATGGCCATCGATTTAAAGGGGATTAGATAAAACTCTTGGAGGAGAAAACTATCAATGGCTACTAGCTATGAGGACTAAATATTACATCTAGTACGCCCTTCAATGCCAGTTACTAAGAAACATGAGAGGGAGGGTGCTACTGTGCTTGTCTCTTGTTAGTTGGGTCACTGCTGGAGCAGAGTGCTGGCCTGCCCAAGTCTTCAGGTTCATCCGGCATGGTTTTTTGTGCTCATCTTTCTAGGTCATGTGGAAGACTGTTAAAAAATCTAATAAGCCTGTGATCAAGTTAGTGAGAACTAAATGTCAACCTCGGTTTAGAACAGCTTGTGCCACTATTCCTGATCTAATCTGGAAGGTGGCACTGTGCATAAGAATGTTAGAATTATCTTGCTGAGTGAGTCCAAAAGTGAGACCAAAAGCCCAACTAGTTTAGTAATCTGTTTCTAGCAGGACCAGATGGCTTTTTGGAAACTCACAAATAGGTCAGGAAAGTAAAAGCTCTTTTCTGCTGTCTGCCTCTGGCATCTGGTATTCAGAAGTATACTACCACTGTGGGTTCCATTTAACATGACTAATATTATATTGTGTTTTGATTGTCATGCTGAAGTCTTGCCGTGAAAAGCACAGGTGTCATGGATGAAAGACAGAGAATCAGAAAATGGAGAAATAATTGCAAATTAGAATGTGGAAGATCTGGTTAAGAGAAAAAAAAGTGGGATTAAACAAGAAGGGAAGGAAAGTGATACCCAAATATAGAAAGGAGAGAAGGAGCAAGATTTAGTAACATCAGAGGGACAGAGGGGTGGGTAACAAGGACAGCACTGGCAAGAGGGATGTGCTGAGTATGTACTTAGTAGTTAAGATGATGACCACAAGTCTTCAGTGACTTTTCATGAACCCTCCTTCCTTGAAATTATGGTACAGGTACAGGTGGCAGTACAGTTTACAAGGATTAATGGATAGCAAAGTCATTATAGGATGCAAAGTTGCAGTGGAATGGACAAGAAAATAATCCATTTAGTAAAAACTCTCTCTGCTCATCAGTAGTAACCACAAATCCAAAATGACATTAGCCCAAAATAAAAGTTTTCAGAAGTGGCAGAAAAAACTAGCTGAAAACTCAGCAAGAAAACACTGATCCTAATCCTAAACCAGCAACCTGATACAATTTTACTTACGGTTGAGTGAAATCACAAGTAATGAAGTCTGAACTCTTAAATAGAAGGAAGATGTCGCTGAGGCATTTACATTTCAGTGAACTATTCATTGCTATCCAGTAGGCATCCTAAACAAGAGATATTTGAGACATACTTTAACCACATATTCTAAAATGGCACATGAGAGATTGGATTCCATTCTATTAATCTGGCCACAACCACCCCCTTTCACAAAGTGCTCTCAAGCAAGGCTGTGCATGGAATGCTACCTAAAGTGATGACTGAAAGGCAAAGCTTGAAATACCAAGCAAAATCCAGTTTTGCTTCTCTACATCCTGCAAGAATTTTCAAATTTGCAGTTATTAATCTTACAGCCTGATTCAATGAATACTTACTTCAGAAGTAAAACCCATTAAGTTCAGAGGGACTCCTAAATGAATAAGCTATAGACTTTAGTCTGAAAATCAAAGTAATTGCACAATTTCTGTACAGTTCAGCTCTCCTGATATCAGTGTCAGATTTGAAGATTGTAGAGAAAAGTCTTTTTCATTTCCCCTCAGCTCCACTACTACTCCACAAAACCTGGTGAGTCAAAGCTTTTTATCTTAAAGTTTGGCCTTCCGAACTCTAAGTGTATCTGTATATGAATATCTTCTGGGACTGGATGTGTGCCTTCAGACAAATGACCTATGCTAGTGATGGCTTATCTCCTTGGTAAGCAAAACTATTAACAGACCAACACAGACTAGGCCCATTTGCACAATGCAAGTCAAAATGTTGCTACAGCATGGACTAAATAGAGCTTTCTCCTTCAAAAATCCTTACCAAAGTAGAATTTCTCTTACTACTAAGAAAAAGATAAGAGTCTGAAAACTCTGGAACTTTCTTTGGTAGTGAACAGCTACCAGGTTTTGAGAGGTTCAAATACGCCCTTGCATATTTGCTTGAGAAGAGTCACAGCTCAGTAACAGAGGGTGAACTGCATATAGAAGAGTTCCAAGGCCCGACTCCTGATGCTGCCTGTTAAGTGCTGGAAAGGTTGTTTTTGTCTGGTCAGAGTGCTTCAGAAGTGGTCCGGGGCTAGACTGAGCTAATGGACAGATGACTCCCTTGTACACAAACCAAAGGCTCAGTGCGCATACTGGGATAAAGTATGGATGACAGACTTCCTCCACCTGCCTGGATTTCTGAAGTAATAAGGATCTCTTTTCCTCCAGTGTTTAGAACAATGGTCAAAGGCAGGAGTGGTCTTAGATGTCTGTCTATCATCACTTGGGCCTACATTCTAAGAGGGAAAAGAAGCAGCTCTCAGCAGTTGCTCCTGCCTTTTAAAGCAGACATTCCTCCTTTTCTCCAGCACTGGACAACAGCCAGTATTCCCCTCCTTGGCAAAGAAGAAGACAGACAGAACTGCTGAGGAGTGGCAGGTTGAAGGGCACCAGCATTGGCATCTTTTGCTCCTTTTCTCATTTCAGCACTCAGAGGAGAGATGACATAAAAGTAAAAGAGCTCCTGAAGTTTCTCCTGCCGTTACTACTTTGTGCACTGGGGGAAGAGAGCTTCATCCCATCCTCTGAATTCCTAACAACCAGAGAAGGACTCCAATCCATATGTTCCTACAGGGTGCAAATCAAGCCACTAGTTCTTTGCACTGCAATTATTGTCTTTCCCTTCCCTGGCAGCTCAAGGAAATATTGAGTTTTTTTCAAATAAATAATTCAAGCTAATTTAGGCTGTTTATTCATGTTCTCACCCTTGGAGCACTCCAGTTAAGCTTAGGAAAAACACTGCCTCCCAGAGAACTGATGGCTTCTTCCACTTTAAGTGCAAACTCAGGGAACTCAGGTGCCTAGATAATCAACAAAAGAGGAAAATCTTGCAGAAACAAAGTCTGGCACATGTTGAACAGATTCAGAATTTACTTGTTATTGAAGTTATTTTCTTTACAGTTTACACTGTACTCTCATTATTTTTTTCTTGCAAGAAACCTAAGACAAATGACATCTTCACAACAGCCTGTGAGGTAGGTTAGACTAAGAGTCACCAAGTGAGTTACACAGCTAGACCTCCTGAGTCCCATTCCTATTCTTTAATTACCAGTATTCCACATTGGGTTTTGCTTACAAGCCAATATTTACAGTAGCACATGCAGTCTGGGCTCAAAACAGACATTGGATCAATAATTCAGGATCTCAGATTTCTGACATCACTGTCTGACTCCTTCAGTTTTAACCGTTCTAACTTGCAATTTTAATTATGAAGTCTTGTATGCAACTGACACACCTAACTTTCCATAAAGAACACAGAATATAAGTAACAATTCAACCAGCCTATTTAAGTCACAGTGCATAAATCAAGCTGTGTATTTAAAATGACAACTGGAAGATGAGGCAAGTGAAAACTGTTCCAGTATTCAGCACAGGCATTAAGTGCAATTTCATATATTTAGGTTATGTTTAGGTTAGGTGTCAGATTTAATTGCTGAGAGAAATCTGCAGGGCCTTAGTGAAAGTATGAGATCATCAGCTACTAGGCACGGTGAATTCCTTGCCTCATCCTTGAGATAAGGATATTCACAAACCCTTTTGCTGGGGTTAAGCTGGGCCTCCTCTCACCCTTCTGTCCCCTTATCTCCCATGAAGGAGGAGTAATTTTTTTATACTGACAGCTTCGAAAACAGAGAGAGAGAGAGAGACAGGAACCATATGAATTCAGTGGCAAGGGGTGTTGCACTAGGAGTTCCCCCATGGAACAGGGAGCACATAGCACCATGGAAGTAAAGTTTGTTACACCAGGAAGTTCTGTAATTAAAGGGAAATCCATAAACTTTTCCTTTGCTTGCTCATTGATAATCTGCATCTGTATTCTAGCTTTGTATTTAATAAACCACTTAACATCTTTCACATCAGTGACTTTGTTCCTTAAGTATCTTCAAAACTAAAGAGAGATGCTTTGGCTGAAGCAAGGCTCCCTGGGTTAAAATAAAATGTTAAATCTTTACTTGTGAAAGTGCTGCAGAAAATACAGACCATGAAATAGTAATTAAAAAAAGTGACTTCACTATGGCAAATTTTTACTTCCAGAGAAGGATGTTTTAACGGTTCTTTTACCATGGTGTAAAAGCTGGACTCCAGTTAGCTTATGTGCACACCTGTATATTTGTGTGTATTTACTTACAGCACTTTTAAATTACACAGTAGCCCAAGTTCTTAAGGTCATATCCAATACATTAAATACATAGCATACAAACAAGAAAACCAGCACATGATAAAATCAAGCTAAAGCCAGCAGCAAAGAGTCAAACATTACAGCACATTGTTGTTGTTAGTTACAAAGTCATGTCCGACCCATCGCGACCCCATGGACAACATTCCTCCAGGCCTTCCTGTCTTCCACCATTCCCCAGAGTCCACTTAAGCTTGCACCGACTGCTTCAGTGACTCCATCTAGCCACCTCATTCTCTGCCGTCCCCTTCTTCTTTTGCCATCAGTTGTTCCCAACATTAGAGTCTTCTCCAGAGAGTCCTTCCTTCTCATTAGGTGACCAAAGTATTTGAGTTTCATCTTCAGTATCTGGCCTTCTAAAGAGCAGTCAGGGTTGATCTCTAGGACTGACCGATTTGATCGCCTTGCAGTCCAAGGGACTCACAGGCGTCTTCTCCAGCACCACAATTCAAAGGCCTCAATTCTTCGGCACTTAGCCTTTCCTTATGGTCCAGTTTTCACAGCCATACATTGCAACTGGGAAAACCATAGCCTTGACTATATGCACTTTTGTTGGCGGGGTGATGTCTCTGCTCTTTAAACCAAACTAAAACCAGCAGCAAGTAATAGTGGCTATGATCTTAAAACAGTAAGAACAGTTCTTAAAATGCCTAGAAGAATAAAGAAGCCTTCACTTGGCACCAAAAGATTATAGCCAGGGTGCCAGGCAAGCATTTCTGCTCAGGGTGCCACCACTGAAAAGGCCCATTCTCTCTTAGTTGAATATTGGAGAATACATCCCTTTAGGAAGTAAAGTGAAATCTGCTAGCCACTGCCTGATGAGAACTGTTTCCATAAACAGTTAACTAGGAGCCATAAAAATAATTAATAACATGTTTACGCTGCTCTTCAGCCAAGAAAGCCTCCCAAAATAACTTAAAAGGTTTTCATTATGTCACATGATGATGCCAGTTTTCACAGTATGGAAAAACAGAATTTGCTAATCAATCGCCTTTAGCAATCTCTTTAAAATTATGTCAATTTCCATCTCCTGTCAACTAAAATATGGTATATGGTAAGAGAAGTGGTTGCACTGATGCTGCAATACCTTGCCTTCTACAGACACAGACAAGAGTGATGCTTGCATGACACAACAGTGTTATTTAACCCACAGTGAAACTGTTGCTCCTGTGGCTAGTGTTTTAAGTTTGCAAGTCCTTCCTGGGGGTTGTTTTGCATGAAGCTGGTAAGTTTGAGTTTTTTAAAATCCTTGCATAACTCATGGTCTGCCCTGCCCCCCAATAACCCATACCTGCAAGGTGTGTACAACATAAAACCCTTCTGAGTGGGAACTACATATTCAACTCACGATGAGCTGAAATGTGCTGCTCAGCTAATTATTTAAAACAGAATAAATACTTGTATTAGGAAAAAGTGACACACACCTTTTATACAGAAAAAAGACTTGACTCACTGTATTCCTTAGTGAAGGATCTGTCTAACTTTAATGGCCCTTTGTATACTGTTGGAAAAGACCACAGGAATCTTTAATGAAGGTTGAACATGATCTCCAAGCCAAAACTCTGCCTCAAACCCTTGTACTGTGCCAACACTTATGCCTATTTCCATGTTTGGGGACTATTATATTTTCAGTCTGCTGCATGTTTATTATAAGATGGTCTAGCATCTTCTAAGCATCGTACTCTACATCTAAGTAACTTCTTATCTACTAACTTTATTGTTGGTGTTAATTCCAGAGGAACTGAAAATCTCAAACATGTTTTGGATCATATCTTTACCCTAAGGTTTAGATACACATCAAAACAGGTGTATCAATCAAAAATGTTTCTGTCAAACTTTTCCATTTTAAAGTTGAAATGACTCTAATATCCAAATAAATATTCAAGTAAATTCTTGAAATTTACTCTTGCTCAAATTAGGCCCACAGAACCAATCTTTTATCATGCCTGTAGAACAAATACTTGATTTTTTTCCTATACCTGTCTGTACAATCTTTGGCTATTCACTCTATTATATAAGTAAAACTTTACGGCCAGTTCATACAGCTTTCTGCTGAAGTACGCTCAGTTACAATAGCTTTTCTTCTTACAGCATTCTTGTCAACTGCCAGTTATTTCATGAGGCAAGGACTTCTATAAGATGTGGATGAGGTTTTATACACATCCTAGAAAAGACTGTTTTTATTACAACTGATCGCTAAGGCATACAAACTGAATCTGAATGGGAAAGATTAGCACAAGACACAAATAACAAGTAACCAGTTTGAGTTACTAACTCTGAGAATTAGAAATATAACCCGTTTTGCAACCTGTTATAGGTCTGGAAGGCAAATATTACTTTCCCAGCTTCTGGGCACTTTCTATAGAAAAGTTCCCACATAAAAAAAGAGATTGCCCTTTTGACAAACTAACCCTCATCTGATAAGTTAATTCTTGTCTGAACACATTAGTCTGTCCAGTCTAGGAGATGTGAGCCTTCTGCCCAGAATCCCTCTGTTCAGCCTAGGTCCAGGGGGGAAAACTAAAGCTTTGGCTTTACTTTCCCAAAGCCCAGAAAACACAATACCTAAACTTGTAAAACATGTAAAATAGCCATAGGACAGTATTTATTAAGGTATTTATTTATTATCCTGCCCCATTAGCCATAAGGCTCCCTGGGTGGTTTACATCACAATCATGCAGTTATGCACATGATGATATTTTAATGAAAAAATCCTTTTAAACAATGACACCAAATGTCCAAGTAAGAGTTTATTCAAAAGTAAACGATGATGAAAAGGCTACAATCACACACAGGGACAACTCCAAATAATATTAACTTACACACTCCAATATAGTTAGTTACATACTTGCATATAACTTTGGGTTTCAGAGAATTTGTGGTCTTTTTGCCAAGAAGTGGATCTGACGAGAACCTCTTGGTTTACTAATTAAATATTGCTATGTAGACTCAAACTGAGAGCAAAGTCACAGTTATGGGAATGAGAGATCAACATAAGCTAGTGGGGTAGCTAACTCTGGCTATTGTTTTGCTCACTGTGTGAGGGACACTATTTCCAATGTTGTCAATACTAGAAATCAGAAAATTGCTTAAGAGTCTAAACTTACATCTAAAATGAGCATGTGCAAAGGAGATTATGCAAAGGAGAATTGAAGCATATTTAAAGACAAGAAACCAGTATGTTTATTCAAGTTTTCCTAGCTTACTTACCAGACATTGCAAAGGACACTATCAACCTACATCAGAATATAGGAGTTGCTCACACAATTATTGCAGGTTAATGTGGCATAATGGTTAAAGTGTTGGACTGTGAGCTCTGGGTTCTAGTCCCCACTAGGCTCTGCAATTCAGCGGGTGACTTTAGGCCAGTCGCTGACTCTCACCCTAACCTATCTCACATGGTTGTTGTGACGATAAAGTGGAAAAGAGCAGGAGGATCACATAAGTTTTGTTAGGTTCCTTGTTGGAAAAAAGTGGAATATAATATAGTTATAGTACAATTCAATTTTATTCACTGGGTTATACACATAGTTATTTTTAATTTCATTTTTACTTTTAATGGTACTACCATGACAATCCATAAATCTTAAGAAAAACTATGCTAGATTAGACTAGTGGTTCATCCAATCCAACACTCCATTAACCAGCTGCCACAGGGTCCCTCAAGCAGAATGGATACAAGAGTTCTACCTACCCAAGCTTCTCAGTGACTTGTGCACACAGGTATACTGTCTCTAAAATATTGACTTTTCTGTGAATAAGTAGGGTTACTTAGAATTTCTAACCTAATGAAAAGGTCATTCTCTTGCAGCTGTGAAACAGTCAGATAATAGCATAAATGATGGACCAAATGAATCTTTCAGTCTTCATACTTTCTCTGCAGCTCAGTTCTGATTACTGTAATTCTAAAAATTAAAATCTTAAATAACAAGAGCCTTACCGTAAGTGTTGTAGTATTCTCATCATCAGACCACTGATAAGAAACAAAAAGCAAGAGGGTTATTTTCCCTTAAAAGAAGTCCTAGCTCATTGCTGCATGACAAGCAGTTTAAGTGAGATTTCCACAAAGTTGTATCCTACTCTATTCTTGGGGGTGAAGTGGGGGAGCTGTCTCATTTGTGCCTGCTCCACCTCCCATGCAAAATGAGACAGTGCCCTAAATGACCCTGTCCTGTCGCTCGAGGCCAAATGAGAGGTACATTGTTTTCAAAAATACAAGCAGCGTGTGCTGGGAAGGCTAATCATTTTGGGCATCGGAGGCAGCCTGAAGGAGAGGAATAACACTTTCCTCTCCTGTTATAACCCCAAGGAAAATCCCTTCTTTGAAAATGAAAATCCTATTTTCATCAGGAGGAAGAATGAAGCTCCTCTGTGCTCACTGCAATCCCAGTCATTATCAGTCCTCTCCAGCAGACGTATTTACATGTTTTAAAAACTGCATGGTAAATGCAAGAATGCATTCAATGTTACAACTAGTTGTGTTCAGATTGTAGCAGTACCCCTGCTGGCAGAAAATGAGGGAATACCCCGCAGACCTCTGTAGTGATCTCATTTTGTGTTAAGAGAAGCGCTTGCCAGACCAGGAGCAGTCATTGTTCACCTGCCACAGAAAGAGGTTTGGACCCCCCAAAAAACAGGCTGTGGTCTTCAGCTGAGAATCCCCATCTCAAATCAATGGAGTTAAAAGATTCCCTCTCCTGGTGCTGCTGCAGCTGCTACTCAGCTTTGATGACTCATACTGAAAGAGACCGGCAACTTGAAGCCAGCAGCACAAAAGAAGGCAAAGTGGAATGTGTCCACGCCACTCACAACACATTCTCCAGGGAAAATGTGTGCAGTGACTATGGTGTAATCAGCAGTGGTGAGGTTGTAAGGTTCCTACCCAGAGAATGCCCACTGTAGCAAGTTTTACTGGACAGCAGCTAAGAGCATACAGGAAGACCAGGTAAAGAACAGGTCAAAGAAAAGGTATTTTCATTTACATTTCTACAGTAAATTTCAAAGCAAAGGTGTATCACTAGGATGTAAGTTTTTCATCCTGTCTGCAGAATGGGATATCAGTATACAGTGTAAGATCCTGAGAATAATTATTACAGTTTGTACAAACCTGTATTTCCTCCATCTCATCTTCATTCCCATCATCATTGTCATGAGAAGTTGGGGGATCTTCCCTAGGAGAGAAGCAGGAAAGGCAAAACCTCTTCATTTCAAGCTCAAAACCTTTTAACATTAATAAGTTAAGCTTGATCATGCTCCATTTATGTAGGCTAGAGCAGTTAAAATTAAAAAGAGCCTCACAGAAATAGACAAAGTAAGGCATTTGCTATATGAACTCCAAGAGGAAAGTTGACTGCCTTTGCCATGAAATAATCATTTCCCCAATCAGTGTGAATTATTTATTTATTTAAAGCTTTTATATACCATCAAACTACTACAGTCTTGGGATGGTCTACAATAAAAACAGAATAAAATGAAGCACAGCATCCAATAAGTCCAATAAAATAAAACCCACATTAAAACCTAACCAACCTTAAAATCATGGGTGAATAAAATGGTTTTAGCCTGGCGCAGAAAAGAATACAGAGTCGGCACCAGGTGGACCTCTCTGGGGAGCACATTCCATAGCCGGGATGCCACTGCCAAGGCAGCTCTTCTTCGGGTAGTCACTCTCCTAATCTCCTTGAAGAAGGGATCCCGAAGAAGGACCTCCGCAAAAGATCTTAAGGGGTGCATAGGCACACAAGGAAGGAGATGCTCCTTCAGATATCCAGGTCCTAAGCTGTTTAGGGCTTTATAGGTCATCACTAGCACCTTAAATTGGGCCCAGACTTCAACTGGTAGCCAGTGTAGATGGCAAAGGTCTGGCATTCTATGTTCATACCTGCCAGTCCCTGTTAACATCCTGGCAGCTCTATTCTGAACTGACGTATTTGGACCATCTTCAAGGGCAGCCCCACATAGAGCACATGACAAATCAGGAAGTTACCAGAGCATGGGTTACCATTGCTAGGCACTGCTCATCCAGGTAAGGATGCAGTTAATGCATCAGCCGAAGCTGAAGAAAAGTGCTCCTCACCACTGCCGCCACCCGAGAGTCCAGGGACAACTCTGGGTCGAAGAGCACTCCCAAACTGCACACCCTGTCCTTTATTTATTATTATTTATTTATTAAAACATTTTTATGCCGCCCCATTCGCCGAAGCCTCGGGGCGGCTTACAACAAATAATTAAAATAACATTTTAAAATATATACAATAAAATACAAATATATAATATAAAACATACACTATAAAACAAGCCGCCCTGGCCAAATAAAATTCAATAATATTAACATTTAAAATACTGCTTAAATAAAAAGGTCTTCGCCTGGCGCCGAAAAACAAATAACGACGGCGCCAGGCGGACCTCTCTGGGGAGCGCATTCCATAACTTAGGCGCCACCGCTGAGAAAGCCCTCCTCCGAGTAACCACCCTCCTAACTTCTTCCATGGAGGGCTCCCGGAGAAGGGCCTCTCCCGCCGATCTCAGGGGGCGGCTGGGCACATAAGGATGTAAGCGCTCCTTCAGGTAACCAGGACCCAAGCCGTTTAGGGCTTTATAGGTCATAACCAACACCTTGAATTGGGCCCGGACTTCAATGGGAAGCCAGTGAAGCTGACGGAGAACTGGAGTCATGTGAACATAACGTCCAGTCCCCGTCAGCAGCCTGGCAGCTCTATTTTGGACCAATTGAAGTATCCGGACCGTCTTCAAGGGTAGCCCCACGTAGAGCGCGTTACAGAAGTCCAAACGGGAAGTCACCAACGCATGTGTCACTGTCGCAAGGCAGTCATTCTCCAGATAGGGGCGCAGCTGATGAATTAGCCGAAGCTGGAGGAAAGCGCTCCTCGCCACTGCTGTTACCTGAGCTTCCAGTGAAAGCTCTGGGTCGAGGAGCACTCCCAAGCTGCGAACCTTGTCCCTAAGAGGGAGTGCAACCCCATTCAGGACAAGGTTCAATTCACCCTCTCCGAAGCCCGATCCACCAACCAACAGGACCTCCGTCTTGTCTGGATTGAGCTTCAGTTTATTGGCCCTCATCCAGCCCATCACCCTGGATGAGGGCCATTTTGTCCCCTATGTTGAACAGCAAAGGGGACAAAATGGACCCCTGCGGTACTCCATGGCATAGCTGCCATGGCGCAGAGCCATAGTCCCCCAGCACCACCTTCTGGAACCGGCCATTGAGATAGGAGCGGAACCACTGCAAAGCAGTGCCTCCAACCCCCAATCCCGCAAGCCTATCCAGAAGGATACCATGGTCGATGGTATCGAAAGCCGCTGAGAGGTCCAGCAGAACCAACAGGGACGCACTCCCCCTGTGCACCCCCTTCCAGATCAGGGCTAAAATCACTTACCTAGAAAGCAATAGGACCTCCTACCAATAGGACCTCCACCTTGTTTGGATTAAGCCTCAATTTGTGGGCCTTTATCCAGCCCATCACCCTGGGCAGGCACTGGTTAAGGACAGCCACTGCCTCACTTGGATTAGATGAAAAAGAGAGGTAAAGCTGGGTATCATCAGTGTACTGATGACTCTGCAGCCCAAACCTCTGGATGACCTCTCCCAGCAGTTTCATGTAGATATTAAAGGGTACGGAGGATAAAATGGAACCCTACAGAACTTCATGCCATCCCCCAGCACCACCTTCTGGAATCAGTCAGCCAAGCAGGAGTGGAATCACCACAAAGCAGTGCCTCCAACTCCCAACTTGGCCAGCCTATCCAGGAGGATACCATGGCCAATGGTATCGAAAGCTGCTGAGAGGTACAGGAGAACCAACAGGGACACACTCCCGTCACTCTCCCTGCACAGCTTATTGTACAGGGAGACCAAGGCAGTTTCAGTTTCACAGCCAGGCCTGAAACCAGACTGAAATGGGTCCAGATGGTCAGTTTCCTCCAAGAGAACTTTGAGTTGCCTAGTTACCACCCATTCAAGCACCTTGCCCAAGAACGGTGTATTAGCACCACCCTGTAATTGTTTGCTATCTCTGGGGCCAGGGTTGCCCTCTTCAAGATGCAGAAACTCTACTCTATATTTGTGTCAATATTAATCATATTATGAACATTCTGTTGTAGATTTAAAACAGTGCCAATCATGGGAAATGGGAAAGAAAAACTTGGTGCCCCTACTTCTTTGGGGAGGAAGAAAAGGGTAAGATCAAACCATTCAGTTTTGTTTCTTGAATTCATATAAATGATAGGCATGTCATGAGGGGAGCCGGCTGGAGCCAGAGATCAGGCTAGATGGCCTGGGAGGCTCCTTCTGACTTGCTGTTTCTATGTTTAAGGAACAGACACCCTTACCTGCCTGAAACTACTAATGTCCCATCATCCAGTAAGTAGTCTTTTACATTCTGTGGCAGTGGAAGAATGATACTGAATGGAGAAAAAATATTTTAGTATTACATATGAAAATCATGATACAGGAAAATACACCAGTAATCTCTATGTTGCATGCAAATATTTTGTTAACATCAGTATTTAAATGAAGATACAGAGTTTCCAGTCCCATTAACCTTTTGGGCATAAATTTGTAAAGGAAGGGCTTGCAATGTAATCATTTTCTTCTTGGACAGCTACACATCTAAATGTCAAAAGATTCATCCAATATATTTCTTGCCTTCATAATGAGCTACCCTTCCTTTTGCCATAGCCTTGCATAGACAAACAGCAAAACGTGGAGGATCCAAATAAGGCCAGTTATAATTTCTGTAACACAGAGACTGGAATATGTTTCTCTAGCTATCACAGGTGCACTTGTTACCCAAATCTCAAGTGATATTTTTCCATGCAAGAGTGTACCCAGAGGTGTCCTGGACTGCTCAAAAAGGGCAAGAAATGTTTTCTGGACAGGTGCAGGCAGCAATATTTAGAGCTCATACAACATGGGAAGATAATAAGTTACAAGGTATGAAAAACAGGAATCAAGATTTATATCAGTGTGGTTCTGCTTATTTACACCATAGTTGAGGAACTTGTAGACTTCCAGATGAGTTGGACTTCAGTTCTTATCAGCCCCAATCAGGCCAATGATCAGGGACAATGGGAATTGTTGAACTACAGTACTTGGATTTCACACTACACTACAGGTTTCCCACTCCTGCATGAAGAAACCTGGCTCTTAATTAGGTGTATCACTTAATTCCTGGAAAGGCATCCCTTCTTTATTTTGAGGCCTGTTCCTGAAAACTTAAAATGGTCTGTGGTACCTTCAAGAAGAAAACAATAAACCCTACATGCACGCAACTCCTAAGCAGAGGTCTTTTCCACCAATGTAGAAGCTGACATTAACTATGGCTTATTCTGATATGTTCATTATTCATAGGTGTTAAAGTCTGAATAAATGAAAAACCACAAAGAAGCAAAATAAAGTACCCCAGTTATTTGTTCCCAAGCACTTAATTCAAGAAAAGCCTTGCCTCAGTGGATTGTCTCTCACCTGCGGATGGTCTGGCTCTTGAAATGAGGGTACCAAAAAGAGAACTGACAGTTTAACACTTGCTCTTTCTTCATCCTTCTGCACTTCCCCACCTTTTGCTGTGTGTAGGGCAGGATGACAAATCTGATGGAAAGGAAATAATTCCTCAGGTACTGAGAAATAAGCAGAGAAAGAGGCAACAAGAGAACAAACGTAAAGAAAATGAAAAATATACCATTAAATAGCAGCCCTCTACCCATTTTGACAGTCACAGCATGATTCAAGCTAGTGGGAAATAAAGTCATAAAGCCTCCTGCAACCTGGTGTTCACCAGATTTTTGAATTACAATTCCCATGATTTCTGGCCACATCTCATGCTGGCTGGGGCTGATAGGAGATGTAGTCCAAAGCATCCCAAAAGTACCAAAAGGCCTCACCTCTTGCTATAACCCTTACAGCAGATACTATAAGGCAGCACTACTTTCCCTCGCTGCGTGGCAAGGGGATGCCCTCTTAATTGACCTGTTCCCAAGATCTCCCTAGTACAGAAATCACAAGCGACTATTATATAACAACGTAATTATACAAAGACACAATCCTCCGCATATGTAGACAGAAAAAAGTCTTTAAACTCCCAGCATTCTTCAAGCCTAGAGCACCCTGGGAATTGTAGGCGTTTTTTCTTCTGGCGACGCGCGCGCGCGCGCACACACACGCACGCACGGGGCTGCGACCTAAAAGACTGCACAGTGCAACCCTTACCTGCTTCCTCTGAAGTAAATCCTATCACGGCGTGAAATTTCGTCCTCGAAACCTCACTTCGTCGGACGCTTTCCCATTTTCACTGAGAGAACATATTTAGCAGTATATTGCAAACATACACGAACGATCGTTGTACATACTTTCGACAAACGTTCAAACCTTCCCCTCTGCTTTTACCCTCGAGCGCTCTGCAGCTCTTCCGTGCAGCTAGCAAGCAGGCAAGCAAGCTCGCTGCCCGCCTGCCTGCCACATTACTTGACTCCCCTCCCCACTACCGTAACGACCGGCTCACCAATCAGCAGCGTAGGCGGGACATCGTGAGCTACCCCAATTGGGCGAAGCATCTACGGCCCTGCCGGAAGGCCAATGGCAGATTGATTGACCGGCTCGACCTACTCTCGAGAGGTCTTCCGCCTACGCAAAAACAGAGAAGCCAACCGCCATACGGCGGATCCAGAAGCCTGCCGCTGGTTGGGCCAGCTCCATGACAGGCCCTTTTCTGACCCAATCAAAGGCAGCTGTTGGAAACAGGTGGGTGGACATAGCAACATCCTCCACTTCTATCAATAAATAGAAAAGGTTGCACTAACTGGAGAAGGGACTTCTAGCTTCCTTTCCATTTTTTTTTTCTCCTCGTCAGGCTAGGAGCGAGAGGTGCGAACAGAAACAAGCTAGAAACCGAAATTCTGGCTAAGCTGCGATTCATCAGAAGTCAAAAGTAGCAGCAAAGGCAACGTTTTATTCCTTAGTTCTTATTTCGTGCGTTTTAAAGAAAAGGTTTTAAAAAGTTAATAATGCCAAACCAAATCAAGTATTGTAAATTATTTGCAATACTGCATGTTGGGGAGCAGTGGATGAGAGGGACTTACAACAAACGTTGCAATGTAATTCATTTATGGTCTGGAGGCTGGGTGCTATACAGGAAGGTTGGTTGATCGTCAAAATTACGCGAACATCTAGACTTTCTACATTATTTTCTACGCGCAGCGCTGATTTCACGAGGGAACCCAAAATAGTTTTCCAAGGGAATTCCTAAGTGAGGAGCTGCGGGCGAGTCTCATAATAAGATCCCTCCCACGCCGCGCGAGGTAAAAGATCAAAGGGCAGCAGGGAGCTCGCCGACCAACCATCCCGAAGGGCGTGTGCGCAGCCTCCAACAGCCCCGCCCCCAGATGCACGTGAGTGACGTTACCATCGCCTTGGGACTTAATTAAGGGAGTTGAGCGGCCTTCCTATCGCCTTAGGGCAGGTAAGGCACGAACCCAAACGCCGCGACGCTTCGCCGACGTGCCGTTCCGAACTCGCCCCACCTCCAGCCAATCAGCGCGTCGGGACTGAACACCGCTCTACCTCCCGCCCCCGCGCCTGAAAGCGAGGTGAGCCAGCGACGATTTCTAAAGCAGGCGCGAGAGGGGGTTACAGGGACGTCCCCGCTGCCACATCTCGCGAGTGTTGGGGCGCGTGCTCCCTCTTTCTGACGGGACGAGGAGAGGAAGGCGCAGGATGCGGGAAAGGGCCAGGGAAGGGTTCTGATTTTATCCGCAGTGGGTCGCTTTGCGCATGGTTACACAAAGGCTATTGTGAAGTAATGAGGAAAGGAAAGAGCACCTTTGAGCATGTGCAGAGTGACAATTTCTTTATTAAGACTATTTATATATAGACCCTCCTAACATTCCAGAGTGTCTTATACATTTAAAAGCAAAATGTAAATCAACACGAGAAGTGAACACGTACATACATAACGCAGTAATGAAAACAGGGTACAGACCAAATTAAAGAACTTGGTTCTTGGAGGTTTAAGAACGCAAAGATTTCCCACCGAGTAACTGAAGCAATACTTATAGCTCATTTTCAAGCAGCAAGCTTTTCCTCCATTGGCTTACTCACAAGTACACACACTTGCATGCCACAGATTCCCTGTGCTTGGTAATGTTTTTAAAAATTTTAATTTTAAGCATGTAATTAGCAATGCAGTTTCCCCATTGTGTCCCCAAACTCAACACTGTATCTTGTGTTCTTTTAACGTAACGTGGAGAATATAATGGTGAAGGCTGCTGCCCCGGGTAACTCCACAAGAGGGCACTTTTCCCACCACTCCCTGAATGCACTTGCCTTGACCGGCCCCACCCTTAAAGGCAGTCTAGAGATAAACTCAGATAAGAAAGCTTGAGTTGGCTCTGCTGTTCCATCACTTTATACAGCAGATTAGAATGTGCTTCCCTAAAAGTAACTAGTTTGTCTTGGTGAATGCAAACAACTGCAAAGAGGTAACAGGTAACTTGGCCCCCTTCTGGAAAGAAACTACTCCAAAAATAGCATTAGAATCTACAGCAGTGCCCTACCAAAAACATTTTGACATACAGATATTTATTTACCTTTGTTCATAGGATTTTATGATATCTTTCTGTATTGTCATCACTGAGTTGAACCAGATTACATCAAAATCAGAAAGACAAAGGTAGTCCTTGCTAATTTATTCCTATTGCTTTCAGTGGGACTGAAGAACAACTAACCTAAGTCACAATAGGTGTTTAGGCAGAAAAGAAGCCCATGCTGGCTTTTATTTTTGCCTAAACACATACACGATTGCCCTCTTAGTCCAAATTGTTATAGTCCACCAAAAACAAGATGAATTGTGAGTCCTTGTTTCAAGGCAGGGTTGCTTTCCAAACAGAATTTTACAGTGTGGTGTTTCTTTGCAAAATTAGCAACCCTGGGGTAGTAAATGATCTAGATGTATGATATCATCCCAGTATTAATTCTGAACAGCATGATCAGAACCATTATCAACTGTGATGAGTTGGTGGGATCAAATGTTGCTGTTTTACCCAATTGCTTTAATATGTCATCAACAGTTTTGGTATGCATGCCATTAATCAAATAATAAATACATGGTGAAACTGGATATATTGAGTATCTTTTTAAAATCATAATTTAAAAAAATATTGCAAGACTTTCTATTCATGGTAGGAGAAATATTTCATAATTGGATTCAGTGTCCCATGTGATTTTAGGGAGAGCAAGGGGAGCGTTAAACTTTGGCAGGAGTGTACTTTGTTCTAGGTCATTACACTGCAGGCAGTACTAGGAGGCACTCTGTTCTGTACTTATATTTATGACAAGCTTCAACTGGTGCTTTTTAACCTACTTTACAGAAGCCATTAATTTTGTGCAGACCTTTTCAAAATTCTGTTGCACAGCAATATAATATTGCTAAATTTGAACATGTCTGACCATACTGGTTATTTACATTCTTTCATGTATGTGACACTTTTGACAGCGTTGGTCTCATTTTGCTAGTAGTTAACAATATAATCTATACACTATTCAATACTTTTATAGTGTTAAAGCAAATGATCTGTAAAGTGTAGCTCTGCATTGCTCAAGTGTGTTGAAATGCAAGGCTTTTACTTTAATCTCTTGACATTGCTCTTTGATGTCACTTAGAACTTTCTGAGTTGAAGGATTTTTTTAAGGACTGCAGTGAAAGGAATCTAACTTGAAGTGTGGTAACTCTCCAGAGAGTTTAGGCTATGGGGCAGAATAGAAATGAAACTAATAATAATAATTTAAATTGTTTAGGGTACAATCCTATGAAAGATCACAAATAAAAAAGACCTGCAACTCTCAGCATTCTCCAGTGAGCAATCTGTATAATTTTGTATTCATAGCTTTATGTTTTAAACGCTTTTGGGAAAACATACAGATTGCGTTAGCATGTAGCACCATGTTCATGAGTATAAAGAAGCTTGCTTAAAGTGCTGTGCTTGAGCCCTCCCCTCCCCTCCCCTCCCCTCAGTTTAAAACAGGAATTTAGGGAGTTACCTTATACTGAGCCAAACCAGGCCAATATTGTCAGCACTGACTAGCAGCATCTCTCCAGGGTTTCAGGAAAATCTAGTCTGACCTGGAGATGTCCAGAACTGAACCTGGGATCTTCTGTATGCAAACTTTTGTTCTGCCATTGAGATATGGTTCTTTCCCAAACTAAAGTGTGGTTTGTAAAACAATCCAGATAATTTGGCTTGCAGTCAGCTTGCTTAGTAATTGATTAGAGTTTATTTCTAATCATAGTTGCTTGTTCTCATATAATGACTAGCCAGGTATTAAACAAAGTGAGCTCTGATTTATTCATCCCAGCTTCACAGGAAGAGGAGGCGATACTTAAGGCGTTGTATAGTTCCCTTTCTGCTCAAGTGCATGTCTTAATATTCTGTGAGAACCTTAGTTTAGATTATTCTGGTTTAACTGCACCATCTTGAGAAAGGCACCTTCTATATATGAGCCATGAGGGAAGGCCTTTTCGAAGATAGTACCATCTACCCTTGCTAACAACTGATCGTATTAATTGCATCATTCCAATATTAATGTGATTGCATATCTTGCATACTGATTTGTATATACTGTAAAACAAAGATTAAAAAAAACCCTTCCACCCATAGTCTTCACAACAATTTGTTAAAATCTGCCCTGTTAATCTGGGAAACACCTCTTAAAAATCCATCAGTCAGTTTTTAAACAATTCACCAATTAATGTAATACATTTGCAGTTCTAGTTTTTAATCTCAATTATTATTTGAATAATCCTGTGATTTCATTTGGATACTATGGCAAATTTTGTCATTCAAACATTCCCCTGAGGTGAAGACAGAATGCTATCCAGAGATAACACTTGACAAATTTAATTGACTGATGGACCTGCAGTCAACTTGCATATTATTCACCTTACTTTGGGGCTACAGTTTGTGTTAACATTTGTGATAGAGGTGATTTGTTAATTTAGAATGAAAAGGATGAATGGACTGATTTGATCCTGAAGGCAAATATTGACTCTGGTTTGTAGAAAGGTGGACTTTGTGCTAGACATGACAGAACCAACATCCCTGAAAATGGAAAAAGAAGCATCTACTGAAGCTCCGAAATCCAGCCAGGAATCTATCATTAAAGAAGAGGTATGCAGTGTTTTATTTTTGGCTTGGGATATTTCAGAGCAATTTATTATTGTGCTTATTTACTATACCATATAGTTGTTTATATATTGTATCATATAGTAGAGAAACATTGTCTGGTTCTGTGCAGGGTTTCCTAGCATGAAAACAGCACGTTCATATGATGCATATGATCCATTTCCCTTCATCCAAAAATCTTGAAAGATCTATTTTTGTCAGGATAGGAGTTCTAACATTGGATATTCTGTGCAATCTAATGAGAATTTAGAAGTCATGAGACAGTTTGAAGCAAAGCATATGCATCAAATTAGTTCTGGTAGAAGGCATTCTTGGGTACACCGGTCATAGTCTAACATAATCAAGCACTGCTTGAGGAACAGTCCTAAATGTACTAGGGAGTAAACTGATTAAAACATAATGTAACTTCTAGGTAAGCATTGCTTGTACTCTGAAATCAGTGACATTTCTTTGTTGCAGCACAATCCTATGCATACTCAGAAGTAAATCTCATTGAGTTCAGTGGGGCTTACTCCCAGGGAAGTGAGTTATGGATATCAGTTACCAAATTTCTATTGACTGTCAAGAATCATGGAGACGGTCAAGCTATGGATGTGCTATGGTTTTCCACTCCTTCAGCACTGAGTTAATAAATGAAGTTTACATTACATGTAATGCTGGTCAAGATGCAGCCACCTCAGTGTACAACCATCCCATGTCTATTGGAAGGACTTGTTAATAATCTATAATGCTGTTAATGCCGAACTTTTAAATAAATGGTTATAGATTCTTGCTTACATATTGCACTTGTCTGTTCTGCCATGGAAGAGTTGATGGCCACTTAATGTTGCATTTACTTACTTCCCCCTAAATCAGCCATATGTCCTTTTGCTACTAGGACAAACCAGCTGTGACTAGCTGGGGTAATGATTTGCCCTTTGTGTCACAACACTGCAGGAGAATTGCAGCCAATCTGTAATCCTTTATTCTGTGTAACATTTCAGTAACTGCTCACTCTTCACTGGTGCTGCCAGAGCAGCAACATTTTAAAAATCCAATGATGTCTGCCTACTTCTGGTCTTCAAAATGTATAAATTGTATAGGAGCTTAACACGAATCCCGATTTCCTTCAAATGTACTTATAAGCACAACTGCTGATCTCTTTCATTGCAATTCTAGGGACACTGACTTGGAACCAAGTCGCATTGTAATTAGTGGGGCTGGAACCTACTTCCAAGCAAGTGTACATAGGGTCACAGCCTTTCATTCCTACTTACTTACTTTTTCCCCTTTGCCCCTCCTCTTTGATTTCTCTTGCTTCTTGCTGTATTATTGTTTCTCCTTTTCTCTCTCTTTGTAGCTGGAGCTGCTTCTGCTAAAGTCATGAATAAATTCTGTGGCTGAATAGTCTCCTTCCATTCTCTGGCCAGGTTTGCACTGTTAATAAATAAAATGTTAGTATGATATCCTTGGGGATATCATACTAACATACTATAAGGCCCTAGTCCCTGAGGTTCATTAATTAAGCTGGAGTAATCATGTGTTACTACCCCAGCCTGTTCACTGGGTCCTGATTCACTGTAATCTTATCCAAAGTAAATTGATGCCACCTGCTGAACTACAGAATGGTTGGGCTCTCCTTAAATATGGCTGACAATGCAGGAACATTGATTACACTGCAGTTCACAAACAGAACGCACTAAGTGTTTGAACCAACCCTAATATGTGTTTGGGAGCATACAACCAGAAACATGAAATCATTCAGTAAACAACAGGAAATCAAGTTTCTGCCCAATAAATGGATCCAATCTGTCAGACTCCCCACTGTCTACCAGCTGGTGTGGCCTCCAGCCTTTGTTCTTCATTCTTTTCAACTGACTCCTACATCTGTCACTCTCTACCTGTCACTCACTTTGGTTCCATCCATCATTCTGTCTTAGTCTCCAGCTGCTATCCTTTCCTCACTCATTTTTCTCTTATAAGGATTCACAGTATAAAACCTTCCTCTCCAACAAGAGCATAAGAACTGCCTTGCTAACTTTCAAAATGTTTATTTTAAATGTTGTAGATTCAGCCCTTTAAAGTAAGAAATATCCTTATACTGTTTTTAAAAATACCTGTTTAGGGCACCTGAGCCTCTTGCATTGGTACATAAATAAATTGTGGAAGACTATCCTTACTCTGAACTTAAATGTGTTAATCTTTAGGGCAGGTGCTTCATCATTTATTTTATAAATACTTTGGCTAAGATTATCCTTTTATTAAATGGAAAAGCAATTATCATAATCTCTTAATGAAATCCTGTTCTCATTGTGGTTAAGAGAAAGTTGCTGATGGTTTCAGTTTCCCATAGCAATGTAAGTGCTAAGGTTTTCTTAAGGCACAATCCTATTTTTGTGCAGACAGAAAAGAGTCCTACAGTGCTTAGCATGTGGAAATGCTGGCAGTTGTAGGGCTTCTTTCTGACTAAACATGAATAGATTTCACCCATTATTGTTGTCCGGAATCACCATCCATATGGGAGTAATTTCTGTTGTTTAATTCATGGTTTTCCCTTTTTAGACCATTACAGAAAGAAAATGGGTGAGGCTTCAACAAACCACTTACCTTGACCCTACAGGTAAAGCAAGGTAATTAAAGATTTTCTCCATGTTGTTCCTTGACCTAACAACTATTTGCTAAACTGGCTTTCGAAGTGTATTTTGGGGAACCTGAGAGATTTTGAGGGATTCCTCAGTCAGATTGATGGTCAGCTCCCCAGAAAGATACCATATCCATCCCCATTTTTTCCTAGCAATACATATATACAGGAGAGAGTTTGCTGTGTTTTAACGCTTGGATAATGCAGGGTAATAATGGAATATGACAGCCTGGACCAGTATTCTATATTAACTGAATCCAAAACCTCTAATGATGTCCCAGAATTCTCTGCAAGGGTTCCAAATGGCTTTTAAAACCAGGAATATTTCAGCTGAACCTTCCTGTACTCTTATTATAATTCAGTCCTTACGACTGTCTTAATTTTCTTTCTTATGCCTTGGGCTATCTGCATGCTGAAGTTCCACCAGAACATAGAAAACCCACAGAATGGGATATTTACCCTGGAAAGCATCTTCCTAGGATTGCTGGATTTATTTTTTAAAAGGCATCCAGAGTTATAATGTTGCCAATTATGTTAACAGAGAAAGATTTGAAAGAATAGTAAAATAGTAAAACACAATTAATCAATTTTGTAATGGGGGTAAAATAGAAAGGTTTAATAAAAAAGATGGTATATGTCTCAGAAAACAGGAAGTTTAGGTATTCCCAATGTGAAATTTTATCATATAGCAAATCAAATGAGTCATATACCAGATATTATACTACAGCTGAATAAGATAATATGGGGTAAATTAGAATGTCAAGATGTAGCAGGATCTTTATTATATATTTTTCTTGAACAAGTTAATAAAAATACTATTAAAATATAGGAAACCCCTTTTAAAGAATATGGTCAGAATTTGGAATAGAGACATATTTTCACCATTATATCCAATTACAGAATTAGAAAGTTTCCCAGAGAATATGTTATTAGGTTGAAAGATTGGTTAGAGAAAATGAAGAGTAAAGGAATGATACAAATAATACTAGGACAGAGTAAAGTAACTTGGTATAATATACTTCAGTTAGATCATTGGACTAAAAATTGAATGAAAAAATGGTAAATGTACAGAATATACTAAATCTGAAGATACAATTTTACAGAAAGAAAAACAAGATAACATGTTGATGAGAGGAATGACAAGTAAAAATTACAACATGCTACTAGAGGCAAAGGACTGATATGATTCTCTTAAAGAGTCTTGGGAAATAGATTTAAAAAGAAATATAATATTAGTACTGAAAAATGAAATAATATGTGAGATAAGAGAATTTTACAATTTATGTCAATAAGAATTACAGAGAATGTTTATAAATTAGTTTGCAGTATTTAACTGCAGTTAAATTGAACTATATAAATAATTAATATTCCAATGTATGTTGGAGTTGCAACTGGGAAGTGGGCATTTGCACTCCCACTCCATATGTGGTGGGAGTGCAAATATATAAATGAGTTTTGAGAAGTGGTTTTCAAAGAAATTAGTAAAATATTGAATTTGAAAATTGAAGCATACTCTGGACTAGCATTATTGTCATTATTTAGAGAACAAGTGGGACAAAGTATTAAAGAATTGATGACAAATTTATTAACAGCAGTAAGATTAATAATAGCAAGTAACTGGAAAATAAAAGGTGATATCAAATAGACGACTGGTATAAAAAAGTCTGGAATAAAGCTATTAATGATAAGTTAATTTGCAATATTAAGTGGAAAAAAGGTTTGATAAGTAATAATTTTGAAAATATTTGGAGAGCATTTATTTAATATGTCTTAATAAAAGGAAAGGGGTGTGAGCTATCACAGAAGTCAGTGCAGTTCTGGAAGGGGAATGGGAATGGAGCAACCTGAATGAATAAATGATCTTGCATTAAGTAAGTGATTTGTTGGTACTGGTGGATGGAACACTGTTATTACTGTATTGTTTAATAATGTTTATTTTTATATTAATTGTATTGTATTGTTTATTTTTCTTTTTAATAAAAGCATCCAGGCTATCCTATCTCAGGTTATTAAGCTAAGATATGGATGAACTTTTTAGCCAAGCATAGATCTTCATTGCTAATGCTTTTAGTAAGAGCTACAATTAGAGCAGAAACTCTTTAATTAACCATAATGCCCTGATTTGTCCAGACTGGGAAATTATTATTAGTTTTAGTTGGAACAAGCTGGGATATGCAATTATGTTCTGAAGTTGATAACTATAGTTTTCTCATTTGGATGAAGCAGGTAAGCATGGTTTATTTAGAACTTCCTAGTTTAACCATGGTTCCTGATATAGGGAGAACTGAAGGGATTGTGGGCATAGGCAAGAGGCTTGTGTATATTTCAGCCTTGTAATCATGATACAAGTCAAATTGCCTCAGTTTTCCTTCTTTATGTTTGCATCACTGTTTCATTTCTGGCATTAACTAATGTGCCTCTAATGATATATAATTTGCTGATTACAATTTCTAGTAGTCAGAGGACAGGACTTGTGCTTGGAGTTTCTTTCCATGACTGAAAGTGGATTTTGCATGATTTGGCAAAATAAGAATCATTCATATTGCTTAGTTAACATTTATTTGTTGTCACAGAATTAGTGTGGACATGGTACATACTCTTTTAGCACACTTTAACTTTACACGCAACCTTGTTTATGTTTTTGAGATATTTTGTTATGAAGTAGAAAGTATTTCAGAGACACCAGCAGAAATTCTGTACAATGAAGACATTATTTTTTGTAAGTAATGTATTTACTCTCCTCTTTCCATCCCTTCAATTTTCATAGAGTATGGGAATCTGTAAAGCGTACAACCAGAAAAGAGGGGGTTTCTGCTGATGGTAAGTATGTCTCTTCATTGGGAATGTAAAAAAAAACAGTTACCAGTGAATGTGTGAGTCCTGTAAATGAGACATTTTGAGGACACAGATGAAGATGTCATTCCTTTTGAGTAAGTTACTTTCATCTTGTTTCAGTGCAGTCTTGTGATCATGTTTATGCAAACCTCTTCTCTATGGTGGCAGGTGTTGCTGTTATCCCTGTGTTACAGAGAACTCTGCACTATGACTGTGTTGTCCTAGTGAAACAATTTAGGCCCCCCATGGGAGTCTACTGCCTGGAATTTCCTGCTGGTAGGTTGTTCATCTTATATTTGCTGGTTAATCATAATGTGAGGCCCTTGCTGTTTACTGCAATGAATGTACACTCAGATAGTCCAAAGGTCCACTCCTCTAAATTTCTCAATGGTATTGCATCCTGTCCATTTGACTCCTCCAGAAGTTATATTAAAAAGTCTCTCATAATGTAGGAATGGTAGCATGAGCAAATATTTTGCTCTACATGTTCATGGGTTGAACATATTGTACATACAAAAAGTGGCGTATTGATCAGATGCCACTTTTTGTATGTACTTGAGGTTCAGCAGATATTAGGATGGAAGCAGATTCTACTACTATCCCACTAAGGCTCAAAGAGATGCATCCCCATTGCTGTTCAAAAGCATGACGATAGAGGCAGCAGAGGAAAGGGGGTGTTAAAAAAATCAGAGTATTGTATTGATAAGGGATTACGAGCACATATGATAGCCAATGTCATTCCCAGAACTTGTCAAGCTTGATTTGGTTCTCTTTTCCAAAAGATTATGTAGTTTTATACAACCAACTGCAGAAAAAGCCCACCTTCCTTTTTTCACCTTCCAAAAGCCAAAGTTTTCAGTCCTTCCAGCTACTTAAAATGACCCCTGCTCAGCTGCTTTAGCAGATTGTGGGTTTACACAACTTGTTGAAAAATGCTAGTTTAGAGTGTTTTCTGAACCCAGTCTTCTTCCCACAGGATTGTTTATAAGCCACCTTGGGTGCCTTTTAAACCATCCAAACTAGCCATGGCTTGTAGTAGTTTAATAAATGCATCGTGGTTTGTCGGTTTGCCCAAATCCAGCCAACAAAATAAACTCTGGTGAAATAAAAAAAAATAGCCCCTTGTAAAGAACAGCAGAAAGTCTTGTTCTAACTCAGTGGGAGAGTGTTCTGCAACTTCCTGATATGCTATCCACCCAGGGTAAATCGCATAATTGAGGGGACAGTTGGGGCTTCTAGCACTGCACCCAACACCTCTGAGGATTCTGGTTGGTAAGGATGGGCATTAAGGTAGTATCTGCAAAAGCACTCTTTACAAATTCTTGCAGGGGTTTTTTTGTTTTTTTGGAGGGGGAGCACTTTGTGTCTCTGTTATTTGTTAGTTTTTTAAATGGTCAAACTGCAGCCAGTGCTAAAGGGCATCTGTTGCTGAAGGGATATCCTGGTGCTCTTCCAGTGTCTCTGGGATACTGAAGGAGAACTAAGGAAAGAAAAAAAGACAGGAGGTAGCACAGAATCCCTGGTGAGTCTGATCATCTATAAGGCACAAAGGAATTTTAATCACAGTGTGTAGTTGTTAATTCTCAAGGGGTTTAACTGTTATGCAAACCCAGCCATTGTGGCCATGGTTTATGAAGCCAGGAGCAAGTAATACGGCCAAGAGTTTTAGCCCACATCCTTCCCATTGTGTGAAAATCTTGGCTTGCATGGGGTTCCCCAGAATTCTGTCCAAACCAGGGAACACTGGCTCAACATGACTAAACATGTCAGGAAAAATGCCAGGATCAGATGTTGTATGGATGACTGTTCAAACTGGGCCACTGTTGGCAGGTTTTCAAATATTTCCTTCTGAGTATGGAAGACTACATTTTTCAGTTATTTAAATTGATGGCTAAACTAGACATCACTGTGTAACTTAAACATGTTTATCTATTTGCAGACACAAAAATGAACATGGCAGAACTGGGAATGAAACTAGTCCCCACCTTTCCCTCTTGCACTCCACTGCTTTAAGGGGTTTTCTCATTGCCTACCTGGTATCAAATATGGGATAGGGAGAAGCTTCATAAAGCAGCAGTGTGCTGGGAGGTAAATTAAGGGCTCAACTTTCGCTTCCTTTCCTGCTTGCTTCATTTTGTGCAAAAAATAGATCCCCTTATCCTGGTTTTATATTATATGCCAGCAGGAAAGTACTTATACTTAAGATGCACACAATTGCCATGCTCATTGATTTGGTCCTGAATTTCAAAATTCCAGAAATGTTCCCCAATCACCTGGGTACTTGTTGCAGCCCAGGTGTCATTTTGTAAATACTCCTGCTGAAGGTGTTAGCAGCTTGATTGTTATTTATATAGATGAGTTGCACTGCAATAGTTAGGACACTTTTGTTTGTTTGTTTACATCATGCGCAACCCACCACAACCGCATGGACAACATTCCTCCAGGCTCTTCTGTCTTCCACCATCCCTCGGAGTCCACCCAAGCCCACATCCACAGTCCCAGTGACCCCATCTAGCCAGCTCAACTTCTGCCGTTCCCTTCTCCCTTTGCCATCAATCGTTCCCAGCATCAGGGTCTTCTCCAGTGACTCCTTCCTACTCATTAGGTGGCCAAAGTATTTGAGTTTCATCTTCAGTATCTGGCCTTGATTTCCTTTAAGATTGATGGGTTTGATCACCTTGCAGTCCAAGGGATTCTCAGGAGTCTTCTCCAGCACAATTCAAAGGCCTGAATTCTTTGGTGCTCAGCCTTTCTTACAGTCCAGCTTTCACAGCCATACACTGCAACTGGGAAAACCATAGCTTTGACTATAGCCTTATTAGGGCACTTACCTTACAGCTAAGAAGCACCCTTCCTGGCCCTGTGCTGACATCATCACCCCCTCTAAATCACCCCCTTTCAACATTAGTTCAAAAGCACTGTTTACATCATAGGTCTTATCGACAGCAACGAAACACCGGAAAGTGCCGCGTTACGCGAGTTGGAGGAAGAAACAGGATACAAAGGGGACATCCTTGAATGTTCTCCAGGTAGCTTCTTATTCTCTTTGCTAGGAAAGAGATGGAAAATAAGGATGCTTACTGAGCAGCCCTATGAGCTGTCAAAGGATTGTTTGGATGACAGACTGTGAGGTTGGAAAACCTCTTCGACCCTATAGCTGGGGACTGGAACTTAAATTCACCCCTCTGCTCAGAGCCAGAGCAGAAACAACCATGCCAACTGCTTCTCTGAGACTGTAAGAACAACCTCAGAGGAGGACTTGGCGGTGGGGGGGGGGTTGCATTTTGGGAGGCATGTTTGGGAACAAGTGGGGAGGATACCAGTGCCTCAGCCTCCTAGGCAACATGCTTAGACAGCTGTCTACATGCTTTGCAGGGTAGGAGATGCACGGAGGTGACTGTCACTTTTGTGCTCCTTCCATTCTGCATAGGATGCCCAGGATCCTCCAGATGTGGAGAGCTACTGGCATCTGCTCTGGAGTGTGCCCTCATGCTTTTACCAGAACTTTGGGCTGTTGAAAGCTTTTCACATACAGCAGGAGTAAGCAACAGATCAAATCTTCTGTGGGCGGATAAAGTTAGAGAGACTTATGTGTACTGCAGCTCCTGGGAGGGTATGGTGGGGTGTACATGTAATAAATTAATCCTGACATAAAACTGTGTGTCCCTCCCACACAAGAGGATGTGTTTAACAAAACAAAATCCCCAGATGCGTCTTCCTTAAAATAACTGAATAATTATGCCTTTCTGTAGCTTTGTGCTTGGACCCTGGGTTGACAAACTGTGCATCACACATTGCAACAGTTACCATTAATGGAGACCTTCCTGCCAATCTGAAGCCCAAACAAAAGCCTGGTGAGTCCATTCCTTGGAAACTAGGGACATATGAGAAAGTTGTTCATTTTTTATTAAGCTTTAGCCACTATGTTTCTCCCAGACTGAACAGACTCAATTGCAAAAGCCAGTTCTGTCTGTTGAACTGTCTGAAAGCTTCATGCATTGAGGTTCAAGAATGTGCAATATAAATTTAAATCTTCCCTCCTCTACCTGTTGTACCCATGTGCCAGTCCTGACTTGATTCTGTTGGGGAGGAACCCCAGCATTGCAAGCAGGATGGAAGGGAGCAGCATCTAGGAGGATGCGGAGGCTGAACAGAGGAGCAAAGAAGAGAGAGGCTGTGTCACCCGAGGATTTGGGGTGTTCTTGTTCTAAGCCAAAGGAGCTGGAACCTCTTTCAGCTTATGGAGAAGGTGGAGGTGGGGGTATTCCAGTGCTGGGGTGGAGGACAAAGGCAAAAGGGATGGGTCAGAGGAACAGCATATTGGAGCATAAAGCTCTTACTTCCAACAAGTGAAAGAAGGTGTAATCATGTGGGTTGGATTGGGCCTCCTGCACCCTCACCATCCCTTTTCTAAACTCAGGAGATTGGGAGGATGTGTGGAAAGGAGAAAGTGTGGAAATAGGCATTCTGGCATGGCTATTGGGAAAAGGTGAAGCTGAGAGGCTGAACTGGATGGGGTTGCTAGAGACAGACAGATGGTTGTTTTGTGTGAAGCATGTGTCTTGTGGTATTCAGTTGTGCCTGCTGGTCTTGTAGGTTCAGGAACATTGGCTGAGGCAGCATGATAATTGGTAGAGAACCTTGACAAAGTGCAGAGGTCTTGTAGTGCTGCAGTGCACGTTTGTCCCTTCAAACTTCCTGCATGCGTTATCATTTAGACATCCTCTTTTGGTTGCTGAAAGATTAAATAATCTTAGAACTTGCTGCCCTGATAAAGCACCCATCTAATGGCAGCTTATGACCAAATACATAAATGCAAAGTCATCATAAAGCAGAAAGTTCAACAAAATTGCAGACATCATTCAGCGTATGAATTCTAGTGCTTGCATCTCCACATGTAACCTCCATTGTGTTTGTTCTTTGTTTCTAAACAGAGGAAGGAGGTATGTTGTACACTTAAGTTCACTATGGCTGGGATTACAGATAAGTATACATGATCATGTGTGTTTTTAGCTTACCGAACTTATTTTGTCTTTGTGATATTTCTGGTTAACTTGAACTGCAGTATGATTCAATAACAGACTGACGTGTCTGCGCTATGAGGCAAAGAGTTCAAAAGGATACAGGTTTACTGTTGTTTTCAAAGAGGCTGGTTTGTATGACATCCTTGCCCCAGATTATTAGAACAATCTTCACAGTGAGGGCTGCCTGGCAGCAACTGTATCCTTTGGGCATCAGGTTAGGACCCTCCTCTATTCCCAGCATTTGGCAGCATACAATGTATTTAATCAGGTCCTGGGATTTGTTAACTGTAAAAAATGTTTGTGTAACTTGTACATGTCGTCTATTAGTCTGTAAATGTGTTTATTACATACAATATTGTATTGTTAAGATCTAGAATATCTTAACCACCCAAAGCACTTTGGCTATCAGACAGTATAGAAGTGTAATGAATTAATGAAAATATAGTACAAATTATGTAATGCCTTTTTTCATTCTTTCCACTCAGAATTTGTAGAAGTTGTTACATTACCAAAGAATGACTTAATGCAGAGAATTGAAGGTAAGAAAGCACAGTCACTGATGCAAAGCATCATTAATTTTTTTGCAAATAAGAATTCCTGAAGATATTTTTCTAAGGGTGAGGTGGTTTTCTTTAATAAACCATGCAAGGGAAAGAAAGGATTACCACATGCAGTCAGCGTCTGTAAGTCAAGGCAAACTTTGACATCATGATGCATATACAAATAGGAACCCCTACAACATGCACACAACCTGTTTTGTTTGGAGCACTGAGATTAGGCCAGTCCTTACTTTAAACATTTCCCCTCCCTCCCACAGAGTTGGTGGCAGAAGAACATCTTATCGTGGATGCAAAGCTGTATGCTTACGCCCTGGCATTGAGGCACGCAACAGATACACCGTTCCAAGTGCCATTCATGAAATTCTAACACTGCATAGCACTGAATTCTTCAGAAGGATCTTGTTTTGAGTAAAGAAAAAGTCAGCAATGTAACTGTCAGATTGACCATTAATAGTAAACCTTTTTAAAGACAACTGTTGATAGAATCATGCCTTGAATAATGCAACTGACCTGTTTTTAAAACAAAATATGATTCCTCTTAATTGTATCTGAGTAACTGGAATCTCTGGAAAAAAATAAATGTCCTACTACTATCAGTTGATGTAAAATTCTTATTCTCCCTTCTTGGAAATCCAAAATCTTGAGGCTGAGCATTGGAACTTGTGTGAATTGGAGTGGTCTTGATAAATCTGGACTTGGCATGTTTGTAAGTTAGGCCTAAATCACCACATATTTTTCATCTTTAAGCTGAGGTCCTGAGACAGGGAAAAAAACCCCTATATGCCTATGTTGTCCAGTTAGTTTCAAATTAGAAAGTGATTTCTAGCAGGGCTATTCTGAATTTACATAGTATTAGAGCAATAGTTTTAATCACCTATGCACAGAAGTCAATTTCTCAAAAATACTTGCCTAAATTGCCTGTGCAGTAGCTTTGAAGTCAGGATTTTAAAAACCAACACCCATATTGATGAGAGTTAGGCTCTTTCTGGAGACTGGGAACCACAGGTGCAAACATATGGTCAACCCTCCCCCTGCTCCAGCCAGTGTGGAAAGAACTGGGCAGGATGTCCCCCTGACATCACAAATGGGCCTTCCAGGGGGAAACAGGGAGTGCAGGGGGCAGGAAGTGGAAGATACTACTGTCATAGATTTACACCAATTCCTGTCGGTGTCCAAACTTCCTTCCTTCCTGTCTCCCAGCATTAAAATGAGACCTGAAAACAGCTGTCAAGAGTAAATACCCTGTGTCAGGCACTGCAGTAACAGATTGTCACCACTGAGTCTTGAGCCAGGGACAGAATACACACAAACCCTCCGACTTTGGAAGTTTATGTACATCTGCTGTGGGGGCAATATAACCAAGCTAGAATTTTCTCTTTAGTCCAGGGGACGGCAACTTAGTATTCATTCAGTGGTTTGGACTAGAACATAAATAATCACTGCCTATCCCCACTAGAGCAAAGAACAGTTGAAGCCCAAAACACCTGGAAGGTACTAAGTTGCCTACCCCTAAAACTTAGTGAGCTCTGAGGCAGGAATTAAATATGTTGCTTCAGATTGCATCTCAGCCATGAACACATCTCTCACACCTGCATTACAGGGATACTCACCTAACTTTTCAGAAATGTTGTAATGATTATTGAAAATATGTGAAATGCTTTGAACACTTTTAAGCACTACGGAAGTTACCTGTTCAACCAACAGTTTAAATCAATATAGTTGGGGTAAGTGTGAAAGTCCTATCAAGGATGATAGAAGCTTTTGAGATATATGTCCCCAACTAATTGATTATCTGTCCTTTGTGTATACTGGTTAATGAAGACTTGGCTACAAAGCAGCTTAGAAATGCCTAAATTCTTTCTGTGGCAACCTTTGATAACTGGACAGCTGTATCTTTTGGATTATATTTGATAGTGTACTCATTTATAGCCTCAAATACTGTACCATTGACAAGATCCAAGCACTCCTCAAGGTACTATATTGAGAATCAAGTAACAGAATAGTAGTATTAATGCACTTTTGTTAGCAAACACTTTTTCAGTGGGATATGATATCCTCTACCAAGAATGCCATGGCATATGCACATTGGGAGGCACCCACAATCCTGGTAGAATGGCAGTTTGCTTGACTGAGGCTGGGGTGCAGCTTTCCAGTTAGTATTTTCCCTGTCTACTCTGGGTAGCAACACATGTCCAAGGTTGCAGAGGGAGATCCTTTCCAGCCTGGAATTCAATCTGCATATGCTGCATCAAACCATAGCTGCTTCTCCCAAATAACAGAAGTAACACTGGCCTACCTTAAATGTGCTTGTAAAAGATGAAGTACTTATACACAGCATGATCCAACCAAAGCTGAGTTCTTTGTAGTTCAAGGGAAGAGCAAAATCAAATTATTACAAGTAAACCATTCTACAAAACCAAACAACAGCAACATAATTAAATAAGTTTATTGTCTAATGTTTACACTTGGTTACAGTGCCACCAAGAAGCACAACAAGATAGGGTTTGGGGTCTTCCCCCCCAGCAAGACATATTAATTTCTACCCTCCTTTTGCAAACAACATTGCTTTAAGACCTATGCCTCTGATTTTTCTGATTGAGAGGAAGCAACTGGAGGGAAAATTCAGCAGCACAAATTGGTTTCCCCCACCCTCAATAGGTCATGTGGGTCAAAAGAAACAATGAGTCTACAACAGAAGCAAACCAGTACCTAGCAGGCTGCCACAGGGTGGCAGAAATCTTGAAAAGGGACATCCAAGCCCTACCCACACCCTCTGTAGATCCATTTCATGATTTAAATGTTCATCTGCCCTCCTGACTTCACACAGGGTAACATCATAGGCAAACCTCCCCAACCTAGTGTCCAGATGTGGTAAACTACAGCTTCCAGCACATCGGCTGGAGACAATAGGGGCTGTAGTCCAACTCATCTGCAGGGCATCCCAAATGGGGGGAACTGTCAGCCAAGATATAAGATCACTGGGCATGTGTCAAGGGGTTAGAGTACAGGGGATACGACAATTCTTTTTTTTTCCTTTCAAAGCCTATAAAAGTAATTCATGTAAAATATAGATTTTGGGGGTGGGGTAGAACTCTTTATAGTGGTTTTCTTTTGCCACTGTTCAAGTACATTTATATTGTAGGGTGCAAATGTGTTCACTAGTAGCAAAATGGGCACCTTTTGACCATCTCCACTGTAGTGTTTGAAGAGCAAAGTAAATGCATTGGTTTCCAGCATTACAGGCAAGACTAGATACATTTTTATATTTTTAAACAAAGACAATGTAAACTTTGATTCTTAAGGCAGCTGGTATTGAAGCTGCTCACAGGCACTGTGCAATGCCTGCTATGAAAAAATGGGGGCAGTCAGCACTTCTAAAAGAAATGGCATAATTGGACTAAAAGGTTGTATGTCATCAAAATAAATTTATCCTTCTTACAAGCCACATGTGTTTTGAACATTTAGAAAAATAAAGCACCCACACCTCCAACCTCTGCCTGTTCTTTAACAAAAATCTCAAAGTATTGATAAATAATGGTGACTGCAAGCAGAATGCCAGTGCCTGAGCCAATGGCTCCGAGGAAGTCTGCCAAGACAGAGAGGGCTCCAATGCACAAGCCACCAAATGCAGCTGCTGTAGGGATGTACCTAAGTGGTGGGGGAAGAAAACGGTTTTAATCAAAGCCTGCCAACTTCAACTGATGCATCTCTGAATATGAATAACCAAACATTTAGTTGCAGATGAAGGTTTGCTTCTCGGTTTACCAGTGAGGTTTGACAAGCAGAAAAGGGTTTAGACAAGAAATCTAAAGCCATAAATAGCATGGTTTTAATCACTGCTGTTCCAAAACCAAACATTTCTTAGTACTGTCTGTGTAGGAGCAAGGACCAGTTGAAGAAACTAAGAGTTGGGGTGGTGCTTTGTTCTGCCTCCAAAGTACAGTCAAACCTTAGCTTAGACCTACTGGGTTCCATGATCCTGCTGTCTCTTAAATGTTTAAAATTACAACCTTTAATGGTACTCACATCTGTTTCAATAAATATCAATGGAGAGGGAACTGTGAGGTTCTGGTAACATTTAGAAACTAGGCAGAATCTTGTTAAAACAAGATACTGGATCCTTGGTCTAATCCAGCAGGGTCCATCTTGTGTTTTTATCATAGTAAAGTCAAGATGGCAGGATTATTATTTCCTTTGCATCAACAGGTATACATATACCCTATGTGATTTATCATGTTTTCAATAGAGAAATAACTGATATTTCTGAGGCAGGTTTTGATGTTTGTTTCTCTTAATTTTGTAGGAAATGTTTTTGACTATGAACCAGCAGGATTTTAATATGCTGCTCCTGGTGCTTATTTGCCAGAACTACTTAACTTCTGCAATCCAAAACAAATGTTCTTGGGGGCGGAGGGGAAGGGGAGAAAATAAGAAATGAACCTGAAAACATCTCATAAACCAATCTGTGTGTGTTCTCGTATGATCAAGTAATATCACTAACCACGTGATAAAGAATGAGCAAGAAGCAGGAGAACACATTCCCTTCTAGCAGAGGAGGGCCTGAATTAATCTGCACAGAGCACCAACTCCTTTCTGTAAAGATGTGAACACAGCAAGGGAAAGCTGAATTCACGAAAACTCCCCTTTTCTTACCTGTTCAGCTCATGAACCATGGATGTGTCTCTGTGGCCTCGCATCACCATTTGCTGTTCTTTCAGTTGCTTAGCAACCTGCAGGGAAAACATGTGGATCAGATGGCTACACTGTTTTTCCACAACCAACAGGTAATTAGAAAAGTAGTCTTGTGTGAAAGCAAAGTAGCAGAACTACAGAACAGTCATAAAAACCACCTACATCTTTTGCGGATGATCCAGACACTTCAATCCATGTCTTGGAGAAAAATGCACAAGATCCTAACATAAATATAATATAAACAATCACATGGACTGGATCCTCAAAGATAGCACCCATGGATTCTGGAGGGGAGAGATAATAGCAGAGTCCTCCAACAGGGTAAGAGCGTGCGGGACCTCCACCACTAACATCCTGGAGAGGAGACAATTAACACACTAGCATTTGTGCTTTTTACCGACTGAAAGATACTAGTACTTGTAAAAGCTGTATTTTAAGGATGACTGAATACTTACTGCCCACTGCCCGAGTAAGTTCACCAAGAAGTTGCCACTAAATCGCACAGACAACATTTGGGAAATAACATAAAGGTTGGAAACTAAAGCAGACTGAAGAATGATGGGAATGTTGGAGGTATAGAAGAGTTTGATAGGATAGCTACTGTATTGTCCACGGTATCGAGCAGACTTGATTGGCAGATCAACACGAAATCCCTGGGGAGAGGGAAAAATTGCATCAAGACGCAAGAAGAAACCCAGTAAAGAATTTACTGAATATCCACTGAAACTGGTAGCTTAGACTGCTTGAGCATAGGCTTTGCTTACTTGTTACAATGGAATAGAATTCACAGCCTATGGCTCTGAGTCCAAGCCAAGTTTTTTCATGTCAGGCAGCATTAAGGACTAGAAGGGTGTGGCTGGGTATTTCAAATCAATATGCAAATCCTTACATGAGTGAGTCTTCTCTCTGGTCTCATCCCCTCCCTATTCCTCATCTCAGTCTCTTCCTCTGGTCTCTTGCCCTTCACCACAGCGATCTGAATCAGTTTCCATCCCAAACCTAACCCAATAAGCAAACCCATTTCTCTTGGCCAACCCATGCCCCGTTTTACCAGATGTATGATCCTTCTCCTTCCCTCCCATTCATCACTGTCACCATCTAGGATCTAACCAACGTCAGACAAGTACTCTTCTGACACTCCAGGAGCTTAGCCAATTACTGCAAGAGGTTTGCTTCATCACCATCACTACAAAAATCAGATTGGATAGGCCCAAGCTCTTAGCAAACCACACTGACTAGGTTCACACAGTATACAAGGGATGGCTTACCATATTGTCTGAACCATATTGTCAGCATGGTTTGTTAACCATGCACAAACCATTCTGGAATTCACCCATGAAAATTACTTTCACAAAATGTCTACTTGCTTAAATAGCTTTTAAGGAAGCATCAAAAAATTCATGGAGGGCAGAATTAATACTGGCTGACAATCTCGAGAGCTCCATGCAGAACAGCTTTAGCTATGTAAATTCTAGATGACAGAAGATAAAACAATGGGGGAAGAGGGTTGCCTTCACACTCTATCCAGCCATGTATTACCAAGAGGCATGCAAACATTCTTAGAAACAGAATGCCAGATTAGATGGTGCCTCCGCTCCTGATCTAGCAGGATTACTCTTATGTGTTTGGAATCTAATGGCAATGCTAAGCCTCTCGCAGCTCTGTTATTCTCAACTGCAACAGAGTATGCGTTTCTAACACTTGTGCCCTGCTCCTGCAGCAAGTTGCTCAGAGCAACTTCCATATGGTTCCCAGAGAATATCCCATTTGGATAGCTTACACAGCAGAGCCAGTTTAGTCTTAGCCAGAGAAATGGACCTTGTGTCCTCAAGCCATTGTCTAAGCCAAGCCAAGCAGCTGCTGTCTATTCATGACACAAAGCTGTGGCAAGAAAATAGCTATCACCATGAACAGTACTGACTGTGATGCTACCTCAACTTGTGAGACTCATTCCTGATGCAAGTGTAAGTGGTAAAAGAGAACTCAGTAAAACTCCTTGCACTGGTGTGGTGTCTCTGTTAACGCTAAACAGAAAATTCCAGTACAGTCAAAAGGAGGACTGAGGAAAGCTTCATGCAGTGTTTAGATTGCAGTTCCTTCTGTAATTAAAACAGTTGTATGGTAAAAAGTGTAGTATAAATTTCCCTTACCTGAAAGTATATGACTACAGCAAACACAAATACTGTCGCTATCAGATTCATAAGGTTTGGCAAGTTCTGGCGGTAGAAAGCCTCCCGCAAAGCACGGACTTTGTCAGTTCGCGTAGCCAAAAGGTGAAACAGTGCAATCACAGCTCCCTCGAACTCAGTTCCTGCATGTACCAAAAGCAACAAAAAGTAACCCCCGTCACTCTGAAGTGCACATCCTATCAGATTAGCAATTGTTTCCCTGTTAACCGCTCAAGTTGCATCCAAGAAGGAAATGGCATTCACAGATAGGCAATGAGGTCATACATGGAACATTCTAACAGGTAAGATGAAAAGGGCTGGATAAGAATTAAATAAATTGCCATGAACTTCTATGAGAATTAGAACACTTGAAATATGAAGTCATGTTCCAGCGTTAAGATGCAAGATTTCGTACTTTGTTTTACAAGGGTCATTCACAGCTTGGCTTAATCAGGTGAGATATAATCATTCAAACACCTTCAGTGTTAAGTAGTAATTTTCCAAGCAGAAGAGAAATACCAACGTGATGCATCTTATGTCAATAAGCATTGTGTGATCGACTGTTCTGGTCTTGCCTTCTTTCCAGCAGCCTCAAACAGGGCAGGTAATTCTGCTGTGTCTTGGCACAGGCTGCTACTGCATCCTCCAAGTGCTCTGCATGCAGAAACACAGGAGAATTACCTGCATGCACAGGTGCTTTTGAAAAGGCCTTGTTCTGTGTGGAACTTCTGTTGGGGAATGGGCTTCTCCAAGCACAGGGAATTCTAGTCATACACACAGTTTGGGGGTACAAAAAGTTGCCTTCCAATTTAATAAACAAAACAATCCTTAGAGCAGTGCGTCTAGGTGCACTAGTTGCTGGGGAAATTGGACAGGAAGAAGCTCTTGCACTCAGCCCTGCTTGTGGGCTCCTGTGGGGAGCTGTGTGAGCAGAATGCTGGATGAGACGGATCACTGGTCTGATCCAGCAGGGCTCTCATGTTCTTAAGCTATCAGAGGTTCGGGTAATACGAATGTAGAGAAAAAGAAGAAACAGGAGAAGGAAAGAAAATAGTGTGGCACAGCAGCCAAAGCTGATCCAAGGAAATACAAAATAATAATTGAGAGAAAGGGGGAACTCACTCAGAGAAAACTTAAAGAATCTGAGCTGCAATCCTGCAATTAATTACTCATATATGGTTCCCACTGAGGTCAATGGGACTTACCTATGCACAACTGATGGCAGGATTGCACCTTTGGGTTTAAAAAATTATGCTAGATGCTGACCTTTCAGCATAAAAAGTGCATTGCTTCTCTACAGGTAGGTCCAACTCTGCAGCTGGAGCTAAAATAAATAAAGTTAACATTTCTGTACTGCAAGTTTCCAGACATGTTTTTCATATAGCAACTGAGATGTCCCAACTATAGGACTATTCTATCATAGCAGTGAACTGTGCCACAGTATTTCCATTTGACAGAAGAATGCATAATCAAATCAATAAATATGCAGGCAGCAACTCCAGGAACTGCCCCAGATCTTTCGTACTGATTCCTTCAACTTCCAGAACACCTGCTGGGATCTGGAGATCCAGATGTTCCACTGATCCAGCAGGCCTCACCAGATATGCACAGAAGCCTTGAGCATTGACATGGTGTGATGGCATGACCACATGGTTCTTAACCATCCATAGCCCATCCCAATTAGAGTGCCTCCCGAACAGTGGGACAACACTCACTGGATTCTGCCAAGACTCCCAGCCAATGTCCATTGGCTTCTCATCCTCATGCAACTAAAATAAAGCAGGAAAAATAATCCAGGGCATTTGTTCCTGGTTACATCTTTTTTGTTATTGTCATGTTTTGGAAAAGCAGGTGCAAGCACTGTACCTTTCAGTCTGAAGCTGACAGTATGCCAAGTCTTCATTCAGGAGCAGTCTGAGAACCTTAGTGCATGTCAGCTCCTAGAGCCACCGTCCCTCACTATACTAAATCTAATGACAAATGACTCATAAGCATGCATCTGGTCAAAGCACCAGCTGTCAAAATGTACTATACCTCTGCCCGTATTAATAGTAGTAGGACTAAAGGCCTTCCAGACAATGGTTTCACAGATGTTGGTAGCAATAAAGAGAGAAATCCCGGAACCCAAGCCATAACCTTTCTGCAGCAGCTCATCTAGAAGCAATACTATCAAGCCAGCAACAAATAACTGTGGGAGGAAAAATCCAAAAGGTCCGTAACTTTGCATTTAACCCACGTTAACAATTCTGTTCAAAAGTGGGGCACATTTACTATTATATCAACAATGCAATCACCTCCCTCTGCCTTTCCCACTACTCTCAACAGTTCTTGAATACATCAGTAACAATTACACGACAATCTATAGCATACAGACTTGAAAATGAATACCACTGGTAAGAGTGACATTAAAATTTGTATTAGAAGTACTTGTCAATGTGGAAAAGTTTATTATCAAAAATAAGATGATGTTGGCATAAAGGTATTGGTAGATGGGGAAATGTTAAAGATATCCACCTCTGAAAATATTTCCATTTTGTTTTTTCCAAAGGAAATCCCCTTATAAACACACAGAAGATTGTGCAGTACTATACAATCAATAAGGCTTCAGTGTAGGTTTTTTTAAAAAAATTACTCTAATGAATCCTGCTGTTGGTAGTTATCATTTGAATGATTGTTTTTTCCAGATATAGTAGGTATGACCAACAATCATGCTGCTTGGAACATGGTTTTATGTCTAGTCAGTTGAGCGGAAATACAGTGCCTTTGAATCCTCTTCTTGATTTGTTATGTCTTAACCTGAATAAATGTGAACTTAAGAAAGAGTGTGGGGAGGATCTGGGGCTCACTGGATTGTAGGAAAAAGAGTACCCAATTGGAAATCCCTCTACTTTAAATCCTAAATGTGGAGAAATGCATAAAGGCAAATCTAACCAAATTTGGAAAGAAGACAACAAACAAAATATACCTTTTTGGGAAGCTTTACTGAAGTCATGAAAAGTAAATATATAAAGTGGATGAATCTGAATTTTATACAGGTCCCTTACTTTAACCTTAGATAAGATGGAGCTTCATTATTATTTCCTTTGCATTCTGTTTTGTACTCTATTACATTGTTTTGTATAATTCAGAATTTGACATAAATGCATCAAAAAAGAAAGGAAGAAGAAAAAGCAGAAGAAAGTCCCTCTGAAATCAGTGAGATTTCCAATTAAATATGATTAGGATCAAGCTGCTGATGTACAAATCTTCTTTATTGCAGATTATTCTGAACATTTTTGGTGGTATTGAAGAAAAAGCACACCCTTAATCCAGAAACTAGCAAGCTCCTATACATGGGATTAATTGCAAGCAAACCTGCAGCTAGCAAGCTAGAGTTATGATATTAATTACTAAGGTTGAATCCTAGACCAACATCTCTGGGATCAAGTCTCAGTGAACTCAGTGGAAATGAGTTCAGTGAGTAAACATGGAGCAAAAGAGTGTATACAGGATTGTGTAGTAAGAGACTGGCTTCATAAAAGTAAGACTCCAATTCAAATCTCACATCTGGCCTGAGTTTGCAAACTGGTCTTGGGCAAACATTGTCCCTCAACCTCAGCCCCCATCTGAACTGTTGGCATAGTAATTGCACCCAAAGGATTGCTTTAAGGACTACAAGAGAATGAATGAGAAGCACTTCAAATGCCAGGATGATCAATGACTTTCTTCTTTGATCAATGTTAACTCAGGAAGAGAAAGTCAAATGAGGCCAGAACTAAATGTTATCCAACACACAAAAACTGCAGCTGTGTCTCCCCTCTGGAAAGGTCTAATTCGTATGCATCACCCTTAAGTTCTAAGTGCCCCACCTCTGCTCCACAGACTGCTGTTTTCTAAGCAGGGAAACTCACTGGATGGTGATGTGACATTGCATATGTTACATTACTCAACAGCACCAGGTAGAGGAGGCAGCAACCCAAGGGTGGGGCTTTCAACACAGCTCTGCCTATAGTCTGACATTTTGTTCTTGTAGCCAAATAGCAGGACCTTCTCAGTTGTGGCACCCCATCTATGGAATCGACTTCCCAGAGTTTTTCATCAATTGCTGTCCTTATATATATATTCTGGCACCAGACTAAGACATCTTTATTTAAGGAGCATTTTAATTGTTGATGATTTTACTTGGAATTTAATTTTAATTATATTTTAATGTAAATTTTAGTTTTCTTAAGTATAACTTTTGAGATAATTCCAATCTGTTGTTAAACTATTATTTGGTGTTCCTGCTATGATGTTATGTTATTACTGTTATTCTGGTTTTAACTGTCTAAATTGTGGGTATTTAGGATGTTTTACATTATTGGTTTTTATCATGTGAACTGTCCAGAGTGCCATGTGGCTAAGAGACGGTATACAAAAGTGTTAAACAAACAAACCAACAAACATCGAATTGAACTAACTTCACCCACTCGCTGTAGGCTTCAAGCAGTAGAATAAGGAGTAGCACAATTTTCAGCTGTTCCTCCTCAAGAGCCCCCCTTTCCAGTCCAGAAGACTGGCTGGGGTATGTGCCCTGGAGGAGATTTTGAGGGAATCCAGAGTGCTTCAGGGGTACAGCGAACTACTGAAAATCATGTCCCTCCCTGACAGAAAGCTCCACTGGTGAAAAGTGTTGGAGTCTACTCCAAGTACAGAGGAATCAAGGACATCTGAGTAACTGATTTGAACCTGTTCATGAAGCAGACCTTTCTACAAAAAGAGAACAAGAAAAACCCTAATGTTAACAATAATTAACTAAATCTCCTAAGCGTGGTATGATGGTTGGCGTGATGGACTGCAGACCTGTGAGATCCAGGTTTTAGCCACCACTTGGTATTGAAATTCACTGGGTGAACCTGGGTCAGACTCTCAGCCTAATCTACCTCACAGGCTTGTTGTTGTGAGCATAGCTATGTAAGCTGCCTTGGGTTCCTCACAAGAGGGGGAAAAATGTGGGACATAAGCACAATCTAGTAACAATCACAATACATTTTCAGCTTTCAAATCTACTGAAAACAACATTCAGAAAGTGTAAAGACAGCTATGCAAGCATATCCTTTTGTACTCTGTAAGCTTAAGGGATATCTGTTTTTTAAGAGTATGAAAAGGCATACCTGAATTATGATCAAGAGGCAGATTCCAGCTCCCATTTCTGCAGGATCTCCATACATCCCAGTCATGACGTACACAATTGCTTGCCCAATAGTTATAATCATTCCAAACACTGAAAAAAAAGAGGAAGACCAATATTCCATATATATGCTAACAAATGGGCAGTAGTAGAATTAGATACAATGTTCTCTAAGAAGAATGGAGGTATGGTATTCAATGCTCACACTTCTGAGCACCATTGAACAGGGCTCGGTCTTTTGGTGTATCACCAACTTCTATTATTTTGGCTCCAGCCAGCAGCTGCATAATTAAGCCAGATGTCACAATGGGAGAAATTCCCAATTCCATTAAAGTGCCTGCAAAAGAGGAAGACGAAAGGAAAAAATGATTCAATAGCATTAAGTTCTACAAAAAGTCTTTCCCCACAATATTTTAAAAATCCTAAGTATCACTTCATCAAGTATTTTTTCCCACTGAGTATTCCAAAAGACTTGCTCATATACTTAACCACAGTACTGGGCTTTAATGCTTGTCTCCTGAGTGTTTACGACTGTATTAAAATAATCAGGTAAAAAAGTTCTTCCATATATCATGTTAATACTGGCATTTAACTGTTCCTCCTTGCACTTGAGCATACACTAATGGTGGGGTAAAAAAAGATCAGAAGTTTCAGTTCAGGTTTTAGCTTTTCTCTCTCTGCCCCAGCTTATTATTTATAATATGGATGTAAAAGCTCTGTATGGCTTTACAGTTATTATAAACACTTAAGCTTGTAAGAAAAAACCATCATATTAATATACTAAGGTCCAGTTGCACATTGCCCCACTGCCAATGAAAGCACAATTTGGTGTTGAGCAAAGGGCTTAAGACAATTGCTTGCTCCACCTACCCAAACTATGTCAATTCCCAACTGTCCACTTGAGAGAATCAGTGATGACTGGATAGCCACCATTCACTCCTCAAAAGTGATCTAAGAAGACCACTTGCTGACCAGATCTCCAAGAGATCTGTCCTGATTATTCAACACAGATGTTTTTCAAAAAATAGAGCTTCTTCATGTATCAAAATACAGACATGTAATATTTCCCAAAACTCTTTAGTGTGCCAGTGCTTAAAATCTCTGGAAGCTGCAATTTCAAGGACAGCTGTACCTACTGCCCTTCTAATCACACTGAGTGATCCCAACTATGTTATCCAGTGATAAGCCTGACAGTTTAAACTAGAGGCAGAGAAAAGTTTGAGGGAGAGTGAGTGGAGCACTGACCTCTGTTTGATGCAAGGATGACTCTCATCCAGTAGAAAGGATCTGCAGAGTCTGAAGACATTATCCCAAATAATGGTATCTGCAAGGTTCACAGCAACATTAAGCAAGCAGTAAAGAAAAAATGCACAGTATATGATACAAATGATCTTTTTTTTTAAACACAATTATGATCAATGTTAGTTTAATGTAACTCTCATTCACTGTAATGGTTTCATCTTAAGTAGGATTAACATTGGATCAAACCTAATATTGAGGAATTTTACACAAACGAGCAAAGCAATTTTAGATGAATCATTTTATTTCAAGCATTTTCAGCTTATTTGATTGCTGATATTTAAAAAAAAACCATGAATCTAAAGATATGATCCTATACATACATATCTACTCAAAATAACCCCACTGGGTTCAAAAAGGCTTACTCCCAGTTAAAAGAATATAGGCTTACATTCTGCAATGGTCTAACTGGAAATATCTTTAAAGCCCTAGATTATATTTAGACAAATATAATAAACCCTTGTGTGAATGATCTATGGAAAAAACCTCAAGTTATTAAGTGCCCTTTCCTTTCCACAGGTAAAGTATGCATAACTGTAGGGACATTTGCATGGCAATATGCCTTATTTCAACATTTCATACCATTTCATTTGCTATCATGTTGATACTTGCCTGGCAGCATACTAAAAAAATGAAGAGGGTAATAGCTGTCCATAAAACCTTTTCTCTAAACTGAATCTACAAAACACAATGGAGGAAAAACTAGGTTAATCAATAGCAAAAAAAAAAGTTCTCATTTTTAATATAACATGATATGGAAAGAAAACCAATGAGTCGAACGTAAAGATACACCTTGACACTATATGGCATTGTAACGGGCTATGTAACAAAGAGATGGAAGTTAAATCCTCATATGTGAGCTCCACATGTGAAGAGAACGGCTGGGGCCAGTGGTTAGCTTTGCCCCCTCTATACACGGAGCTGGCCATCCATACAGAAGACTCTCTTCTGCCCAGGAAGGCTTTCCCTGAAATGTTAGCACCCTGATGCTCCGGGGTTCTAGAATCTTGGTGCTAGACTGCACCAAGACTCCATGGACAGAAGGGGATCTTCTCTGCTGAAAGTTGCCCTCTACAGTCAGTGGGTGATGAGAATGGTAAGGGAGGAAGGCAGAGCTAGCATGCTCATCTCCATTCTCTCTCCTCATATGTAGAGCATACCTGCATGGAGAACAGCTGCATAGGCCTTTGCAGCCTCTGCAGATACTAGCTTGCTGGTCAACACTGTTAGGCAGGGAATATATGGCCTTCAGATTTCATCAACCTGGCAAATGCACAGGTTCCTCATAGAGATACATGACTTACACATCTTTTGTATCTATTTTGAAAGTGCAACAGAAGAGGAAGCACTAAGAGCTTGGGCATGCTGTTGCAGTATAACAATGAATATTTCAACCTGTTGCTAGCCATAAGCAAATTTAAAGTGCTTCTTTGACTTAGGTCAACCAGATATCAAGCAGAGACACAGGTCTAATCAGAATTAAGACCTGATTTCAACAGAACTTATTCCCAGGATTACACGAGACAGACTTTATGGATAAGATTCCAACCTTACTTATACCCAATGTTTGTTAGGTTGTGCCTCATAGAGATGGATACACTGTCATAATGGTAATGTGTTCAGATTTGTTGTGCTTATCTTTTTTTGGATTACATTGCAGGGGAAAAATCCTAAATAAGCAAAACATTCCAAGGTAAAGCAGGAACAGAATGATGGTAAGTACTTATATTCATATATAAACCCACTTGGCTAATAGCATTTCCAAATAAGTGTACGCAGAGCTTCAGCCTTATCCCAAGTACATATGATCATCCTCACATAAACAAAAGAGACTTGAAGAGAAGCACTCACTTTTCTTTCAGGTTTCTGGATTTCTGGTAGAACAGCACAGAAGGGCTTAATAACTTCTAGAAACTTGACTGTTAAATAAAAGATTCATATTAAAACAGCAAAGTCCATATTTTAGATTTCTATGACAAAACTTGTCTAATACAATGACAGAAAGCTTAGCAGATCAATTTGCACAATATTCTGTATTCTTAACTGTCTGCAAATATATGTCAAAGAAACAGATTTTACTCAGTCAGTTTTACATAAAATACCTATTCATTTTACTCAGCAAACCTATTACATATTAATGTACATTACATAATACAAATTTTGGCCATGACCCACCCAAAACTTTATATCTGATGTACACCTATAAGTAAGTGCCACTGAATTCAGTGCAGGTTCCTTCAAAATAAACACACACAACATCAGGAAATATGTATTGGTCTAAGTGGAGAAATTAAGCCTAAGCTTACCTTTCACTGGAACTTTCACTGTTCACATTAACAAATGTTCAGAAGAAGATACAGTGTATGCAACCATATTTAGATCCTACCCTTCCTCCAGGTGTATGGAGGGGGTTGTTTCCCCATTTTCCCCAGTCAATCATCTTTTGAGGCAGATTAAATTGAGAAATAATGGCACTTCTTTCAAGATTTGATACTGCAACAGTGAAATCAATCTCAGATTGTTTCTTTAAATCTTACACAAAGAAAAACTGCCAAGAGATTATAGCTGCATCATGACTATAGTCATTCAAGAACATTCCACATTTATAAGGCAAATCTGGATGACTGTGCACGCATTATGCACTTTACAAAAGCCCTAGATTTCTCTTCAGAACTGATAACATGTCACCTCCTCAGCCAAGTAACAAAGAGCACAGTATTAAAATTGCTATGTGAAATCTTCTAAATTAAAGAAGAAACAATCACTGCAGAGTCATCACATGAAAAAGAGGCTGGGTAGTTTGAGATGCTGTACTTGGGGAAATGAAACATTGACTCTTAAGTACTGGGCCAAAAGCCAAAAAAAACAACATTATGGACCAAAGCTACAATGTGCAAAAACTAAGCTGGACTGAATCAACCCATATTATTGTATTGCTACATTAGAAAACAGGATCTTACTTAGAAACATTCAAGGAGCAATCGTATGCCCCCTAGACAGTGTCTGTCAGGCAGCAGAATACTTGGGATACCTAGCTCCAAGGGTGGAGATATCACTCCAACCTTGGAGCTGGAAATCCGAGCTTCACCTCCCTCACAGTCAGCATGGAAAGAACCATGCCAGCTGTTCTCTGACACTGGGAAAGGAGGCAGGGAGGGGAGGAAAGAGAAGGGACCAAGATATGAGGTATCTTGAGGTCGCTTCAGTTTCCTTCCATCTCTCCCTACTGTTGTTAGCCAGCTGAATGTGGTTGTTTAGCAAAAATGTTTCACAGGCTGAACAGAGAGGCATATGAGCTCTGAGTTTAGAAATTTACATACATCTCCATAGGATTACATCCTCAGTCTCTTATTTACTATAAGGGAAAGAGAATCAGCAACTTCTAGATACGGTGAATCTGGATTAAACAGTTGTCAGCTTAGATAACTTATTTTGCAAAGAATATAATGACATCATGACGTCAGATAATACACCTAGTTTTCTTAACACTTATTTCATCTTATTCAGGCTCAGGGAAAAAAATGCCAGAGGTTATGGCAATAAAATGCACAATCCTGTGCAAGTTTATACATAAGACCTGTGACACCTACTATGCTATATAAGCCTGCAGAGTATTGCATCTTATATGCAGCAAATATCAGATGGCCTTTCAGCCCTTGTCATGTCTGTTGCTTTGTATTCAGCAAGAACCCCAGGGGAGATCCAGCAGTACCATAATATCTACAAATTGGAAGGTACCAAAAACAAGGGTGATCTATTTTATTGACATGAATTATGTTAGCACAAATTTGTGCAAACACTTCACTTTTTTGCAGAACTCTCCATTAAACATAATGGGAAGGGATAGAAATATATACAAGGAAGCCAGGTTTGTAGTAATCAGTGCAACCCCTCTGAGTGAAATAAAAGTTTGATATCTGAAAACTTGCCTAGGCCCATATCAACATAATCAGGGCTAATAAGATAATTCTACTTATTTCTATTTTGTATATGCTCCTGGACCCTAAGTATGCTCAATGATTCAAATTGGCACCAACAGGAAAAAATAGTCACAGATGGAATACTTCAAAACAAATAACAGGTGGCTGTGCTTTACACACAGCATGAAGGCCTTCAGCAGGTTCAAGCTCCCATTAAGTGATGGAACTCACTTAACAATGCTCATATTAAAAACTGAAAAAAAGCCACACACACCCTTTGATATTAACCATTATTAAGGGGACCTTCATCTCCTCTTATAGGAGATTTATGAGTGCCAGACAGTGAGGACAGGAAAGGACATCACCTACATGCCTTGCTGGGTCACTTCTAAGGCTGACCACTGATGCTGATAGAACGTTGGAAAACAATCTTATTATTAGACAGACCAACCTTCCCAGTTGGGTGCCCTCCAGATGTGTCTGGACTACAACTCCCAGCATCCTCCGGCCAGCCATGCTGTGTTGTAATCCAATGCATCTGGAGTGCACGAAGTTGGAGAAAACTGCGATAAACCCTCCACCTGACTCTTGCACTAAGCACCATGCACACTGACGGCAGAATAATTAAAAATAATAACAGCAACATTACTGCCGTGTTCTTATATTCTTAGTAGGTGGCGTAAGATAAATCACTGCGCAGCTTAATTTATTGCACAGGACTGTTGTGAAGTTAGAACTCCATGGAAGGGGCGGCGGGGACGACGACAGAAATGCAGTCAATGAGCCGCGCTGCAGGAGCACCGCCGGGTGGCATCCCCACGCGCCCCGCGCTCTGTAGCAACACGGGGACTCCTAAGCCAAGGGACGTTCTCCCCGAGATTCAGGCAGCGAGGAGTTAAATTCCCCGCTCCCGTTCCTCCTTCCCCACCTCCCCGCTCCGCCCCTCCATGGGGCGCCGCCGCTGCCGCACCGTCCCGCGACTCACTTCCCATGCTGGCGGAGGCGGCGCCCGGAGGCGGGATCCTCCCGCACTCGAGTCTCCGGGTTTCTCAGACAGAAGACTCCCTTCCCCGCCTCCGGCCTCCTCGCCGCTCCGAGGCTGCCGGCCTCTGCCAGTGTCCCACGTGACTAGTGACGTCTTTCTCGGCGCGACGGCCGTGGCGCCGCAGCTCTAGAGATTGAAACGAGAGAGGTGCGCCGCAGGACCAGGCCGGATGGAGAGCGAGCGAGCGGCTGCCTCACCTGCGAGCCCTCTCCGCCCCCAGGTGGGGAGTCTTAGGCCTCGTGGTGGCACGTCCCCAGATGGACAGGGCGCTAATGAGCATTTATTTCGGCCCACCGCACACACGAAAGAGGCTAGGGGATTTACTCAGCTAGGTTCATTCAGAAGGAAATCCTTTTGGGTTGAGTGGTATTTAGTCTCCGCCAAGTGTAAATAGGATTGTAATCTTGTAGAATTTAGTTTGACAATAGTTAAACCAAATTTCACTTCCTTCCCTGAGTATTGTATACAATGGTTCAACGTGTATACAATCTGTTCAACGTGTGATTTTGCATTTCAGATGTAACGCTAGAATTGTTTTGAATTTTTGTTTATGCATTTTTTCTTAATAGGTTCTTGGTCTCAGAATTGTTTTGGTTCATTATTTCAGTGGATTGGGCATTACATCTGATTGACTTGTCTCTTTTCACTGATTGGAAAATACATTCAAAGTAATAATAAGCATACCCTACTACTGGTTGTAGCTAATTTTATTTCTTGCTTCTTAAAAAACCACGAAGACTTTGGACATACTGGTAGCCTGTGTAAGACCAGGATAATAAACATTTTACCTTCCATAACTGAGTATTGGCTTTGGTTCTTCTTTAAAGCCAGCTATGTAGTGATTTAAGCAATTGTAATTAAATTGAATGTATGGTCAAAAGCTTAGGGTGGGTTTCAGAACAGGCATTATTCCACCCTATCTTGCTTACTGAAGTTCATGTTGAATAAAAAAAAAACCTTATAGCATTTTGGAAGATGCACAGGATTGAAATTTGGCAAGTCTGTAGGGAAAGATAATTCCAAAGATGAGAAGTCACCAGTTAAGCCCTCTGGGTGCACTTTTTGGGATCTGCTTTGGTTCATGCAGAGTGCATTTACGCTTCCTCAGTTTTTTTAAGGGTTTTGATGGCACTCAGGACAGAAGATCAGCCTAAGCCACCCAGTACTTTATTGATCACTAGTGTTTTGAGTTGAGCTCCAATGTCAGTGAGCAGTCACTGCTGACACTGGAATACATCATTCATCTCATTTTTGGAAACGAAAGTGTAACCGTATCACAAACAATGTTCATTTGTTCCAGTCAATAGAAGCAAATGCAATTATGAGTTGATACTTTTAACTCCTTGGCTTTTAAATTCTAGTTATCTTGAAGCAATACCTTCTAAGATAGAGATTCATGTAGGGTTACTTGGAGTTGAGTACACAACATCCTGATGTGTTAAGTGGAAATCAAGATGGGGAAGAGAAAGGAGTAAGTATTGCTTTGAGTTGGAGGAAGGAGTGTGTCCATCATTCAAAAAATCTTATTTGTGTAATTGTAGCTTTCATTATGAAGGATGGGGTAATTTCTTCTTCTATTCCCATTCATGATCCAGAAGCCTCACTGAGCCTTCTTAAGAATGCATGTTCTTTAGATTTTATATCCTGCATAGAGCAAGGCTGAGAATCCTTCATTGTAGACTAAAAAAAGATTGTTTAGTTGTTCTCCCACACTGTTCTCTAGCTGATAAAGAAAGGCCATGAAATTCAAAGTGAAGTCATAAAGCATGCCAATAACAAAGCCGTATTTTTTTAAAGGTGTTAATGGGTTTCACAAAGCAGCTTGTGCCCATTTTTGTCGTTCCTTATTGCTTCTAATTACTCATGTACCAAAGATTGCTACATTCTACTTCACATTCATACCTCTATGATGGTTTTGTGTTATCTCTGTACCACAACATTCTTCTTCTTTCCACTGACTTCTATCAAACTTGGGACTCTCTTTATTATTGGCTAGAGAAATGGGACTTTGCATAGATTTAAATATGATTTTAAGTTATCATGAATGGAAAAAAAAGGGTGTGGGGGCTGACCCAGCGGGCTCGATGTTTTTGATGATGGATGTTGTTTGTAGTTTTGTTTTTGTTTTTTAGGATTATAATTTCTCAAATAAAACTTATTAAAAAAAACATTGTTCTTTCCCTTGGAATAAAAGTGTTTCTCCTGTCTCAGGATCACTGACACTATGGGTTGTCAAGTTATTTTCTGTGATGTAATGGGCACTATCCAATTGCAGGCACCTTGGAAAATTGTACAAGATTTGTATGCATTCATTAAAATGGAAGGTTCTTTTCCCCATCCCATACACTTAAATTTAATGATAATCTGATATTGCCATTTGTTGGCAACAATGGTTGACTTTTAGGACAACCTCTTAAGATGAATGAAGGTCCTATCTTCATTTCACTTAAGAACTAATTCTGATCCTAAGGTGTTATTGATAATGATGTTTTTCTCAGCAGAAAGCGCATAATACTTTGAAGCCTTCAGTCATGTAGCTGAGGGGCTCCCTCCATAAACTTCAACAAGACAGTAGCCTTTATATGCTTGATCAATTATTTTAAACTAATGTTCAAGTCTTATATTCTGTTTAGCAGAAATATGCTATTATAGAATAATTCAACAAACAAAGATTTTATATACATGACAGCAAATTCACAACTTGTTTCCTTAGCTCCAGGTAACATTTTCATTAAGTTGTACCCTTGCAAATTACATGTCATCCAGGTATACAAGGGCCATAGCTCTATAAGTTTTATTGTCAGAAACTCTATAGAGCTAAACGCTGATAGATTTTCCTTTGGTGAACTAGATTTCTTTGGCCATTGTTAATGTATTCACCAATTTAGGAGACAATCGCTGAGCTCATCAGAGTCTGCTGTGGTTTCATGTAGCTTAGGCATAACCCCAGAATAGGGAGACTGCTTTTTTCCCCCCTACATTGCCAGTTTGGAAAGGGGTCTTGGCAAATTGCCTATAGGCACATGCATCTCCATAAGACAAGAAAGGGATGGAAAACATCAGAGGGCAAGTATCCTGCTTATCAGCCTGTATACAAAACCAGCCATTAAAGTCTTCTCTTGGAGTAAAAAAAAATTCAGGACTTAAAGTGACCCAAAGGATTCATTTTTATTACAAGAGAACATAATTTATTCTGTATCTCTTTCTTACCTTCTAAGAAAGCAGCAATTTAGGAAAACTGGAAGAGTCCTCCTCTTAGAAGAAAGTTAATTTGAAACCGCCTGTTTAAAAAATGCCATGGCAAGCACCCTTGGAACTTACAAACTATGGATAGCTTGGGTGATCCAAGATTATATCATTGAATGGTTTGGTGATTTTAAGTTTCAAGCAGAAGCAAGGCACTCTGAATATGACAATAGTGACATTGTGAATAGCAGGTTAACATGCCCTCCACAATATTTTCCAATCTAAATCATCTACCAGAAACTGCTAAAGGCCCACAGTGGAAAAAATACAGATCATGGGCAGATCCTTCAAAAATTCTGATAAGACAGAAAAGAAATTCATCAGGATTAAAAAAATACAAAACTGTATTGTTTCTATAATTACTGATTAGGAAACGAACTTCACAATCATGAAAGGCTTGGATTGTAGATACGGGAAATGCAATGAAAACATTTAAAAGCAAACAGAAGAACTGGGTTAAATGGAGCTTAAAATTGAAAAAATGCTAACCAGACATGCTAACCTAAACATTACATGATGTACAGTACCAATCATTTTTTTCTTCAGAAGTCTTTCCATCTGCCTCTATTGGCACACAGGCATGAGAAAATGATCTGCTTTCAGAATAGTTGATATTTTCCACTGATATACACTCTTTGAGACTTAAGTCCAAGTTCAAACAAACAGCAGAATAGGTGTTAAAACTATTTCTGGAATGTACCACTTCCAATTGTAGATAGAAGAATGCATATTACTGCCAATAAATCAAATTTCTGGTACAAGAAAACCCTAGATATCAGGAACAAAGTGCTAATTCTGTGCATGCAGAGACTTTTTTCCATAGAGAAAAATACAGCAGAATGATTCCAATCATAGTTTGAAGCAGGAATTTTCTTGTTTACTACATCTGTTGTTTGTGTCAAGTAGGCCTGTACTACAACTTTCGCACAGGGTTTTTTGTTTATTAGCCTAACCGTTTTAAAAAAGAATAAGATACAATAGTTTCCCATGATTCAAACATTGTATTTTTTTTAAAAAAGCCCTTAAGCATTATAAGAAGCAAAATGCATTTTAAAAATAAATACACATAACTGTATACGTTTAAGTGTATTCTCATTCCAGCCATCCCCAAAAGAGTCATTTAATGAAAATGAAGCATTTCATCTTCCTGCTTGATTAAGATGTTCTGCTTTAGGTAATTGAAAATGCAAAATCTCACAAGTGAGATAAATGCAAAGTGCACATAAGTAGGAGATTTTTTTGATCATGATGTAAACTCAAATGCAAGGTATTTCACAATTCTTTTTAAAATAGTATTGAAATCACATTTACTTGTAAGCAAATTGCAATGGGTATCATCTAGATAAAATTAAGTGCCATGAATTTCCTCAGCAGAGGTTTAAGCACATGCTTAAATCTACACTGAAAGGAATGAGGTTTTAAATCTATTTCAGTCTTGACTGGATTGTATCTAATAATGTTAAGCAGCATACCTTACAAGCAAGCTGAGGTGCATCATTTTCCTGCCTGCTGTTTCTTGTTTTAACTTTTAAAAATGATGACATATGTAAGTGTCAAGCAAATGTTTTGGTGAGAAGGTCTTCCTGTTGCTTTTGGTGTAATGTTCCAATTCCCACAGCAGGTGCTGGTAAGGCTGGTCTGCTTACAAGTTGCAGCTGCAATTAAGTTAGAAGGACAGCATTACAAACCAGTCCTTATTTGCTCAGAATTAAAGTAACAAGGTAAAATACAACATAACTCCTAATTAGTAGGCCCATTATAACTAACTTGACCCATTGTGACAAACTGAAGTCCAATTCATTTCAATGGACTTACACTAAGTTAGACGAATGTTGGATTTTACCCACTGAACAAATCATTCAGGCATCAGTCATGCACACAGGCTGCGTAAACCCCTTTGCAGTCCATTAACTAAATATGCAGCACAACCTTACACTTTTTAAATACATAAGCAGTCTCTCTGTGTTCTTGAACTTGAACTTAGGACTGATACTTTAAACAGTCAAACTGTGTACAAGACTGCAATGTTCTTGAACCTACAGTTCATACTCCTGTGAGAGGCAAAGAACAAGATCCATGAGTCTACTTCATTATCACTGGGGGGTATAACTTCTTGCTTTTTATTCTAGGGCTCTATAATGGCTTTAGTATACACCTAAAGAGGCACAATACTATAAGGACTGCTGCCGCCCACTGCCAAATTTATAAACCTGGCTCCTCAAACCTGTCCCCCAACCAACAGAATGGTCATTCTGAGCAAAGATGGTAAAACTTTATGTCAGGCAATAACTGATTGCCTGTAACTATTGGCAGTAACTGATTGCTACCTAACTGACAATTTCAAGAAGTCCTCTACTTTTACCTTACAAGCCAGTTGTTTCTCAAACCTTGGGGACACAAATGTCCAGGGCCCCATGTTTTGTGGCTCCTCCTGACTCCAGATAAATGCTGTGAAAGAAATAAGATGCCTTGTGTTAGCTTCTTTCATGGGTTCTGGTCAATCTCCATTCAGGCACCTGTTGTTTTCTCCTGCATATCTTTTAATCAACAACATCAAGAACCTTCCTCTCACCCACCTCTATATTCTAGAGAAAAAGTGGTGAAGGTCTTATCTGTACATTCACACATATGGACCCTGCACCTGCATGGAGCCTGTTGTCAGGAAAATTTCTTAGCTGGGGGTGTTTTGGTAGGAATCCCACCCCAGCATTCACTAAACATGGAAGGAGTTTCTACCCATTCCCTCTGTTCACTCAAGACCACTTTTGTGGCCTTGGGACCAAAGGAGAACTTGGACAATCTGGGTTCTAGCCCACACTCAGCCATGGAGCCAACCAGGTGACTTTGGGCCAGTTACAGACTCTTAGCCCAACCCACCTCACAGGGTTGTTGTGGGGATAAGACTAAGAAAGAAGAGAATGGTGCAAGCCACTTTGAGTTCTTTGTAAGAGAAAAAGGTGGGATATCCATCTAATCAATCAGTCACTCAATCTTGACCAAGCTTGACCTTAGTCAAGCCAAATCTAGGTATAAAAATGGAAAAAAATCCAAATCCCATCTCATATGGAAGGAGGAGGAAAGTTTAGAGAGGTTGGAGTGTGGGTTGTGTGAATACACAGATGACCACCCGAAGAACAACAGTTACAGGTGAGGAGTTACGGGTAACCTGACTTTCTTCTTTATCATCTCTGTACATCACTGTATGGGTGATGAGCAAGCTTAGCTATCACTGGACGGTGAGTTGGTGTCATTATTGGAGCACAACAAGACTGCTCTTTCAAAGGGCACAATGTGCTTGGTACAGATGTAGAGTTTGCAATATTTCATGAATATTGACAGAATTGAGCAGGCTGCTGCTTGTAGAAGTCCAGCAGAGGGATCCTGGTCTGCAGTCCATGTCACCATTGCTCACAAACAGTATGCCTTTTGTGGTACTGAAGGCTGTAGACTGGGGGTAGGTCATAAACCACAGAAATGATCCCCATCATACAAACTACTAGTGTTTGAGGTGACAGGGGAACTCCTTTGGGCTTATGACCATAGCAGATAAAGAGTCTCTGGAAGTCACAGAACAATTCAGATCTGAACTTGTAGGGTAATAGAGAAAGATCTATGGTCACTATAGGTTGAGCAGTGTTCTTCTTAGGACAACAGGGAGGCCCTTGATAGGTGTTAAAGAATTGGTGGAGCTATGTCCCTTAGCACTCATAAGAACTACATGTTTAAGGAGTGTGAGGAAAAATACAGTGGTCTATGAGAAAAAAACCTATTTTACAGCATAGGGCTGCCTGTAGGAAAGATTCAAGCCATATGCAGATCAGGTCCAGTTTCAAGGGAAGCTGGATGAAGGTTCAGTTGGAAATGTTCAAGCAAGCAACAATCAGGGTAACCTGGGCCACTAAGTTGTTATCAGGATACAGTCTATAGCCTCTTGTCATGATCAGAGGAAAGGGAGAAAGGTAAAAGCAAATCCCCATCCAATTAAAAGAAAAGCATTGGGAGTGCAAATATTATTGTTCTGAATGGCAAACAGACTGACAGAAGTTCAAAGATCTTCTTCCATGCTGGGGTGAACAATTGTCATTAGTATGCATTACTATCTCCCTCACTCCGTATGTCAATCAAGGTGCTTCTGGTCCCATAAATATAAAGTTTCTGTCAATATACCAGTTCTATATCCAAAATGGCTAATTTGGAGCAGTGGGACCACCAGTCAAGGGCAGATCAGTTAGTTTGGGCATCCAAAGACTTGGCTGCTGAGGACCACCAAGATGGTTAAGTATGGATGAAGCAAAGTTAGTAAGACCATCCTGTCTGGCAATCAGTACAACTGTAACCATTGACTCCATAAGGCCAAAGTGTCATTACATCTGGAGTGTGAAGAGGAGAAATTGTCTCTATAACCTGTGAGAATCTCGGTAAGTACAGATGGGCTTGTCAGTGGGAGACACGGCACTGCTGAAATGGAGTCCAACTGTCTCCTGATGAAGGGCATGGACTGGAAAGGGGGGGGGGAGTAGGTTTTTGCCATCTATGCACAGCCCCAGATTATCTAATAAAGTGTAGATCCATACAGAACAGATCAGACCATCAATGGAGGATGCCTCAAGTAAACAACGATCCACGAGTGGGTAGGCCTAAACTACCTGGAAGTCTGAGCAGGCACTGGCTGCTGTGGTGTATTTTGCAGATACTCCAAGAGTTATGAACTGATCAAAGAGTAAGGAGAGGAAAAAAGGGGAGGCAAAAAAGTATCTTTCTTCCCCTGGAAATGCAAGTTATGCCTGTGTGTTTAATGGAGGCAAGAAAGTACATATTTTAAGAAGTACAAAGGTGAACCAATATATTCCTTGCAATAAAGGAAGGGTATTTTGTTAGGTAACCATTTGGTAACTTCTTCAATACCATGGGAAGCTAAATTTTCTATGATCTAGGATCAATCTGGGCCCCTCAATCCCATTTCAGTATTGTGAAATATATGGAAAAAAATCTGTGGTGGCCTACAGAAGGGATTGGTTTGATCACTTCCCCAAAGTAGCAGACTAGCGCTGCTGGAGATGGAACTATATCTCCCGTGACACTGACAGAAGGGAGAGTGTCAAAGTCGATCATATAACCACTTTCAAATGAACAGACTCAAAGCACCCACAGTTGCCTTATGGCAGGATCCAGGTGGGGTTTGCCCCTGGCAATATCTTCTGTGCCTCACATGTGACAGCAGTTGTTGTTAAGGTCATCAATCCACTGGTCTCAAGGATGGAACAAGGCTTGACAGATTTGGAGCCATTTATGTGGTTTCAACAGCCAGTGTTAGTATAGATCCGTACTGTATGATGTAGAGTGTGCTTTCTGGATGGAGTGAATCCACTTGTCCATTTCAGCACCCAAAATAATCTGGTGTCAACAGTGAAGCATGGCCTGCCTCCTGCACTAGAACTTCACACTGTTACATGAAACAAAATGTTTATTTTTAGCACCACCATTAAAAAATACCCTTCAATGTGAGATTTTGACAGGGCAAAGAAGAAACAAGAATTGAAAGAAACAAAAGCAAACTGGGAAATATTAATACAGGGACTTTTACAGGGTGTCCGAGAGTATGTTGGGCAGCCAGTCTCAGAAACAGTAAAGAAATATGGAGACTGGGGCGGGGGCACTGTGCATTTATAGCTTCGCAGAAGTACAAATCTAGGTGCATGTCTACTGGATTTAGGAGTGTTGTTCTCACTCAAGCCACTAAGCTCTGCATGGAGCAACTGCATGGAGGATCTGCCTTTGGAAAAGAGAATGCTCCCGTCACAGAAGATTCCACTGCCGCCACCCAGCTCCAAGACCTTTACTTACATATATTATTTATTATATTTATTCTCCTCCTCATTTCCTTCAAGGTACTCAAGGTGGCTCACATAATTATCCTCCTCCTCTCAATCCTATCCTCAAAACATCCCTGTGGAGTAGGTTGGGCTGCAGGTCTGTGTCTGTTCCAAATCTCATAGTTAGTTAGATGGCTGAGTAGGGGCTAGAACACAGATCTCCTCTTAGTCCAGCACTCTTAACTACAGTGGCAGGTACAGAGTCCATATGTGTGATGCACAAAGACCACCAAAAAAAAGCATGTATACAACACTATGCCAAAAAAACTACAGCATGTTAGCAAAACAAGTCCAAAACCTAGATCTAGGGAATGTGTAGCCCTCCAGATATTGGACTTCCCAGTCATCATAGTAAGTGGTCAGGAATGATGGGAGTTGCAGTCCAACAACTTCTAGATGGGCAGAGATTCCCCCTGACCCCACCCCTAGAGGACCAGGTTTTAGCCAAATCTTTTTAAAGCATCAAGAGCCCACCAACCTTTGGCATTAGTAAATTTGTACATCTCCTGCTGCAGAGCTTCTAGTGGGAAAGGACACAGTTCTTCTACTCTGATAATTGCAGTATTCTGCTTCTTTTCCTCAAGCATTTCCCGATGTTTTGCCAGTGCATAGAAATGTTTTCCGGAACAGAGAACCACTCTGCTGACACTACAGGGCAGAAAGACTGGAATAATTTCAAGTATGCTGAGCCAGGGGCAATGGCATAAGTACATTCAAAAAGTTTAACTGCTCAGGGAACATAACACCTATTCAGGTATTTAATCTTAAATACATTGGTCCCCCCCTCCACACACATACCACTTCCACTCCACCTGTCTAGCTGTCTGATCAGCTGTATTTGAATTCAGTGTAATGTCATCACTGTACAGTGACTAGAACAAAAAATAAATCCAGATCCAAACTCCTGGTCATTCATGAAGCTCTCTTGCTCAATCAAATCTACCCTGCAGGGTTGTTGTATGATCAAAACATGCTCTGGGCTTGACTTCATACCCTCATTGTTCTGAAAAGAATCAGGATGAATATGCAACAATGAATGATTCTGTTTTTAGACTGAAGGCACAAACAAACAATGGAAACATGTACATCTATGGGCACAATCCACCCCAGAGGCCTAATGCCTGTCTTGTCTGCTTGCATGGTGTTCGACTTCAAACTGCTAAATTCCTAATAAATCAGGATGCACAACCTGTGGGCCACACATGCCTCCCAGCTGAGTCTAGTCTGACCCATAGAGTCATGGAGACTCCTCCTGGAGTTTAAGGTCCTCTTAATAATATCTGGGGCTTCTCCTGCCAAGTGGACATAACAATATAAATATGAGAAAGGGTGAGGTTTCCCTTACCTCCAACTTCTTAGGAGGAATCAGATAAGTGTAAGAAAGGTAAGTATTTCTTTAACTAGCACTAGCAAGGGGAAGCTTTATCTGAGAACTGTGTGTGAAAGTGACTGTGAATAGGTCTGTGAGTTTATATGTATATGCATGTGAGTGTGTACACCCTGGCACAGCAAGAAACACTGGACATGGCCCTCGGAGTTGAAAAGGATTTGCACCCCTGCTCTAAGTCTATGATTCTTGCTCACACTTTTATTTTTCACTCCATGCTACAGTGGTGCCTTGTAGTTTGAATTTCTCTAACTTTGAATGATCCAGAGTTTGAATGTTAAGAGTTGAGACAGAAGCATTGTTTGAACTGCAGAGTGATTTTAAGTTTGAACTGCAAGCAAAGTGAAAAAAATGTAGTAGCAGTGAAAACGTGTGCCTAAGTCGAGAAGAAAAGCCTGAATATCCTGAATTGATTTGTCTTGATTTGAATCAATTTGCCTCATCTTGAACCAATTCATCTTGTCTTGGACATCAGGGCAGCCATGACAGAGTAAGTGTGTTCAAAGTGAGGTGGAGTATTTTGAGGAGGATTAATGGCAATGTGTCCTTTATTGTAATATTTTTTTTAAAAAAATAAATATTCACCTTATTTTTTGCTCATACCTCATATATAACTTCAAATTTAATTCATTTCAGGAGGCTGTATTTGCTGTTTAAATTTATCAAAGTGGGTGTTGTTTAGGGTCTGGGAACAGATTAATTCACTTTCCATTATTTCTAATGGGGAAAATTGATTCAGACTTCAAACAATTCAGAGGTCAAACGGCCTCCTGAAACTAATTAAGTTGGATGTATGAGGCACCACTGCAGTTTAGTCTTTGCTAGGTTCATATGCCATTTAGAAGGCTGAATACTAAGAACAGTTCTAACTTACTTTTTAGGATCCACTGTTGAATCAGCAATAACTGGTTTGAATGTTGTTCCTGGGGCTATTTCTTGTAAGCTTGACACAGCAGCCTAGAAAATGAATGGAAAAAAATAAATATATATAGTAAATATATTTCATAAGGTAAATATTTTAATTTAGTAGCTATTTAGCTTCTAAGCAAAGTGAATCTCAGAACCATTAGATTTATAGTGCAAGCTGAAAACAATGATAGCTGAGATTTTTGATAATTTTTTATTTATATTCAAAGATCCAACAAAGCTGCTGTCATGGGGGAACAATGCTCCCACATGAAGCTTTAGTTGTATTTTTAACTATGAAAAGTAATTTTGCATTTTAGGAAGCAATCTGAGATAGAATGTGGAAGGAGAAAAAGGCTAAGCAGTCCGGACCTCCTTATTCTGGTCCTGTAAGAGCTTGGACAAGAAAAATAAATAAGGAGATGAAACCAAAGCCTGCCTTTCCCAACCTGATATCTTCCAGGACTACAACTTCCAGCATTCCCAGGCAGCACACTGAGAGTTCTGGCCTAACACATTCTAGGAGGTGTACTTCAACACATCTGAAGGACACCAGATTGGTGACTTGTGCCCTCTGCAAGTCTATGTAAAAGTATATCCCACTGAAGTGAGGAGTCTCAAACCTAGGTTGGCATAAAAGGAAGGTTAAATTTAATAGACTAAATGCAAGTTAGCGTTCTCTAAGTCAGTCAGTAAATCTTTCTTTCTTTCTTTCTTTCTTTCTTTCTTTCTTTCTTTCTTTCTTTCTTTGCCTAATGGTCACTGCAACTAATTTAAGTGATAATAAATTATTTTCAGAAATGTAAGTGACGTTGGCTGCAAAACACCTATATTAAAGCACATATTTTAGAATATAAGGAAGGAAAGGAAATGTGTGCAAACCAAATCAAGAAGTTTTTTTACGCACAGGCAACCTGAGCAGAGTTTTGGGGGAAGCAACAATTAGTGGTTTCCGGAAGTTTCGAACCATCTGTCTACGGAGCAAGTGGAAATACTGTGCTGGGGTTGTTGGATGTACAATAAACATATTAATGTGGTCACCATCAACACCCTCCTCTGAGCTATCACATATCTGTGAAAGAAGCAAACAAAATGTGAAGCAAACTGCAACATGAGCAAATACATGTCATTCCCACACTTTCAACATTGGTCATAAAATGTTCAAGAATATGGGAATGTTTAGCATGCAGATGACCTGAAGTCAATATATTAAGCACAATCTGAGCTAAATTCCTCTAGTCAGTAGCTCTAATCCTACATAGTACATGCTCATTCTCCAGGCTCCTAGCAAAAACACTATCCATGTACCAGAGTGAACTTTGTCAAGGAAGCTCAAGGATTCTAAGTTTTTTTTTGTAAAATATTTTATAAAGTTTTCTTTGGAAAAAACAAATGAGAAAGAACTCAGTAACAGCCCAGTTAAAACTGAGTATGCTCAGTGGTCAGCACTGAATATTAGCTCACTGTTGTGGGGATCAAGAGAAAACAAAGGTAAGGAAAATGAAATCAATTATCCTGGAAATGGGCATTACTGTCTTAGTGGAATCCTGAAGAGATGCATGCCACATCACAATATTTTATTGCAGCTTCCACATGTAGGAATATATTGTATATATTTTAAAATGTTATTTTAAATTTTTTGTTGTAAGCCGCCCCGAGGCTTCGGCGAATGGGGTGGCATAAAAATGTTTTAATAAAATAAAATAAATAAATAATAATAATAGTCCCTCTTAAGAATGCAATCCCATGCACATTAGACAGGAAGTCCTACAAAAAGTGCACAGGATCATCTAATGGTCAAAGTAAGACAAACTTGTTTTCAGATTGCCAGACTTCCCTCTGATAGCAGCCAAGGATGATTCCTTCCCACACCAGGTAGTTTGTTTTGAATGATACGGCAAAGGCAGCAGGAGCATGCAAACTTCTCCAGCAACTATCTACTACAGTACGCAGCAGGATAGGCTTTCTGGCATACTCTGCGTGGACCTTCTCTGCGGTGGCGCCCCAATTGTGGAATTTGCTCCCCAGAGAGGTTCGCCTGGCGCCGTCACTTTATTCTTTTTGGCGCTGGGCCAAAACCTTTTTATTTCCCCAATGTTTTAAGACCTGACTGTTTTAATTGGGGTTTTATTATTAGCTAAATTTTAGGATGCTGTGTTTTAATTCTTTTCATTTTGTATTGTTAAACCGTCGCAAGACTTCAGTAATGGGACAGTCTACAAAAGTTTTAAATGAATGAATGAATGAATGAATGAATGAATGAATGAATGAATGAATGAATGAATGAATGAATGGAGAGAGAGAGAGAGAGAGAGAGAGAGAGAGAGAGAGAGAGAGAGAGAGAGAGAGAGAGAGAGAGAGAAAGAGAGAGCGAGCATGGCACGTCAGGTTACCTGCAAGAAACGTTCAATCCGACAAGAAGAATGTTCTGGGCCTGCCCCATCATAGCCATGAGGAAGAAGAATTACTATTCCGCTCTGTAAAAGCCATTTTGCTTCTCCTGGTGGTAGGCAGAGAACCAGGATGAGAAAGAAACACTGCATCATTTTAGATGCCATAATGGCCCATCAGCACAATTTGCACAAGAGTACTGTGACATTTCTGTCACTCACTGCAAACTATTTCATATGTTAGTTTCACCCATAAGGTACCTGAAATTGCCAATTGCTGCTTACACAACACTGACACCCACACCTTCTAAAGATAAAGCAGTGAGTTTAATAATGTTCAATGCAATGTTTCTTTTTTGCTGAAAAGTGCATGCTTCTACTTCAGCTAGTCCTCCAAAAAGTACTAAAAAAGTATCCTTAGTTATATTTTATGTCCTTCTTGCACACATGGCTGGATATGGTTTCCTTTTTCCACAGCATGCTAGCTGAAAATCACTTTTAATGTGGCCAAATTCACACAGGGATGTCTGCTGTATGACAGCTGCGGTGTCAAGGGATGACTTTGCATGAATGAAACTGGTGCAGAGCTGACACCAGAGCTTATCACCACCTGGTGCCAAGTCAGAGGATATTTTTCCATGAAAACCATTCACACATTCAATTGTGAACCACAGAGGGAGAATCCAGCTGTACAAGCCTATGTATGTCTACTCCGAAGTAAGTCCCACTGTGTTCAGTCAGACTTATTGCCTGGGAGTGCCTTCCTCAACTTGGTTTCCTCCAGATGCGTTGAAGAACAATTTCTGTAACTCCCAGCCAGCATGGCCAATGACCATGCTGAATAATTATATAGGATTTAAAGTCCATCGTTCATAAGCGGACTCAAGAAGTTCACAAAGACTTAAGGATTTAACACTAAAATTAAACCAAACTGAAATAAGATAGCAGCATAAAAAGAATATGCTTGATTATAAGGAGGAGTAGGTGTAAGTCAACTCTGAGATTAAAAACAGACAAGGGATTTCCATTAGACACAAACATCTGAATCTCACCTCCAGAGATAAAGGTATCAAATATTATCTGAGCTCCATTAAAGAAATCACCAAACTGAGCCTCCCAAATGGGCAACAAGTTGGGGCTTTCAATGCTCATTCCATACTCAAAACCAAGCACAGCTTCTTCTGAGAGGGGACTGTTGCTCACCTAACAGAGAGGGAACATGAAAACTCAAAAGTAAAAAAGTATTTTTTCAGGAAGTTTCATGCCAAAAAACTACTGATCTTTAAATCAGAATTACTGTAGAGAAACCCTTATATTTTTAAGGAGAATTATTGCAGAAGTAGATTCATGTTGCAATCCTATGCACATTTTACCAGGAAATTAAGTTGAAATGAGCACAGTAGACATCCGGATGGATATATAGATGGCTTGGGCTATATAAAAAACCAACAACCTAAGACACAGTCCCAATCTAGGATATTCTAAAAAAGTGGCAAATTAATGAGAACTGTGGAAGTTAATTTGTTTTTTAAGCTTTGAAGCCTTATGAAATGCCAGTTGCATTGCAGAAGTATGAAAACAGATTAAATCAGCATCACATAAGTTACCAGAATAATCCTAGATATGTCTACTCAGAAAAAAGTCCTGAGGGGTTTATTCTCATGTTAGTACATGTACATGACTATAACCTAATAGAGGCGTAGTACCATCACACATGACTCCTCCAAAATTCAACCTTACCTCAAGAAAGCCTTTTTGATCCAGAGACATGTGATTCAAGGGGATGTAGGTTTCACCCGTCTCTTGGCAAACCAGCATGGTGTGCCGCTGGCTGAAGGTTCCTCTGCCAACATCTTGTCCACTTAGACGGATATTAAAACCTTTGTATAACACAAAGATATGGATAAGGCCATCCATAACAACCCAACAGAACAGATGTTGAAGCTTTTTCAGCCTGAGATTGGATAATTCTGTGTGGGTGGGGGGAAATGGGAGGACCTTCCAGTGGTGGACCAAACCAAAAGCAAAAGGTGTGGTGCTGAAGTTTCAAAAATACCAGCATATTTTTGTCTAACACCTTTAATGTTGGGAACAAAGCATTGGGAGAGGGGTTCCAACCTTTTAGAATGGGGGGGGGGGACTGCACAGAAGTTAGGAACCCACCACACAACTGGTGGCTGGGGGAACACAGAAGGACCATAGCAGGTTTGCATACCTGAGGTTTAGCATCTGTGCAAGAGATCAAGAAACACTAAGGGAAAAATCCTACGCATTTTCAGGCAGCATGCTGGAAGTTGCAGGCCTTTTTCTGTTCCAGCATGTTTGAGATTAAGTCCTTAAGTATCTCTCCTTTCAAAGGCACTCTCTTCAATGAAACACTGACTTTTATTCAGCATTTAAAGTCAAATTAGTTTTCTCTTTCTTGCTGAAACATGTTTATCAATTTTTTCTAGTGTTAGTTCTTCCTAGTAGCTCTGCTAATTATATCGAGACAGTTTTTCTACAAAACAGACATTCTCGTGCTAAATGTGTGGAGCCAAGCTAACCAGTTCCCTCTGGTACAAGTGCCTGGGAGGCAGTAAAAGGAAGCTTTAACCACATTCTCTCCCAATGTTTCTCTGCTGCTACTAGTGATCTTGATCAGGACTTGCAGGGAAACTTCAATTTTCCCCACAAGTGATCCCTGCAGGTAAGATTGTTGTTCCCTTTTGCTTACTCCTGGTTTGAAGGCTTACCTTGACAGAGTAGAGAACCAAATGCTAATGCTTCAGCTGTGGCCCAGTCTAACTTTACTCCTTCTTCCATTTTCAGCATTCTTGACTGTACATCCCAAACAAAATGAAAATGCACATAAATCACTACTCGTTACCTCAGTGAGAGGTAACATACATCAACTCTCAGTTTGGAAGTTCCACCCCATTTCTGATCAGTTTTTGGATAATGAACACTGTCATATAAAGCCAGTATGTTGCAGGGGGTTAGAGGGCTGGACAAGGACTGGAGCAATTTAGGTTAAAATTTCCCACTTAGCCATGAAGCTCAGTCTGTGAACTTGGGGCCAGTCAGTGTCTCACGTTCTCTCTCATCCACCCAAACTGTTGAGGAGATAAAATGTGGAGACCACATACTCCACCCTAAGCTCTTCAGAGGAAGGGTGGCATAAAGATATTTGTCTCACATATCAAGATTTTTTGAATCATGAAATTATTATGATATTAATGCTATTATATTTTATGAGTTTAAATTTTATTTATTTATTTATTTATTTATTAAAACATTTCTATGCCGCCCCTTGCCGAAGCCTCGGGGCGGCTTACAACACAATAAAATACAATAAAATACAAAAATAACAATATAAAATTAAAATTAACAATATAAAATAAATAAAAAATATAAAAGTTTGCCTTTTATCTTACTTTTCCTTCAGGGAGCTTTGAGTAGGTTAGCTGGGGTATGCAGATAGTGTCCTAACCAGGCACTAAGATGACAAGAGATGTGCTTCATTTAAGCCATGTGCTTTCAGACTGGGCCTACACCAGGATAAGCCCTACTGAACAGACTGGGTAGCTACCTAAGGTTGCTAATATTGAGATATCAGGAAAGGGCAGCAAGCTGTTGTTGCTATTAGGTTATTATCACTGCTACTACTGACAGGAAGTGGGAAGAGGTACTTGTGGGACCTTCTGCCTCAGATGCCAAAATAACTGAGCTGGCCTTGGGTGGTATGAACCTGGACTAGTTGAGAAGGGTGGAGAGAGCATCTGCAGCTCCACCATAAGAGGCAAAATATATTAAGCTCTGGTCCACACAAATTGGCACAGGGTACCGTCAATATTTGGGCCTTTTATCACAGTGAGATGGAATTCCAGGAACAAAATAGCTCTCCCATTAATTGAGAGAGTACGGGGCCATCTTGCACGAATATTTCATACAAGAAGCCTGACCTTTTAAAATAACATGAACTGCGGCCCATTAAAAGGTCTCTTTAAAGTACCCAAGAGACAACAGAACCACTTCACACAAAATATATTCCCATATCTATTTAGTTAAAGGAATCACTGGCAAGACCAGGGTTCTTAAATTGGTTGGGCAAACTGGCTTATGGTAATACATCTGGACAATATACAAGGCGATCCTACACATCTCTACCCAGAAATAAGCCTCACTGAGTCAAATAGGACTTACTCCCAGGTACATACACATAGGAGTGCACCCTTCATTGCTTTATACTGTGCCCACTGCCCATGCTGCATGGTGACAGAAATTGTAGGCAGCACATTCAGCATATTGCCTGGTGGGAGCAAGCTGAAATTAGCCTACGCTTGCCAAAGGACACTCAGTACGTGCACAGGTGAGGCATGATTCTGAGCAGCTCTCTGTTCTCATAATATACTGAGTGCTCATCTGAGTGACTCATACCTGGGCATGCGTCTTCAGGATATGACCATGCAGCTGCATCTCTTCTGGCACATTCACAGACTTGGCTCCAATGAACTGTAGAAGCGGCACTGGTATGCCGGTATCCCAAGTGGTGATTCTTGGCAGAGGCTCCACCATGCTACTCCAGTGAGCCTGAAGATTGGTGGAAGGAGGCGTGTACAAAGTCATGTTGGCAAGATGCTCATTCAGCTTGGAATAATAGGCAGTCTTTATGTCAGACACTTCTTCCTCTGTCATGAGCCCTTGTGCTATTTGATACTCTGCGTATTTGTCCGGAATACTCTTACGGGACCTGTCAGGGGAAACAAGCTATTAGAAATACATGAAGCCGCCTCTTGCAATGTCCTTTACAAAATAGTTCAAAAGCTTCAGTTAGTACCAATTGCAGCCACCCAAATTTTAGTGGCCGAATGGGGGTGAGAGGGAGGAAGAGGCGGCAGATCACAGTGGACCAAGCTGGCTTGTAAATCTGAGCATACATTTGCTCCCACGCTTATTTTCATATTCTTCTAGAAACATAAAACAAGGCATCCTGCAGCAGGACTCTTCTGTAAGGGCATTTACTATTTGGAATTCACTGTCACTGAAGTGCCTGCTAGCTGAGGCTACTTTAGTGTATCTTGCTAGTCAAGCAGCTTTTAAAAAGATGTTTGGCTTAATTGTGTCACTTTTGATTCCATGATCTTTGTATTGCATTGTTTTAAGACAGGAGTAAATGGACTGTGGCCCTCTGGATGATTTAGCCTACATTTCCCATCAGCCCTGGCCTGCACAGCCAATGGTGAGAAATGATGAGACTTGTAGGTCAAATCAACTGGAGGGTCGCATGTTGCTCACTTATTTTAAGGATTCTGTTTTATTTCAACACCCATTTGGGACTGGGCTATGATAAAAAGTAACCAATAAATGTTGTAAATATAATAAAAAAAGATTTAGAGCATATTACTGCTAGGCAAGGAAATATACTCGATTTCCTAGTGCTGCACAGAGACCACAAAGAACAGTGAATGATCTGTCAAGCTTCAGTCATTCAAATGGAGGTATCAACTGGTCTCCTGGGGGGTGGGTGCACGGTGTTGTTGTTTTTTTTAAGAAATTTTATTAGGATTTTAAACTAATACTACAAACATCAATTGTCACACACATCAGATTTACTGGGACAACCCCCTACTACATATCTTTTAACATTCTATGATCATACTAAAATCCATTTATAATAACTTGAAAACATCTTTAGATCAGAACCAAGTCCCGTTTCTCCAGCCAATTTAAAAAAAAAAAGGTAATTCCAAATTTGGTAGAAGTCACTATCTTCCGCTTCTTCATCAGTGAAATCAGTCTCATCATTTCTTGCAAAATCCTGTTTCTCTTGACCAATGTCAAAGCGAAGCATTTCCAAGTTAAATAAGATTGCAATATCTTCTTTCTTCTTCAGTGATAAGTTTGATCTAAACATTTCTGGACAATTCAAGATCCTTTCAATTTTCTAATGATAAATAACTTCCTCACTACCACAATTACAAGTAACATCAAAAATATCCATTTAACATCTCTAAAGGTATCTTAACTACTCTACTTGGTGGTAACTAATACTTATATCTTTTACACCAATTTTCTTTAAGCTAAATTACTAATGTTTCATCTAACTTAAACACCATTTAATCAAATATGGTTAACTCCTTATAAAAACCCAGCTGTTTACAGTCTTCAACATATATCACCAACAACAATAGCTTAACCTTCCCATATCACATATAGACTTGCCAACCCATTTAAATCATTGCTTCACAGTGTCAATTGTTAATTTTAGTTATCAGTTGGGATTTAGATGCTAACTTTATTGATATATTTTGAAGAATATGTATTTGTATCTCAATTGTATTAATGTTCTGTTTAAAAAATTAAAAAGGGGAAAATAATTAAAAGGGGATTCATTTTCTTAAAAAGCAGCTATGCTTGTTAGCAAAAAAAATAAAGGTGCAAAGGCAATATAAAAATACAGGGGGAAAGCTAACTCCAGGGAGAAGAAAGGCAGAATGAGCTGAGAAAGGAAAGTGATTCCTTCCCTCCCTCCCTCTGGTCTCAGTCAGTCATGCGGGAGCTTTTCCTTGGCCTGAGGCGAGAAGGACCCAGCTTGGCCTAAACTTTTCTCCCAACCAGCTCCTTGTCTCTCTGAACCCTCCTCATCACCTCTACTTTCTTGGAGCACTTCTGAGTAACTCTAGTTCATGTTCCGATTTTTATCTTGCCAATGATTCTGTGTTTTGACTTTGACTTATCCTTCTTGCTCATGGCAGTCTGATATCATTAGCTTGCTTTTCTGGTATTTCTTTCATTGCTGTCCATTTCTCTCTCTAGTCCCACCACCACTGCATCATGCCACTGACCTGTGCTAACTCCCTTGTCTGACAACCCAATTCCTGGCAAGTGAGCAAGCATCCAGCTCTTAAATTGGCTAGCAGATCGCTGAGGAATGTTGTTCACATGAGATATAGCTGTCAGAACCTGCCTTCAGTCTGATATTAGCAGTTCCTCACTGAAAAATGCATTTCTTAATTTGTCAATCATAAAAAAATCAATAATAAAATACTATGTTTTCTCACAGTTGAGAGTTGAGTCTAGATCCAAGTAAAGAACCTTTGGTCCTTGCTGAATTTTGCACTTCTACACTGAAAGTTGAGGTGTCCCTCCTTTGAAGAAGTCAACACAATGGACGGGTTCAATACAATAACCCATAACTAAGGGTTGAATGTGGGTTGCCACTGAACTGCCAATTGTTTTTGAAACATGGGTTATCATTTTGTCTGAACACAGCCTTGATAATGAACCATCATTTGTTCTCAATCTAACAACAAACCATGATGGATTTGCTTCTTGGCTAACAAACGATGGCTTGTTAGCACAGCTGGGTTTAGACAAAATGCTAATCCAAGTTTTAATAACCACTCATCGTTCAACAACCATCCAAACTCAATTCATACTAAATCCAGTTAATTTGTTTCTAATATGCAAGCACTCTGAACTGCAACTGATAAAACAGTTTAAGTCTTAACTATACTTAGGGACAGCTGGTAATGCTTGCAACATCATTAGACCAGGAACTTACAACTGATGCTTCAAAGATCTCTGGAATTCTTTGGAAACTTATCAGGGCTTCCTCAATAAGATGAACAGTGAAAAAAGATGAGCTTTCCTGGAGCTATATTTGTCCCCACCTCTCTTATCCTGCAATGTGCAATCAGAGGAAGAAGCTCAGTGTTCCAAGGAGAATTTTCAGTTCTTCTCAGATGACGCAAGGCTAGTGCCCTGCATTAAATTGAATTGTGTGCCTATAGCATGTCCAAAGTTCTCTGCAATCTAGAGAGGTTCTGTAGCAGATAAATTCATTTGATTTCCATGATGACAGAAAATTTGAAAATTACTCCCAATATAATAGTAGGAGTGCCATGTAAAAGTTCTCATCAAAGTATTTTGAACAGGTATTATTAACTGGAAGCACTGACCCATACCTGATGATTTTATACATGGTGGGGTTAGTGAAGGATGGCTCATCTAGTTCATTGTGTCCCCACTGCCGGTAGCAGAGCAAATCCACAATCACATCTTTACGAAACTGGCGCTGGTATTCAACAGCTAATCGGGCAGCTCGGATTACTTCTTCAGGGTCATCCCCATTCACATGGATAATTGCACAGCCTACTATCTTGCCTAAAAATGAGAAAAAGAATCTGAAAGCGCCATGCAATTTGTAACCAATGAAGCAACACACAGCTCAGCAGCAGCATATGGTAGGCACTGAGATGAAGGACTAAGTGGAACTGCAAAATCAGGACTGGTTGATAAGCACTGGGATGACTACAAGATATGGCAAGAGGGCTGCAGGGCCAGCCCTACCATCAGGCAGACTGAGGTGGCCGACCCAGGCAGCAGATGCTGGGAAGCAGGGTGTAGCAGCAAGACAGGACTGAGCTGTGTGAGCAATGTAGACTTTACTGCATTGCCTAAGCTAGCCTGTTGCCTTCAGGTGTGGTGGAAGATATTGTTCTGTTGCCAGTGTTGAAACCAAATTCAAGCAGCAGTCTGATTGACTTGTGTGCAAAGAATGAGTAGGGTATCAGGCAGCCAAATGCTAGCCCTGGATTATAATTACTTGCTTTACAGTACAGTCCTACACATATTTAGACTAAAAAAGGCCTCCAGCATCCAGCATTCCCCAGCCACTCATGCTGCAGGAGTTTTTTTTCCTGTCTAAACATGCATTAAATTTGCACCCTTCAACATGTAAGTCCTTTTAGATTTAGGAATTACCTTTCCACATTCAAGTTATGAGGGTTCTCCATAAAACCCAGCATTCCAGGTTACACACCTGGCCTCCCCGCACTTCTCACTTTTGTCAGAAAACTCGGATGTGTTCTCTGACAAAACAAGTAGGGGTGCCATTCCTGCAACTACTATTTTCAGAACCATGATCAAATATGCACAATCTAACCCCCCTTAGCATGTGCCATTTTTCTGCAGATCCTGTGATACATACCAATATCACTGCAGTACAAAGAGGACCTCCCTCGCTCTGCTGGAGTGGTGTAGCCCAGCTGGTTGTTAACAATGAGATGGATACTTCCACCTACTCTAAAATGTGGCAGATTGGAAAGTGTAAACGTTTCAGGAACAATGCCTTGACCAGAGAAAGAAGCATCACCGTGAACCTATATCACAAGAGGAAATGCAGGAGAAATGTCAGAAATTGCTGACAGTTCTTGGAAGAGAACTTTTGCTCATGAGGGAAAATGAAACTAAAACTAACACATAACATTTCATGCTTAGTTATGAAGCATAGTACAGAACGTCTGTCACTTCCTTTCACTAGGTGTCAGAACACTTTGAAATTGTCGCATTTATATCCCTCCTTTTTTCTCTCTGGCAAGGAACCTAAAGGGGCTTGCATGGTTCTCTCAGCAGAATGATGTTGTTCATGCAATTCAGGGATGCAGAATCTGTTTCATTCAATAGGTCAAATTCAGTTTCAGAGAAGTTCTGTGTTGCCTTCGGAGACCAAAGGCAAAAAGGGTGGGGGCAAAATATCACCTTGCTTGAACTTAAAGCTCTTACAGGCAGTAATTAAGCTTTAGGAGAGACAGTCAAACCTTTCTGAAAGAAGGGAAACACTGTGCAAAAGCTGGGCAACCATGCAATGACTGATGGTCAGAAGAAAGGGTGACCTGCCAAGGAGCCTTGTGGGGCTGGATTGGTACTACAGGATGCCAGATATGGGTCACAAGCTTGCAGTTCTCCACTCATGATGCACTTATTTGTATATTCTGTTTCTCCTCTGAGACTGACAAAGCCAAGACCATTTAGCTTAACATATGCCTGGAGGATATTCCCTGGATCCATAAAAATTGGACTATGGCATCAGCTCACATCTAGTTACCTATGATCATAATTGTCTATTTCCCCAGCATATTGGATTGATTTTCAAAATACCTGGAGGCAGATGACTTTATCTCCAGGCTGTGCGGAACTGTCCAGAGAGTAATCTCCATCAAGCAGAGACTGCTGTCTCCCCCTTGTTTTGCCAACTGCCACAGGGTTAATGGCCTCTAGATGAGACGGGTTTGGTAGCAGAATGACGTGAATGGGGCGATGAGACCCAAAGTCCAGATCTACTGAGGCTGTCAGGTGGGAGAGCACATCTCCAATCGCTGGGGAATTATCTGGAAATTCACTCAAGCCTCTCATTTTACGGAACATCAGCTTCACAAAAAGAAATGAAATTTAAATTTAACTTTGAATACATTTGCAGAATATGCTGGATGAAGATGAATAGAAGTTGTATATTGCAAGTGCTCCCAAACATCTGGACCAGTTGCTGATATTATTTCCTTGTTGCATAAAGGTTGGATTAAAAAAAACTAACCTGTGTTCTATCCCAGCCTACCTTTCAATGCTTGATTTGCATACTAAATTTCCTCTGTGAAGTCACAAAACTTGCCTGCATTTCTTCTAAAAACAAATCAGTCACTATGGCTGCCCATGTGGAGTATACTGAAAATACTTCTGCCTGGCTCTGTTAGGGGCTGTAAGATGTGAAAGTGGCACTTAACACATGAACTGGACTGCTGTGTAAAGATTCATTTAACATATGCATCTCTTGACTCCAGGGAGTATACACAAGTTATTCTATTGATCTCCATAAGAACTCTAAGAGTGCGACTGGTCAAAGGTGATCTAGTGAATGTCACAGTTCAACTTTAAACCCAGGCCCACTCCACCCAACTCCACTGTCCTATCCATACTAGCTCTACATGCTCCAACTGCGGTTGTCTGAGGTATGACCTGACAGAGAATCTCTCAGCACTGGGTCAAACCACATACTAAGTGGCTTTCAGTGGTTTTTTACTGCACCACAGCGATACCACCCAAGTTCATACAGAAGGTCCAAGGTTTGATCCATGCATCTCCAGTTAAGCAGCAGATGATGGAAAAGATGTCTGTTTGAGATCTTAGATGCTTACTGCCAATCACAATAGACAATACTGGGGCAGATGAGCCAGTGTGGCACACTTGTTAGAATACTGGATTGGGATTCAGGAGATCTCGGTTATAGTCTCCACCTGGCCATGAAGTTCACTGGGGAACTTTAGGCCAGCCACTGACACTCAGTTTAACCTACCTCCCAGAGTGCTTATGAGGAGAAAATGGAAAGGAAGATTATGTAAGCTGCCTTGAGTACCCAGCAGGAACCCAAAAAGGTGGGATATAAGTAATAACAGATTAATATGTGCTGAAATGCATATTGGATGACATCTGGCATACTGAAAGATGTCTAGCAGGGCAAGCCCCAGTCCATTGGCTTCTATGCAGCTTTTGCCCCTGACTTTATTAAGATCTGTATTTCAAATTAAAAATAGACACATCTAGAAGAAAAAAAAAACTTACCTCGGGTGGAAACTGAAGAAGGCCTGTGAGGAGATTGAGTCTGCCTCGATGAGGCATTCCAATGATAATATCTGTCACCCCGCCATAAGAGCACATCTTTAACAATTCATGAAAGAATCCCATCATACTCTCTGCTCCTTCACCACCGTATCTTTTCACTGTGGCAAACTTTGTAGCCAAAAAATGATCAAATTCCTGTAAAATATGGTGATTGCATATACTTTTAGAAGAATGTGTCTTTGACAGTAAGTCAGGCACTATGTAAATGTAACATTCCAATTTCATCATTAAGACTGAGAGACTACTATGTGCTTTTGTTCCTCTCTACTGCGTGAATCTCCTGCTTTGCTTCGTAGTTTTCTTTAATCATAGTATAGCATTACATCTGCATCAGTGCTAACCATGGTTAAAACAAACCAGGGTTGGATTCCGAACATGGTTGCTAGTTCAATTCAAAGCATGATTTCAAACTGTATGAGCAATATGTTTAGTGCCAATACAAACGGATAATGAAAACCATAGAAGGAAGAAGTGACTATAGGCCAGAGTGGTATAGAGAAAGTATGCAAGTCTGACCACAGCAATCACAGAAGATGAAGAACAAGTTTGCCTTCACCAGAGTATAGCTATGCTTTGAGAAAATGAACGAAAATAGCTTTACTGCTGCCTCCTCAAAACACTTAAATAATGGTCTATCATGTTAATCAGTTCACTTATATTAGTCTGCATAAAAACAGTTTGTTTTGGAGCATCACAAGACACCACATTGTGTTTAAAACAGGTGATCTTTGAGATCTCAACCATTGTATAACAAATCATCACTATGACAATATAAGCATTTTGACAGCGCAAACTCATGTCTCTTCCAGTGCAGGCAATTGGGAGATATTTGAATGCCATTTTTGCCCTGAGAGCCACATCCCCTGAAAGAAAAACCATCCAAATCGTAAGTTCCCCACTGAAATTTGGCAGCAAACCATTCTGTAGCACCACAAGGGTTAAATTTAACTTGCTTGGAAGATAAATTCTTCCTTGTAAATTGTAGCACTATCGGTGCCATATTTTTTCAGGGTCTACCTACATCTTATACAAGTAGCATGTATGGCCTTAGATGTATACAATACATCTTTATTTTAGTTTGGCAAAAGGTTACACATTTATAAAAGTCAGTAATACTAGAAAACCTACCATAAATCCTCACTAGAAAGTTATTTCTAGGAGTTTGGTATGAATGGGCAGTTGCCACTGGCCCCAAGCAGAGCCATTTATTTATTGGGGTTTGCATCCTATTCACTCATTCAGCAATACAGACAAAATCTTTCTACAGTAGGGTAGCATGTATGGCCTTGTGTTTTTTGAAATAAAAAACAACAATGACAACAAAAGCTTTTACAGCTTATCACTTGAGCTCTTGTGATAAGAGCGGACTCAAAATGTACTATTTACTTTGCTATATAAACATCAGCCTTTTCTATTTTTTCTAGCCATTTGAGTAACTCAAGAAATGGCCATTTTCCCTTGTCATTAGGATCCAGAACTAAGGCAACTGTTAACATGAAAGCACTTTTGCTTCCTTTGGGAATTGGATCCACAATAAATTGCAGAACAAAGGGGATGGCAGACACCAGCTCAAACACATTTCTGTGTAGCACAGAAAACCCTCTTTCCCACAGAAGTATGTTTGTTACTAACAACTGGTCTAAAAACATTTATCTCCATTTTCCGATGCTTGAGATAATTTACTTATTCACTTTTAGTCGAAGAATTGTAAATATCAATTACATTAAGTATTTCAATCACACAGATGTGATTAAATGTCTTCATATTGATAAATTAATAACCCTTTAATCAAATTTTTAGTTTAATAACTACACACACTTATACAATGCACCTGAGATTCTAGCATGAGCTTGGACAAGTACTTTTTCTCTTCTGTAGTGAATGCTTCTTGTTTCAGCTCCTCAAAGCGCTTTGCAATCCATTCCCTTTCTTGTAAACTTGACAGCTGACTAGTCTCTATAGACATATGTTCACAATATATATGGTCCAGGTAAGACAATACATCCTCAAGGGATGCTTCCTCCTTTCCCATCTTCAAAAGTCCTGTAAATAAGAACAACAACGAGGATTACATCTACCTGGCAACAGCACTGAACAGCAAACACTAAGTGTAGTATCCAACATTTTCCTGGTACTAGCAACAGTGAGGTTCTGTTAGCACAAACTAATACTTGTGAAATAGAACTAATGCAAATTGCTGCTTTTTCCTGTTGTCTAGTTACATTGCACAAGCATCACACATGCTACTGTGGTGCTATTAGTGTTAGTACTAGGCAACATTTGAAACTTCCCTAAGGTACTGCCCTACCAACCAGACCATCGATAAAGTTTTCCTGCTCTTGCTTTCAGAGAATGAACCAGCAAATGTTTTATTGCAGTCGCTACTACAGTATGATAGATCTGCAATTCTCAAATATTATATTAAGTGATAAAATATTTCCTTGGGTGCCAGCTACCTGCACAGGAACCACTGAGTTGAGGAACAATTCATACTTCATTAATTTAGTTGATCAGGTCACACACCAAAGGTGCAATCCTAAGCATAGAAGGTTGACATTAAAAAGTGCCACAATTCCCAGCATGCTCTAGGCAGACATGCAGGGAATTGTTGCACTGTTTTCTGTCTAACCAAGGACAGGAGTGTGCCCTAAATTAACTATGCCTTTATACAGGAACCCTGTGAATGAGGCAGACTGTATAGTTTTTTTGCTATGCCAGCACTGCCTGGAGTCAGTAATACTACTGTGATGAGCAATCATGCCTTTACCTAACCCATAAGGTTCCTCTCTACCAATATTACTGGTGCATGGGACCAAGCAGACGTGACTTCCACTCAGCCACCACTATGTATGAACTGGGCTTAGATTCTCATGCTGCCCCTCTCTCTACTATTCAGTAATAACAGCTTAGTGAATCATCTGTGAAGCTGCTGTAAGGAACACCAGTATTTAGTATTTAAGTATCATTTTAGATCCAATAACCTTGCACAAAATTAAAAGATACAGATCTTTGCTGAGAGCATAAAACAAGGGTCCTCAAACTTTTTCAACAGGGGGCCAGTTGAAAGGTGCCAGTACTGGGCACAGGCCAGAAAGGCAGTGCTAGTGGCGCACGTGGGCCGGTGAGGGGGCGGAGCAGGGTGAGGCAAGGCAGGGGCACGAGGCTGTGGCTTGCTCATTTGGAGATTGTTTTCTCCAGGTGAGTCCAAAACGATCTTCACAGGAGCAAGCTGCTGCCTCCCCGCGTGCGGGGTAATGTAGGCGGCGGCAGGTGTGGGCGCGCAGTGAGTCCAAAACCTCCAAATCTGGCCCGCGGGCCGGAGGACACATGGCATAAAAGAAATATTTATACAAGACTTGCCCAATCTACAACAGCTTAACTCAAAGGTAGAGTCAATGGGATGGGATTAGTCTTTCAGTCTTCATTTCAGTGCTTCACAGAGCAATCCTATGTATGTCTACACAGAAATAAAATCCAGTGCATTTAATGGGACTTACTCCCAAGTAGGTGTGACACACCAACCTGGGAATACCCCACTGTACACAGCAGTACTTACTTCTCAGTAAGCATGTATAAGATCAAACTTCATGTTAGTAAGACTATGTACTTTTTATTGCAGTATTCGAGTATGTATTCAGCCCGAACAATATTTGATTAGAAAGAAGCTTTCTTTCTTTCGTTCTTTCTTTCTTCCGTCCTTCCTTCCATCCATCCTTCCTTCCTATCTGGGACCAAAAAGCATATAGCATAGGTGCCCATCAGACCCCTTCTATAGGGCATTCTGAAGTCAAGGCACCTCCACAAACAAGCTGTACTTTTGCGTAATACACCTTTCCTAACAATGGAACTTGGAGAAGGGTTTCATTTTATGCTTTTGTGGTTGCTGTTATTGTTATACTTATGTAAACTACACTAGCATTTTTTGGTAAAAGGGAGAATATAAATCTCCCAAATAAATAAAAGTGTGTTCAGAAAAGTTGTACTGTGGAAACTATTGGAAAACATATGAATATTTAATATATTTATTTAAATACCAGTCCAGGAAAATCCAATCCCCTGCCAAATTATGTATGTGCAGTTATTCCACATTATCCTAACAATTGTATGAGAGATTAGGCTGAATGACAGTAACTTCTCCAAGAAAACACACACACACACACACACACACACGACCTCTTCTACACCCCTATATTGATTTCTTCCCCATTAACTCATATTGGAATAAGGTGGCCAGCTTGTGGCACTCCAGATGTTTCAGCTTGCAACTTCTGTTGTTTCTAGACAGCAAAGCAAACAGAAAGGAATGATAGGAGTTGTAGGCCAAAACATCTGGAAGACTACAAATTGCCCATCCTAATTAATAGCACAAACTCCATCTATGTCTACACAGTAGTAAGACCCATTCCAACTTATTCCTAGATGAGTTGATATGGAATTGCAGCCTAAACTCAAGAATGTGAAATGCTTTGAACGTTACGAAACTTCTACAGAAACATTAATATTACAGAAACTGATAAATTATCTCTTTCTCTCCCTGTCCTTTCTTGAATATCTTGCCCAGAAAGAACAGGCTATGATGTATGAGACTCCTTTATGAACTAGACCACTAATGCTGCAATTCTATACCAATTTAGTTAGTAAGTCCCCCTGAACTTAGTGGGCTTCCTCATGGGTAGACATGGATGGGCATAAACTAAATTGTCAATAATCTCCAAAAGATGCAACACACTTAGAGAAGAAACTTTTGACTGGCCCTACCTACAGTATTAAAAGGTCCTTGCAGTGCTTCTGTTAGAACTTGAATTTCAGGTACCATATCCATCACAGCTTGGCCAGTAAACAGAGGGTTGATTTTTGCAGCTTTGTGTCCATGTTCATAGTATGCAGCGACTAAGCGAGCCAGTCCATGGTCAACTAAAAACAAGGGAACTGAGATCATCTTAGTATGAAAGCACTACATTAGTACAGTGAGCATTTGCTATAAAGGACCCCAACCCCTCCCACTATACTGTAGTGAAATCACGAGAAACACATCGGCCCAAGAGATTTAATTTTGAAAACTTCAGGTGAGGCATCCCTGCCTCTGCCACACCCCCATCCCCATACAGAGTTCTCCCCACACATCTCCATCCATGGAAATGCCATTTGACAAGACTCTCTCATTCCCTTCAATAAAAGAGTTCTGTATATTCAAGGAGTCGTGTGTAGGAGCTTCTCAGGAAAATGGGCAAGGAAGCTCTATCAGATTCGGAATGCTGTGAAGATATGTGCAAGAAACCATGGGATGTACGTGCCTCACAACATAGCTATTTTTAAGGCAATCAGAACAGATTTTATTACTGAAACTTTTTGTGTAGTTCCATAGCTAGCAAACTACCATCTGTTCACTTCCTTGGTATAAGGAACCTTCATATGTCAGTCACACTCCCACTGATTCATAACCATGTTTAGCTAGGCAGCCACATTTGGAAGTCTGTGGGAGGAGCAGTTTCCAAAGGCAGCTCCAGAGAGAGTGCATCACATTAGTCAACCCTGGAGGTCACCAATGCATGTACAACCGTTGCCATGCTATCCTTCTTTAGGAGTGGTTGCAGCTGGTGAGTGTCCCAACAGGGACTGCTATGCTATACAGCACAGGCATTCTCAAAATTGTGGGGCAAGACACAAGCACAGGGAGGAATTTGAAGCATGGGCAGGTAAAGCATTTCTCCCTCACATGCCAGGATTGGATGGTTTGGAGGACCCCTTACTTGATTCTTAGTGTGGGTGCTTCAACTCCCACAACAGTGGTGGGCAACTTATGGGCCCTGGAGACTTTCACATACAGCTTCCATAGCCCCTCATCACGGGCTAGGCTGAATTTAGAGTTGGAGACAAGACATGTGGAAAGCCACAAGTTGCCCACCCTGCGCCACACATTGATATAATTTATTTATTTTATTTACTTATTTAAAACGTTTATATGCCGTCACCACATGCCTGGGCATCTCGGGACGGCTCACAAATGTACAATTAAAAACAATAAAACAATACAAATTCTTCTGCAAGACTTTAGGAGCAATATGGGGATACCTTATTCTAGTTAAAAACATAAGAAGAGCCATGCTGGATCAGACCAAAAGTCCAACTAGTCCAGAATGCTGTGGCAACCAGCTACCTGTAGGATCCCACAAACAGCATGTGAGGGAAACAGCACCCTCCTGCCCACATTCTCCAGTATATGGGTGTACTGCCTCTGATACTGGAGGTACTGTATAGCCCTTAGGTCTGATAGCCTTCTCCTCCATTAATTTATCCAATCCCCTTTTAAATTGATGTTCATCCCTACATCTAGTGGAAGTGGATTCCATACTTCAACTATGCACTGCATGAAGAACTTCCTCTGTTCTGTTCTACTTGGATTCTTTATTTCTCTAAACATTAAAGCAAGTAACTTACAAAGCATGTTTGATATGCAAGAGAAAAGCATATTAGCAACTTGCTTATAAGAATGTAAACAAATACAAAGTGAACGGAAGCAGTAATAATGCCAAACAAATCCCCCACCATCAATTGCAGCACAATATCCACATGTTTAAATTCCTATTCTTCTTGGATTGGATTAGCAGTTTAATCTACAGATTAAACTATATGAATGTCCATGCACAGAATCTGCATGTTCACCTGTGGAACTAGTAGATCAGCACAAGTTAAAGAATGCTTAAAAACAGGTATAACTATTAATTCAAGCATGCTGCAATCAGAATCAGTCCTGAGGCTTAACATATGGCAGCAGGGGGAATGAAAGAGACTTGTTATAACACATTGTGAATGCTATGTTACATCACAGCAGAAACTTTGGGACAATTCCAAAGCCAGTTATATCGAAGACATACAATCCTGCGCATGCTTACTTGGAAGTTAGGAAGACCTATTAAAATCCATCGAATTTGTAAAGCAGGTCTAAGATCAGAGCGCTAAGGTAAGAGCGCTAGAGCACTTTTAGGAAAGAAGCGAAGGAGTGATCTTACAGACACAGGATTAGTAGATTTTAAATAGGAGATAGGCCTTCAACTGCCTGTGTGCTATAGCTGGTCTGAACACACATTAGGTGCTTTCCGAAGAATGAACAGGAAAAGCATTATAAGTGTGTTCCAAACACTTGCACATCAAGCGCAAACCTAACCCTAAACCTCTCTGTTCAGGGTCTAAGTCCCACAATGCTCAAAGGATCTGAATTAAACGTGCATAAAATTGCAGCCCCAAAATGCCTCTCTTCATCTACGTCCAGTAATCTTGTATATTTTATGTTTTATAATAGCGCCACTAGTAAGCCCCAATATTATCCCTCTTTCCGCTTGCATCTAGTGCAACCTTCCCCCATCTGGAGCTCTCCACAAGTGTTGGACTACAACTCCCACAATCCCCCAGTAAATGCAAAGCGTTCAATTCCTCTTTCGCTTCAATTCCGGAGATGGAAGGAGCAACAAGTAGCAAGCATCCCCTTACAGTACCGACAGCAGAAGCGCCTGGACGTCCACCGACCTGCTTGCCGGGAAGGATCCTTTCGCTCTACGCCATCACCGGTCCCGCTCTCCGCTTTCCGGCTTGGCTTGTAACCGTACACGCCCTTCTCGGTGCGATAGAAGCGCCGTAGGGGCAGACCCACTGGCGGCCTCAGCAGCGCGATTCGGGCTCCCAGCGCCAGAACGGCAGCAGATGCCCCAGCCGCTGCCATTGTAGCCGTCCCGGTTGGTTTACCCGTGCCCAAAAGGGGGCATCGGCCTCAGACAACTCCCCCTGCCCCGATTGGCTGGGCTGGGAGAGGAGGAGCAAATAGATCGGCCTTTAAGGGAAAGGATTTTTAAAATATCGATTGTGAGAGGTGGACATGTTTGATTGTGTAGTCGGTCCAGACCAAGCTGTTTCCTCAGACGCCACCAATCCTGATAGCGTGCAATCCACCTTGCCAAATTTGTATACAGCACCAGAATGCCAAAAGGAAAAAATATATATTTCTGCAGAAAAGCATTTCTACTATGCTCTTCAGTCTGATACACTCCAGAGGTAGTTCTAGAGATAGAAAAGCATACAGTTGAAAGTAAGCTGCAAACACCCTCTCTAAAACAGATAACCACATAAATTTTGTGGCTTTATTGTGAGCTTTTCCTGTGTTTTTGTTCTATTGTATTGTTGTAGTTTATATGTTTACTATTATTGCTCGTGTTTATTATATCTTGTAACCTGCCCAGAGAGCCATACTTGGTAATGGGCAGGATAGAAATTTAATAATTTAGTTGACTGTCCTGAATAACTGCCTGAGCTTGATAATGGACTGGATGAGGGCCAATAAATTGAAACAATCTAGATAAGATGGAGCTGTTGTTGGTGGATGGTCCATCTGCCCAGAGGGCAGGCCTTCAACCTCTCCTGGATGGGGTTGCATGCCCTCAAAGGGCAGGGTTTGCAGCTTGAGGGTGCTCCCAGACTCAAAACTATCACTTCAGTCTCAGGTAGACTCAGTGGCCAGGAGGGCCTTCTTTCAGCTGCGTTTAATTTACCAACTGCAGCCCTATCTGGGCAGAAAGAGCCAAGCCTCAGTGACACATACTCTAAACTTTCCAGCTTTACTATTGTAATGCATTCTTTGTGGGGCTGCCCATGTGCACCCATATCACCCCAATATTATATCGGTTACATTGGCTACCAGTTGAGCTCCGGGACCAATTTAAGGTGCATGTGCTAACATATAAAGCCCTAAATGGCTTGAAATCAGGGTACCTGAAGGACCATCACCTCTCATATATAACTACCTGGTCCTTAAGATCTGGTAAGGAGGCCCTTCTGAGAGAGCCTTCCCTTAAGGAGGTAAAGAGGATGGCAGATAGAAGTGGGGCCTTCTCAGTGGGTGCACCCCATTTATGGAATGGCCTTCCAAAAGTAGTTCACCTGGCACCATTTTTATAATATTTTGAGTGCCAGGCAAACAGTCCTTTTCTCCAGACATTTTAACAAATTGATTTTATATTTGGATGTTATTCATACTGTTTTTAGATTTAATATATTTTAACTTATTGATATCTGACCTTGGTTGCATATTTCTTTTACTGTATGTTGTTTTATTATTTTATGTACTTGTGTTATTTTATGTACTACTATAATGCACTTAGAGAGTCTTCAGACTAGTATAGTGGAATATGTTGAATGAATAATAGTATAAATAAATTTACTAGCAATAGATTAACAGCTGATAAATGAATAAATCCTAACATCTAGAATTAAGCTTGAAAGATTGTTGAGGGAGTTGGATCTTTGGGGTCTGCCAAAAAGCAAGTTAAGAGGAAGCTAAACAGGCCTCCCAAAGGAGGGCTTTCCAAAGTTTTGGAGACACAACAGATTTGTTTTACAATAGTGGTCTGCCACCTTCTGGGACATGGGGGCTGCATTACAGTGCCCAATGCCTAAAGAGAAGAGGGCCTCATCTTAAATCCAAATATAACAAAATTATTAACCTACCAATTTAGATCAAAGTAAACATACAGAAGTGAATGAAGAAATGGTATCTTGAATGCAATCCATTTTGGAGCAATATTTTACTGTGGAATCCTTTTATCTAGTTACACATGCTTAGCCAGTGTAGTTTTTGTGGCTGTTTTCTGTTAACCAAGTCATTAATGTCCAAGTCAAGGTTTGTGACAGACACCCTTAAAATATCATGAAGTCTTGCGCTGCATTTGGATTTCACATTTTTCATCTTGGAAAATGTTTGTTCACAGATGCATGTGGTGCCAAAGATTATGAACATGCCAAATTTCTTTAAGTTGATAAATAGATCAGGTAGACCACAGCAGAAATCTAATAGACTATTTTCTTTTTAAATGTCTCTGAGATGATCACCGGTTTGCAAATCAATTAGTTCCATCTGAAAAGTTACTTGCATCTTCTGGTGCTACTTCAAATGGTTCCGAAACATTTCCTTCCATGCTTATAGCAATCATGAATCTGCTCTGAAATTTTACCTGCAATAGGTTCAATGCTTTGATGTGCCTTTCAACATTGAATTTAAATTCTCATCCTTCTCAAATTTTAGTTCATTGCAGCATGAGGAGTTTGCAGTTACTTTCACTAACTTGCTTCACAAAAATGTTTAGTTTTGCTTCAAAAGCTTTCAACTCAGAATGTCACACACAAGCTTTCCTTTTCTATGCTTCTTAGATTCAAAAGCTCTGTGATATCAGTTAAGAAAGCCGAATCAAAAATGCTTCCAGGGTCAGAAAGTACTTCTTGACCTTTTCCTTTCTTGAGAAACACATCGACTTCATGATGAAGGCTGAAAAAACGTTTGAGGATTTTGCCTCTGCTAAGCTGACTAGCTTCTGCATGGTACGATATTCTCCATATTCTACATCTGAGTTAGGCCATGATGCCTGCTATAATTACTGTGTAAACAAAAATGTGCATTGCACTTTCCCACTGAAGAATCTTATTACACAAGGCTTGCTGATGGATGATGCAGTGAAATTGCATGGGATGTGTACTGTTTAATTTCAATATCTCTTTATTGATTCTTGCAACTACACCAGTTTTATTTCCCCCCATATTTCTTGCACCATCGGTTGTGATGCATTGGTTTATCCTAAAAAGGGAGCAGGAAAAAGAGCAGTAGATGGTGCTGCTTGAGGCAGGAAGAACGGTGTGGGTCTGAGGGAAAATGCCTTGAAGGTGATAGCAATAAACAAGCAGGCTGGAGGACCACACAGAAAGAACTTTGGGGCCGCAGGTTGGAGATTCCTGTCTTACAGTAAAGGAGCATGCCACGTGCCTCTGACAGTGATTTGAATGCATTATATGTTCAAATATAAATATTGATTTGAGCCCTAAATGCCTTTGAGTATAGACTGCAATCCTATGCACCCTTTCTTGGAAGTAAGAGGGCTTTAGTAAACATGGGGAGTCCTGGACTAGTAAATGAAGTTGGAAAATTGAGAAAGTTGTGAGAAATGGAAGCACTGATGCAACCTCAGTGAATAATTCAGTTAGGGACAGTTCTCTGAAACACTTGGACATAATTGTGGCCTATTGATCAGTTATTTGAACTGATCAACAACTAGAACTTCTAGTGCTTGCTGCTCAGTTTTACAAGAATTCCCCACTTTGTCCAAATTTCCCCAATTTATGGTTCATTTCCCCAAATATTCTCTTGCAGATTTGATGGTTGCAGATTTGGGGTTGCAAAGTCACTTTCATATGGTACTGAAAGTTCTGGTGTCATGTGCAAAAAACTTCAAAATCTCTCATTTGTGCCAAAATCTCCACATTTTCAATAAACCAATGAGAGTATTGGGTAGAAATCTTAATAAACCTTTTCCTTTATCAATCCTTAGTTCTATCATTTGGGCAGTGATAGAAAGGAAAGAGTAAAATGGAAGGAAGGGCTGTTGGTATTCTCTAGGATCTTGGAAGAACAGCTTGTTTCATATTGTATTTTAACTTCTGCAAGCCGCTTTGCAGATAATTGAATTGAAAAGCATCATGAAATAAACACTAACTTAGCACAGATGAATTGCAGTGGCCATGCATATATATTTTCACAACTATGCAGAACTAAATATTCCAAAAGAAACTTCACTGCTGTCCAACTTAGTTATTTAATTTAAAAATAAAATGGTGATAGCCCTGAGAGTGTAGATTTCATCTACTTTAACTTCTTTGTTCTCTCTAGTCTATTTTTTTATGCTCTCCGGCAAGCACTGGATAATCATGCTGATACTTAAGTGTATTCAAAATTATATTTTAGAGACTGAATAGCTGATATAAGTGTATTTTAAACAATAATGGTTGTGCCATGCTTTATAATGTCAGACATTCACTAACAGAAATTTATAGGAAGTTATTTTGAATTTTCTGTAACTGATATGCTAAGAATTATGAATAGAAATGTCTTGTATAAAAAATAACAGTTTTCTCCACACTGATTAAAAGCCTATACTAAATCATCTAAATGTTCTTTCTTGTAGGGTTCCTGTCTCCTAAACTGAGTTGTTTCTAGATGAAGCTATCATCTTGTATTCACACTGCCTTATTCAAGGGATTTTAAAGGGATCCACATCACATCTTCATTTTATAGCCCTCTTGTGTTTTTTCTTCTTCCCTCTCCTCCTCCTCTAGGGATTCAGTGGTTGATCAAGATCAGAGAGGCCCCTTCAATGCTTCCCCCTAGAAAAAAACAAGATGGGGTGAACCTAAAATCAATTCTAACCAGTAGGCATAAATAACTGTAGCTGTAACAAATCTCCATAGCACTTTGAGGACATTATCAGATCTCCTAAATCAGATTGCCACATAAAGCAGTGTCTGCTCAAGACTTGAAACAGAGTGATCTGCTGAATCTGATGTTAGTCAAAAATCCCAAAAACATCCAAGGGAATAGGAGAAAGAAATAATCTTTCTTTGAGCAAGTCCACTCTCCCAGGATTTCTGACAAGTTTGATTCATGCCATATCCAATTTTTAACATTTGATGGAGGCAAAGGAAGTCTGAGAAGCAGCAGAAACCTCCAAGAGGCCAAATGCCACTGGCCTTGTCTCTGTTGAGAGGAGCACATGGTAAGCTACCCAGAGAACTTCAAATATTGGGCAGCTCCTTAAAGGTGGAACTTGCAATCTGAAAAAAAAGTCATAGCCAATGCTAAATGGCTCACTGTGACTGCAGCTTATTGAACTCTGCAATGAGTCACAACCACCTCATGGAAATCATGTTGCATTCAAATGTTGGATGCATGTGAGTTCATGCTGCATGTGAAACAGATCTCTGAAGTAGGAGCTGGCAATCACTTTCCTGCAAGGTTTAGTTTCACATACGTTTTACCAGGTAATAGCCATTCTGTTTCCAGTGATAGGAATCTGCACCAGAACACCTGAAATGGGACATTAACACATTTGTATTTACAACAAGTACACTCTCTCTGTCACTACTGTTATTCTAGTTACTGCCAATATACCACAGGAATATGCACAAAGTATACAAGGCATGGTCTCCACTGTTGGAAAATAAAATGTCTTCCAAATATTTATGCACAGTGTTATTACTAGAAAATCGAGCCATCCTCAGTACTTAATTTTCCATGAAAATTAAACCAAAGGAAAGGTTTCAGTATAGTCAGGCTTAGTGTCTGTACCCAATGTCTACCTTTTGAATCCTAGTCCAAATATCATGTTTTGTGGACCAAATATTATTTACAAGCATACAAACGTAGTGAAACCTGTGTTTACCAAGGTTAGATGGAATGATATAGTATGATAATACTATAGTATGATAATATTGGCCTAGTCTTATTGCATGAAAACCTCCATCAAGCAACATATTATTCATAATGAACAAGAACACGTTATTAATAAATTATTTTAGTATGCCCAAACTGAATATATTACTCAGGCCTTGTTTCTTCTATCATGGTGTTAGGGTTAGGTGGTCAAATGACCACGGGACAAGTGTTTTGCTTTTGGTAGTGAAAACTAGCCAAGGCTAGAGCCATTTATATACAAGATAATTCTAGTTACTTGACTAAATGAGGCAAGATTTTCCCCATCCAACCATCAACATATACAAAATGTAGCTTCAGACTCTGCATGTATAGCAATGTAGGAGTGTGTTCTGGTAAAACTAGTAATTTTGCTTTGATGGCCAACAGCAGAGACTTGGTACAGAAGTATGATCTCAAAACAGAATTGGCTTAGAATTTAGAAAAGCAAATTCATTTCTACCTTTAAATGAGTAAAGAATGCCTCTTTAAAATACAGCATCTTTTAATTGTATTTTAGGCTATTTAAATTAATTGTAAGTCTTTTTCCAAATTCTTGTTTTATATTATTTGTATTATATTGTTTTATAACTTGTAATACACCCAGAGAGCTTCAGCTACAAGACAGTATAGAAATAATATGCAAAAAGGCTTCCTTGGTCTCTTCAAAGAAAACACAGCCTACCAAAGATTGCTTTGAATGTTACAATATTCAAAGCACACGTTTTTTCTGTTCTACCTGTTCTCTGGTGTATGGTTTTATAGTACTTCTGCATGAGCATAGTTATATGTGGCAAACCCTATGCAGCACTAAGCCCACTGAAACTGATGCATGAAAGGTGTTGGTAGAATGGGTCTAGAGATGGTTCTTGTTATTACTGTATTATTCTCTCCAGAAACAAGATGAAAAATAACTGTTGATAAATGTAATTATCTTTATGCAAACAAGAAAGATCCTTGTGACAAATTACTCTTAAAATTATTCTTCATACGAATTCATCTATCTAGTATATTTCTCTGACAAATTTATATGCTGTCTTTTGTGACAATTCCAGGCTAAGAGTAATCATAAAATACAAGACTTTCATTTGGATTTTACAGTACCTCTGCAACAGATTGCACACAGCCAAGTTCTATAGAGCTTGACACACATAAACCCCGTGAAACCAGTGGGCCAATGCACACTTTATTCCTAAGATTTTACATAACTGTATAGTAAGAAATGAAAAACTGCTGGAAACCAGTATTAACTTTGGAAAGCGTGCTAGTTGGGCCCAATCAAGGGGGCTCAAATTAAGAACTTGCTTGCTTCAGTTTAAGCAACCTTACAAGTATATTTAAATAGACTTTTTCCTATTAAATATATTTAGATTTGGGATTTTTAATTTTTTCCTAAAGTTTGTCCTACTGTAGTGATAGTAGCTCTAATGGTTCTCTCCTGCCAATTGGCAAAGCTAACACTAACAGCTTGCCAAGGCCCGCACACTCGAACTTCTTAACCGCGAATTAGTTTTGAACCGATTTCAAAGCCTTCGTTGGGCGAAAGGCGGGAGAAAGAGTAAGGCTCCTCCCTTCACAGCAGAGACCCACCCTCTGAGCCACTTCCGCCTCCCCTGGTAACCAAAGCACGGGGTTGCCCAGCTCTCTCCACACTCAGGACCTCACCCCAGCTGCAGCTGCCTAAGTGACGCCTGACATGTGCCCGCCCTTGTTGTTAGCGGCCTGTTCTGAGTGGATGGTACGACACCCGACCGCTAAACCGGAAGCGCTGCCTTTTTCTTATCTCTTTATCCAGAACCTACAGGCGGGGCCTTGACTCGTTGTGGTAGAACGCTTTCAAGCAGGCGCCATTGAGGACAGCCTAGGGGGCGGGGTCCTCTTCCTGGAGAAGGTGGGGGGGGCAAGAAGAGACTGGCGGAGCTGGAGCTGCAGAAGCTGGAATCGATGTTTACAGCGGGCCGAGGTAACCGCCCCCTCACCTTTCTGTTTCTCCTCCACCGTTCGGGTAGTGGCGACGAGTTGGGGGGAGCCAGTTAGCGAGGAAGAGGAGGATGGGGCCTGCGGTGTGGGTTGTTCTGTAGAGGAGACGGTGAGGGGTAGGGAGGGAAGGGCCTGGTGAGAGGGACAGAGCTGGGAACGAGCCCGAGGCGGTGACAGGGACCGGGCAAGGTTGACTCGAGGGGCTTAGCTCTGGGGGGAAGGGGCTGGACGGCTGGGTCCCGTATGCGAAGAGAGGTCGTTGAAGGAACGCGTGGAGGGAAAGGGAGCGTGGCTTGTGGTTTGCTGTCTTCCTGCGGTGGTAGTTTCAACTGCGTGCGGATTCGCCTCTCCCCCGCGCCTCTCCGAAGTGACAGGTGTGAGGAAGTAGCGAAGGGAGGGATGTAGTCCCCTCCCAGCCCCCACCCCGGGAGTCCTCTGAGGCGTTACTGTTGCGTCTCATGGGAAGGGGGTTTCTGAGGTGGCAGATGCGTGTCGGAGGAAGCAAGGTGAAATATCACGGGCAACTTTGTTCTTTTCTGATCAAGTTGGTTGCCATGCAGTAGGTTGATTTTTCCATGTGGGGAGGGTTGCTTCTGTCTAAAAGCCTCCCGTTTCAGTGCTTGATGTCTCACTCGCATTACTTTTCTTGTCTTTCAAGTAGTATATTGTAGGAAAGGGTTCGGGTTTGTTTAAGGAGAGAGAAATGATGGAGAGTGCTATGCAACTTCATTGGACATGGATGGGGATGCTGCAAATGTTTAAAGTGTTTGTTTGGTTATAGGACAGTGAATGAGAAAAACATATCATGAGTGATGGGTGTTGTGCTTTGTCAAGATTGTGAATCTGCAGTAGTTCATGATTTTAGCTTTCATTTATCCTTATGTAAAAGGGCTTTATGTCACTCTAGTAATGTTTTGTTTCACTTTTGATTTCAGAGTGGTTCCCTATAAACCAGATTAGCTGCTGTTGCTCCTGAGCAATCCCCTTCACTCTTGGCTTTCCATCAGTTATTGTGACACCTTAACAGTATGGTGTCATTGGAACATTTAAAGCCATTTGTTTTGTGAAGTGCTCTCTAAAGCATACCAGCTTCCTACCTGCATTTCACTGTTGTTTAGGACTGTGCATTGATCAACCTTGCCTTTCAAAAAGAAGTTGAATTATATGTCCTTTCAGTCTTATAAAGCTGCAATTCTGTGTTGGGAATAATTCCCATTGGACACAGTAGGATTGCATAGTTGGTATGGCTGAATGTGCCAGCTTGTCTGTTTATGCAGTCACCATCAGTCTTTTTAACAAGTCAGGTTAGATTAATGGACATGCCAGTTCACTGTGTAATACAGTAGTTACAGTGCCTTATAGGTTAGAAGTATTTTGTCTTGTCTGCCACTTGGCTTAGCAAACAGCAGTGCAGTAGCTGTAGGAGAGATAGGTCTCTGGATATTGTAGTTCCTGCCCAGAAGTGCCAGAAATCTACACTCATTGTGCCACTTAGATTGTACTCTAAGGCATGCTGAGACCAAAAAAGTCCTACAACTCACAGCATTCCCCAGCCCACCAGTTGCAGTACTTTTCTGTTGCAGCATGCATAGGATTACAGCTTTAATGTATCCCTGTCAAAGGTGGCTACCTAGAGCTTTTTCTCCAAATACATATGCTGCTTGTATTTACCATGGTTTGATATGATTTACTACAGTCCAAACAGTTCAAGTTAAGAGTTTTATGCCCTAGTGACAGTGTACACACCATTATGAACTGAAAGAATGATTCCTATTGGATTGCAGGACTATAAAGTAAAGCAAACACTCTGAACACTTGCATCTGAGACAGGAGCCTCCTTATATGTTTCAACATCAAGGGTTAGACACTTAATAATTGAAGAATATTTGGTTGATTAGTCAAGTCATGGTAAATTATTTAAAGCATTGATTTGCTAGATTTCTAACAAACAGATATTTTTGCTATCCTGTATTAGCTGCTCTGAAACAATGAAGTTAATGATAGTAATCAGTTGCTATAGCTATTAGTATTGTGCAAATAAGTATGTATGCCAATGCTTCTACTTCTGTGCCCAAGGAAAGGCTCAGCTGAACTTCTTGAAAATAAATGATAGGAGACAAAATTATAGCAACTGGCAAAGACAAAATCCAGTTCCTAAATGTGGCTTTAGATAATGATTGTTTTGTTTTAGGCTTTACAGTCAGTGAATGATAAGGCATCTTTGTTCCTAAATAAAATGGGTTATTAAAATGCCCTATATTTTCTGCGGCTCCTGAGAGTAACAAGCCATCTGCTGTCAAACAGTGTGACTTAAACAGGCATTGGGGCCTCATGGGATATTTGACCATAGTTCAGTGAGAGACAGACAATGAGACCAGTGCCTCAGTTCAATCCTCATCACATGCAGATTAATCCATGTCATCTATATTAGTGTGCCACAGGCACAGAGGCACCCTCTTGCCTTGTTGAAATTTGATTTTAATTTTGTTTTTGTCACCAAATATACTTTCTGTAGGTGCAGGAGAGGAATATTGAAAATAAACATAATACCTTTATTTGAAGGATATGTGATGTTGGGAAATTATTGGGGAAAATAATTCTAATAGCATATAGAATTGATGAACATTCCCCTTTTCTCGCAATTTGGAGAGAGAGTCAGGAAAGTAAACACAAGAGTCTCCTGAGAGCCACTGTAGTGTGGTAGTTAGAATGTTGGACTAGTGTCTTGGAAGATCCAGGTTCAGTACCCACCCAGCCATGAAGCTCGCTGGTGACACACACACTCAGTCTAACCTACCCCACAGGGTGGTTGTTGTGAGGATAAAATGAAACTATGCAATCCACCTTGGGTTCCTCACAAGAGAACAAAGGGCAGGATATAGATGGAATATAGTAATTACGTATAATGAAACCAGGATTCTGAATACGAGTCAAAAATTCCAGTGAAGATGCAGTATATATAGACATTAGTTTCATGCACTGTGTAGAGGAGAATGTATTAGTGTCTTCACTTTATAGTAATCAGATTTGCATTATTCATAAAATTTTCTTTAGATTGGTTGTGTTTAGAAGGAGCATCTGATATTTAATCACTCACATAGTGAATGTGTAGGTAAACATAGTCTCAATTTTCTCCCTTCCTGAATCTATTCTAAATATTAACTTTAAAATATGATACTGTTGTATTATAGCCATCAGCTGTTTCAGAGTTTTGCAAACATATTAGTGGTTCTAGCCAGTAGTGGGGCAGAATCCTTTTATCATTCCATATTTCATTTTTCCTTGATTTCCAATTCAGTTCTCTCATAAATGTTATCATTACATTCCAGTAAACTGCTTTATATCAACAAACATTTTAGGAACTTAACAGTAGTCTTATACACGTCTGTCCAGAAGTAAGTCAATGGAATTTACTGTCATAAGTGTGTATAGAATTTCAGCTTAATTGAGGAACTGATCATTGAGAAATTGTCACATGCAAAGTTCACTACAAAGACCAAAACCAACACATTACTCACACAACAATATTCACTTAGAAAGGAATAAGATTTAAAATAAGAGCTCACATGTTACCTTAAGACTGGTGGAAAAAGTGGACATAAGATAGAAAATGCCATCTGGTCCGGGAGAGAGGTGTTTTCATAAGATCAGAATTATTTAAATCTTGAATTGATCAGCTAAGTTCCTCTAGTAATGTATATTGAGTGTGGAACCTAAATTAACTGGTGGAGGATTGCTATACCTCTCTAGTGCCAACTATTTTAGAATGTGTTGCTTTGTGTAACACTGTCATTGTCGAAAGCTGTTCAACTTGGGTTAAGTACTAAATTAAAACATCTGAGGGTGTTCAAGTGATGAACAGAAGTTTAGGAAAATTAGAACTGAAGGCTGCCCATTTTAAACCTCCTTCTGTTGCCATACCAATGTTGCAGCCATATGTTTTTATCTGTGAGCATTCAAATAGTTGAACTATGTAGTAGGGCTTCCATAGAAACACACAGTATCTATGGAACCCCCTACCATAGGTAAATTCAGTGAAACCTTTTCCAATTTTAGGTATAGTTATACAATTAAGCTCTTTTTGTGTATACTTAGCTTATATTTAGTAATCTCTTTAATAATGTGCAATGGTAATTTTAAAATTATATATTTCTCTGTGTATACATAAATATACACACATATGTATGTTTGTGGAGTCCTTTTCCAAAAGCAGTTGAACTGAAACATTTGATATGAAAGGCAGGAATATGGTAGGGATGGAACTCATTGTGTAATTCAAATACTATATTTAAATTTTTACATGGAAATTGTTCCTATTAGAATAGTCACTATTTTAATACATGACACCACAGTGATAGTTCCCTTATATAATGTTAAAGGGAAAAATAAAGATGAACTGTTAATATAGTCATCTTAGTATGCATGAAGAATTGAGTATATCAGAATATATGCTTCTTAAGCATGTGTACATACCTGATTACAAGTTTGTTTTTAGCTCTGACAAAAACAATTCATTACTTTTTAAAAGAAATATGGACATATATTTCTAAAATTGGAAGATTTTCTGGAAAATAACCCATTCCACAACATTCCTTAGATATAAAAAAGCTGTTTTGTAAGAAAGAAAGGGGAAAATAACATTTATCAGATTTCATGAAACTTTGCTCCTGGAATTAATGTGGCTTCTTTTTGAAAATGTATATATAGACCCATCCTAAATAAGCATCTGGTTTCTGTACTGATATATGGTTATTCTTTAATTATCCAAGTATAAATATGGTTTTCCCATATTCTCTTGTGTTCTGTGTGAATGAAAATAGAACTCTGCCCAACTGCTAAGGTGGGCAGCAGTACTTGAGTTCTCAGGCAGTTCAAGTGGATCAGAAACAAACTACTGTTTGTCCTTCAGTGTTAAGCTATTGCTGTTCAGGCATATCCAGCATTTATTTATTTGAAGTGTTTATAAACCTTTCTTTAGTAGACACTGTCAGAGCGGTGTGTCATATATTCAGTAGAGAATCATCCAGTAGCAGAGTGTCAGTGCTAAGGCACTTTTGTTAAAAGCAATATTAGTGATCATGCCTAAGAGCAGGTAGACCAGTCATTTGGCAGTAATAGTCATTTTGATAAAGTGATCATTAGATTGTTAACATCTGTTTTGTTGCCCAGAAATGCACAAGAAACAACTGATATAGGCTTGTTTTTTCTCTCTAGAAAATAGTAAATATGTCCCTGAGCAATTTTGTTCTGGAATTCAGATCTTAATTTGAATGTACTTAAGTACTCATTTTACTAGAATATTGCCACTTTATCCTATTTACTACTGGATTGCTTATATTAAAAAAAAAACCTCAAATGTTTCTTGGATTACAGTTAGAAGATGCTATAAAAATATGGCAGGTAAAGGTATTTACCACCTTCTAGGTGATGCAACAGTGTTCTAATAAGTTTACCTAAATTTTCTTAATTGTTTGCAGGCTTTGCTTTTTAATTAGTTGTCATTGCATAACTATAAGTATTCCTAAAAGTAAGTATTTTAGGAATTGTGTGCATTCTCATGTGTGTGCTAGAAAAAAAGTTATAGCTATATGTAGTCAACAACTTTATTCTTAAATTGTTCCATTCAACAGTTGTCAGTCTTTGAAATAGTTTTGCAATGGAAATTTTTTGATATTTGAAAAATGATAATTTCAGCTTATATTCTAACCCTTAGCATGTTTACCATGGCATTTAGAAGGTTATATTTCCATCCAGGGGAGCTAGAATTGTAGGCAGATCTTTTAAAAGATACCATACTTTGTGTGGTATAATGGTTAGATTTTTGGAATGGGGACTAAAAACCAGAGTTCATGAATGTTCATGAATGGCTTTGTCCTAGTCACTCGTTCTCTGGTAAACCTACCTCACATCTTGTTTTTAGGGATAAAATGGAGAAGAGAAGATTCAAGTAAACTTTCTTGGGTTCCTTGCAAGAGGGGGAAAGATGGGATATAATAATATGGCAACATGTGATATTTCTCATTTACTTAGCATGGATTACCCTATACCAGCTTATCAATAATATGTGTATTAAGTTAAATAATTGAATCCAACTTCGCCATAATTAGAGATTTAGACAAACAACTAAGTCCTGCTTGCTATAAAGTTTTGCTTTGTTATGTATAGTAGCTTCTGTTATCTATGCCAGTTAGGCAGAAAAACTAAAGCATCGTATAATTTTGAGGGGTGAAGTAACTGTTACCAGAGATAGAGATGTGCCAATGAAAATGGCATGCTTCTGTTGAATTCTCCACTCACCCCACTCCAGTGCCCCTTGCGTTATGTGAGGGTGATTTTTTGTTGTTGTTCTCCATCAGCAGCTAGTGATGACAAATGGGAAGTGGAAACTCACAGCATTGTAGCATGGTCTGAGGCGCAGGAGAACATATAATGCAGGAATTCTGGTTTTGATAGTACTTTGTGTTTCCTTTATCAACTGGTTTCATTCTCAACTGTTTATGGTTTTGCTTCTGTGTCAGAGGTAGCCCAAATCTAAATTAAGGTAAGAAAGCTGCATTAGGCAATGAGTTTTTGATGCAGTTGAGGACATTAGAGCAGCAGATGGATGTATTTCATTTCACCATTTCAGTTTCATTTGGTGGAATTTGCCTAGGATGACTTCCGAGTAACCTGTGCCCATATTGATAAGTGAGAAAAGTGGGGACATTTGGATTTTCTTCACCTGTCACCAACGGCTTGGGTTATCATTTTCACTCTTCTGTATTAATTCTGTTTGATAACATATAGCTCTGAAAAAATACCTGTAGATTAGAAAAACAATTTAATGGTATTGGTTATTAACTTGTGGATATAATGATAATTTGGTGTTAATACTTTTTCAGATCTTCCTGGATAACATAATGCCAGCTGAGCGTAAGAAGTCAACAAGCATGGAAGAAAAGGAAACATCATTAAATAACAAAGATAAGGAGTTCAGTGACAGGCGGTCAGTGAACAGCCGGGACAAACCCAAAGAGGATGTCAGACTTGGCATGAAAAGAGAGATGTTAAAACCACCTGAAGATAAAAAGAAAAAATTGGAGGAGGAGAAACGGAAAAAAGAAGACAAGGAGCGGAAGAAAAAAGACGACGAGAAGGTAAAATGTGAAGAGGAGCAAAAGAAAAAAGAAGAGGAAGAAAAGCAAAAATTTGAAGAGGAAGAGAAAAAGAAGCAAGAGGAAGAAGTAAAGCGGCAGCAAGAAGAGGCAGCTGCTCAGTTGAAGTAAGATCTCATTATTTTTGCTAGTTCTAAGGCTTTCAGAGTTTATTGAGGAGGGTACTGGGCACTTGCTTTTAAGAGTACAGATCCAGCGAGGGACAGTATCCTGAGATGAAGCCACACTCTTCTCCCCATCTTCTGTCCCCAGCCAAGGACTAGGTGGGTTGAATGGTCCCTAGCAAGTGGCCTCCAGTCATGCAGATTTCAGGGTCACCTGTCCAGTGCCAACCTGATTTTGGAAAAGATACTGATATTTTGTTTGTTGATTCCCATTGTAGGGGATAGAGATTTCTATTCTATTCCCTTCTAATTCTAGTGTTAGATTAGAAGCCAGGAAGCATTTCCTGACAGTTGGGACCCCGAGGGTGTGGAATGAGCTTCCACGAGAGGTCGTTGAGGCCCTATTGGTGCAGGTGTTCAAAGATAGGCTGGACATGCACATGTTGGGCATGTTGTGAGCGGAGCCGGCTGGTGCCAGAGGTCAGACTAGATGGCCCAGGAGACCCCTTCTGACTCGCTCTGTTTCTATGTTTCTATATTACTTAGTCAAGAGATACTATACATCTGCAAGTATCTTTGCATACTTGTTGACAGAAGAAATGGTAGACAACAGGCCCAAGTTCAAACAGCCTGAGAAACACTGAAGCCAGTGAACCTTATATAGCTAGCTGTCTGTGCCCAAGGGTGTTTAGGGCTTGTGCTCTTCAAAGAGCACCTTCATTTTCAGCATAATAAGCACTGTTACAACTGAGGGATTGTGCAATGTGGTGTCTAATATGGCAGGACAATTTACTGCTCAGAGAAAAACTAGTAAATTCCCTTGGGCATGTGCAACAATTTTCTGTACATTTTGGCTTGTAGAAACTATTTGACTGCTATCTGCTCTAATGAATGTGGATTTTAAATTGTTCCATCCCAGAAGTGGCAGTTTTAGCTACTTTCCCAGGTTGTTCTTGCAGTTATTTACTAGGACAAGATGTCTGGTGCTGGTGGACTGTTAGCATTGGATACTGGCCATTATACTTAAATTAATAAATTTGTAGGAAAAAGTACACTCTTAAACACTAATACCCCTGTTGCAAGTAGGCACTGTTTTAGAAGATATGTTTTCTCCTGTAAGAATGAAGCAGAAATTTGTTTCCTGAGACATATCCTGCCATTTGTAGTTTATATAAGAACTGTAAGAATTATTTTCTGTAAAAAAAGTGTTGCTTGACTGGTTCAACTTGCCCCTTTTAGTCTATTATATAAGATTTTAAAGGTTGCAACCCTATCTAAAATATAATGTATACTGCTCATATTCTCTTTAGAGAAAAAGAGGAAGCACATCAGCTCCACCAGGAAGCTTGGGAGCGCCACCAAGCAAGAAAAGAACTTCGAAGCAAAAACCAGAATGCATCAGATAGCCGCCCTGAAGAGAACTTCTTTAGCAGGCTAGATTCAAGCCTCAAAAAGAACACTGCCTTTGTTAAGAAGTTAAAAACTATCACAGAACAGCAGAGAGACTCCTTGTCCCATGATTTTAATGGCCTCAATTTAAGCAAGTACATTGCAGAGGCTGTTGCTTCTATAGTAGAAGCAAAACTGAAAATATCAGATGTAAACTGTGCTGTGCATTTGTGTTCTCTGTTCCATCAGCGTTATGCTGACTTTGCACCATCCCTACTTCAAGTCTGGAAGAAGCATTTTGAAGCAAGGAAAGAAGAAAAAACACCCAACATTACTAAACTAAGAACAGATTTGCGGTTCATTGCAGAACTGACAATAGTTGGGATTTTCACTGATAAGGAAGGCTTGTCTTTAATCTATGAACAGCTGAAAAATATTATTAATGCTGATCGTGAATCCCACACCCATGTTTCTGTGGTTATTAGCTTTTGCCGGCATTGTGGAGATGACATTGCTGGTTTGGTACCAAGGAAGGTTAAAGGTGCAGCAGATAAATTTAACTTGAGTTTTCCTCCCAGTGAAATAATTAGCCCAGAGAAGCAACAACCTTTCCAAAACCTGCTGAAGGAATATTTTACATCTTTGACCAAACACCTGAAAAGGGACCACAGGGAACTACAAAATATTGAAAGACAAAACAGGTGACGTTTTAAATGCTCTTAATGAATTGATACATTTCTAATACTTGCCACCGTTTCAAAATGGATTGGGTAAGAACATTTTTAACATCAGATAGCCTGGTATGTTTCAAGCTTTGAGTTTTGAATGGGAAAGAGGGAAATGGATTAATGGCATGTCTAATTGGCAGTAAGCTCCATGGTGCTTATTTTCAGGTAAGGGGGTAAAGAATTGCAGCCTTAATCTTTAAACCATTTTATGGGTCTGTTACTGTTTTCAATCTCTTTCATGGAATTGTACACCTGATAAGCTATGGGATGGTTTAGTTTTAGTTTTATTTTTGAACCGATCTGAAAGACCTTTCTCTCCAGACTAAAATACTTTTCATACAGATGATTCTATGCTGCATGTGATAAATACATTCTATGTCAAATACTTTGCCAGCTCTTAAATCCTTTTGGCTCTGTTTTCCTTGGTGAGCTTGCTCCTTTTTACGGAAGCATGACTTAATGTCAGAAAATATCAGCTTGTTCTGTGGAAGAGGTAAGTTAAAGTGAAGCAGGTGGAAAAAGGAGGCACAGAGCAGAGAAGATTAATATAATTGCAGTGTGTAGGAAGTGCTTTGGATAGAATTCTGTGTCCAAAAAATGCAAATGTGAGATGTTCTTGCATACTATTCTTTAAAGACAGTAGTAGTCAGACAGTACACAAAAATCTTAAATAAAAAATTAAATAAATAAGGACCACAGCTGATCTTTACAGTTCTGCACAAAAAGGTGTGTGAGAGGCTGGTTTGGGCTAAGGGATCAAAACACACTGTCAGATTAGGAAATAGGGGCAAGACAGAGCCAAGGAGGCTGTGCATAGTTATGAGTGTATAAGATAAACGAAGACATGGTGAACATGTCATGAGCGGAGCCAGCTGAAGCTGGGGGTCAGACTAGATGGTCTGGGAGCCCCCTTCTGACTCTCTCAGTTTCTATGTTTCTAAGACATCATACTTGGATATGAATATTTTGCAGGTAGAGCAAATTCAGGTGTGATTACATATTCCTGCTAGGACATTCTCCTATTTGTTGCCACTTGGCTACTTCCCTCCCTTCATTAATAGAAGGAAGGTATTACTCTTCATGAATAGAATTTTGTTTTAAAATAATTGGTTTCATTCTACAGCCTTAGTTTAGGAAAAACATTTCTGTTCCAGTTAGCACAAAGGAACATCTTCTTCACCAGAGGATATATTCAGATTGCATATTGTAGTTTGGTTCTTTTTATGTATTAATGATGGAAGTGTTGCTTACATAGGTCTATAAGAACAAAATAGCTGTATTTTTTAAAAAATCACATAAAATCCTTGTAGAGCTATGTTGGGTTAATGCACTATTTTAAAGAAAGTGTAACACACTGTGCAAAGTTTAACTAGTCAATTTCTTTCTGTGAAAAGATTGCAATAATGAGAATTAATCAAGTTGACATGTATATGTTACACAATGATAGTTGCATATGTGAAGGGGGTAGCATTTAGTTCTCTTTCATGTAAAGTGATAAGCTATGGATGAGCAATGAAAGTACATAGTAGAAGTGGGAACACACAGAACTTCTAGATTTTTTTTAAAGCTGAGACAAAAACATTAACTTTCAAGAGAAATTTGAGTGGGTTATCACGGCATGACAAACCATGGTGAGATTTTTTTATCATTGTTGTTCTGTCATGTCATTCAATCCCTGTTGCTGTATTTCAGTAAAGTATGTTGGATGGTGCAGAGAAAGTAGCGAGGGAGAAATTGTTCACCCTGTCTATAACTCTTGGATCCGGGGTCTTCCCATGAAGCTGAATGGTGGGAGGTTTAGGACAGATAAAAGAAAATATTTCTTCACACAAATTATGGAATGAGCTGCCATGGGAAGTGGTGATAGCTGCCAATCTGAATGGTTTTAAAAAGGGATTGGACGCATTCATAAGGGACAAGAGTATCAGCGGCTACTAGCTTTGCTGGCTGTGTGCTACTTCCTTTAGCAGAGATGGCCTGCCTGCATACACCAGTTGCTGGGGAGCTTGGGCAGAGGTCTTGCACCTATCCTGCTTGAGTGGGCAGCTAGTTTGCCACTGTGTGTATGGAGATGGACCTAGACTAGATGGACCTTCAGTCTGATCCAACATGGCTTTTCATATGTTCTTGCAAGCCTGATCATCTCTCAGGTTCAGCCAGATAAAAACTGTGAACTGTGGTAACCATACTGCGTTGCTTGTCTTGATATGTGAACCCAATTAGTAAATATCAAGCTTTCAGGATAACTTGCTATGCTTAGGGTAAGTTTCTACATTTAGTCCACATTATTTTCAATGGCTAGGTTTGAGTGTATCTGGTTAGGACCGGAATGCAGATGACCTGGTTTTAGGCATGACAAGAGTTAACAAACTCAAAGATACTCAGAATCTCTGTTAGGGTGGAGTAATGATATCTCCTTCCCTCCCTTCCTTCCTGCCTTTCTCTTTTCTGTGCACCCACATGCATGCACACACAAAGATTTGATAGAAGGGTAGATTCCAGTGACCGTAACTAATGGTCTAATACTAAGGAGTGCTAAAAGTGTGGATTTAGATAATAAATAGTTTGGCTTTTCCTGTGAAACATTTGGTGTTAACATTTTTTGGAGCCAGGACACCTTCTTTGGTGTTCTTTTGCTCTGACCTTGATATTTACTTAGGATACTTTTATCCTAAGGATGCTTGCAAAGTGTGTGTTACTACTTGATGATATACATACATGCTTCTTCCTTCACAATTTCTGGGAAGTTCTCTGCACTTTCAGTATATTTACTTTAAAAGAAATATATACTAAAATATGTGTGCAGCTAATGTGAAACCCTACTATATCTTGATGTATGTTTATTTTTAATATTATTGTAGGTGATTTTCCCTACTATTTTGTTTTCTGATGAATTTTGTAATTCAGGTTAAGTTAGGGACTTCCATCTTTGTGAGGGAAACTTCAGAGGGAACCAGCTATGAGGTGGTTCAGCTAGTCATTTACTTGCAACCTGACATGAAAGCTGCATGATGCAACGAAGGTGATGGCTGGCATATCCTAGCTGAGGCAGGATCCCAAGGCTGCTGAACAAAGGGTACACTACTGGCTCCTTTTGCCACCTTGATGGGGAATGGGAGTGCCAGAATTCATGCTGGGACCGAAAAGATGTGAACTGTGTCTAACTGGGGCAAACTAGAGAAAGTTCTGATGGAGGACTGTAATGATCCTGACATGCAAATGAATTATCTAAGTCAGTGGTTTTCAACCTTTTCAAATATGGGTACTTCCAGAAACAGGAAAACCACCTCGGGGACCACTGAGGCAGAACCAAAAAGCACCATGCACAGTACAGTATTCTGTGAATTAGTTTTCAAACACAGTACCAAAAAAATGAGAATTCTCTAAAACAACTAGAAATCAAGCAAAAAATGGCAACAAAAGAACAAAATACTGAAATCGGTGCAGTGTGGCTCCCTGCCCGCTCCCACTGGCCTGTGTCTCATCTCCCTGGCCCTTCCCAACAGCACAGGTGCACCCCTCCCCACAAACACAGTGCCAGCTGAGAAAGACTTGTGGTGAGCGGGATGTGGCTTCCCCACAGACCAGCAGGAAATCTCCCTCTGACCAGCAGTTCAAAACCACTGATGTAAGTGATAATAGAGGTGAAAGGCTAATCAAACAATCTAGTAGCTGATTTCTTCTGCAGTTTTCTAGATTCTTCATTTCTGTTATGAGTGCACGTACAACAATAACTATAAAGTTGATGAATTACAGAGGCAAGCTTTCATAAACTGATAGCTACTTTCCAAATCTCTCCAATGTTGTACTTCCATTATCCTACTTACAGGCAGGATGTAGCTTTTTTGTTTGTATTAGAACATGGTCTGAAGTTACATCCAAAGCATAAGCTGAAAGTAACAGTTTCAGTTGTGTATGATGAGCTGGTTCTTGTCATACTGAAACAAACAATACTCAGTCCAGGGAGTTACGTTTTGTAGGGGTTAGGTGGGCTAATTTCTTGAGCTTTAATTTATATTAGCAGAATACTGTTTGATTAGATAGTCTAAGTGGTGTTTTGACAGCATCTATTGATGCGTCAACAGTTGGTACAGCTGTGTTGTCCCTTAAGCAGGATAAGCAGAGTTGTAGTTCCTTTGCACTCAGCTGCAGTTTCTAATCTTGCTGCCATATTTTATTTCCATCTTGATTATAATACAATTTGAAGGTTTAAATATTTATACTTCAAAATTCATTGAAAAGTTATTCTTTGGGTAGTTGCCACAGGTTTGGGAAGAACACCAGCAATGATTAGTTAGCGGCTGTCTAGATAACCTAAGATGTTGATTTGATGCTTTCTGAAAACTGGACTTTGCGCATGGAATTTACTGAAGAGAAAGCATTGCTTTTCTGTAACATTGCTTTGTAAAAGGGAGTCATCTGTTTGTGGGCATGGTGCTACTGTCTCATTAAAAACAATATGCTTGGAAGTAGGGTGAATAAAATATTTCTATTAAAATGTGGATTGTTAAAACTTGATTTTTAATGTTTAAAAACAAAGTCATATATTAAACTTATCTCTGACTGAGAAAAAGAGATTGAAATTCTGCTTGCATGAATGTTACAGTATAAGTAATTTTCTGTGTCAGATGCTATTTTATGAATATGCACACAAAGTTTTACAATTCCCAGCATGCTACGGATTCCCAGCAGAAGGGATGCTGGGGGTTTGTAGGGCTTTTTTATATTGAAATATTTACAGGGTTGTATCCTTAGTTGTAAATTAAAATGGCTTGGTGTTGTGATGTGCACATGTGTTGAGAAAATATCTGAAGATGTTTCAATGGAAAATTTGATTTCAGTTTTTATTGATTTAAATCAACCTTTTGCTGCATTTAGGTCATGTTTTAAATTAATTATTTAAATTGCCTTGATCTAGAAAAATGTTAAAACTTTTCTTTTAATCTCAGTTACATGGTACTGAATGCATCACAGTATCATTTCTTAACTGCCACTCTTAAAACACTTAGTGGATTTTCACTCATTGCCAGTATCATGAGCTTATATCTTGTCTGACTTCCATTTTGCGCTTAGAGAGAATTGAGGGTTGCATGTGCTTAGTCCTCTAACGATTCATCTGAGCCAATTTACAGCTGAATCGCATGTGGTGGCCTGCTTCAAGTGGCAAATGTTGGTGGAACCATTAAAAAGTATTTTATTGTCACATTTCTCTGAGAGAGAGTGGAAGTGTAATATGAATTTTCTCTCTTTAGTTGTCTGTGTCACATGGTTAGATGTTATTGCTTGATCATGCATCAAACACATCTGCAATAACAAATCTGGATTTAGTCAAAAGTCCCAAGTTTCAGACCATTTGGGTTTGTGTCACTTGAGCAAGGTGCTTGAGCACAAAATGCACTTTCACAAAATGCACATCTGAGCCTCTGTTATTTTGTGAGTAGTTTTAAAGAATGATTTTTGTGATGGTTCCAAACATTACTTACTTTATATTTTCATACAATAACTAATGCAAAAGATCCCTCTTTTTATAACACTTGGAGTATTGCAAGAAGCTTAAATTGAAATGGAATGTAATCCTTTATATATAAGTGATTATCATCTGCTTCTCCTACCACTTGAATCATTTATTCAGCACTCCTCCACGGACTATAGCAACTGTTTTTCAGAGTTTTTCTACTGCTATTCTTTCTGTAAAGATTGTCCCCACATGACCTTATCAGATCCCTTTGCTTTTAGCAATGGCTAATTTGTCACCTAGATACATTTTTCAGTTTCCAACCTTTTACTCTGTTTGATGACACATTTGTTTATTAACTCTTTCAGCGTCTCATTGCCATCTCTAACTCATTGAGTTACACCCATTGGTGTCCTCCTATGAATAGGAGTCTGTTTGCACAAAACTCTTTAATCAGAAGCCTCTGATTACAGGAGTGGAGGGGGAGGAAAAAAATTTGTTTATTTCCCCCTTCTGCTACAGTGTTTGATGCCACCTCCTATAATCCAGAGGGTGTCATAGATTTCTCAGATTTCAGAAATCAGATTTCTCTAGGAGTGTCATAGGGAGAGACTATTGATTAAAATTTCACCTGTTAGTTTAGGCCTTTACCAAACAATTTCCCTGTTCTTTGGCTCCCTTTCTTCTGTTCTCTCCAATTCCTGAAATTTAGATTGTAATTTATTTAGAGGAGGGATTGTGGTCTACTTGTATAATTTTGTAAAGTGTGATGGTTTTCTTAGGCAAATGACATAATGTGAATTGAAAGAAAAAAGTTTCACCATAGTAATAACTATGAGACTGAAGAATTTTGATTCATTTCATTTCAAGGACAGTAGCATGTATTACTGACAGCCTGTAAATATACTGTAGCTCAGGTATAGGCAGCATGGTGCCTCTCTCACCTGCCAAGGTCCCCTCCCCATCCCACTAAATTAAAAAGCAAGGATAGCTGTGAAATGGGTTTCTATTGGCATAGAAACAGAGCGCTAACCCAAATTGTTTAGTGTTTGGGGGCTTAGACCCCACCTCTGCTTTGTATTCAGTCTTCTGGACATTTTTCTTATCTTTTGCTATACATCCCATGGCAGCTATCTTGTGATGATGCTGAGGACAGTTTCTTAAATTTTCAAATGTGCCCACAGCCCAAATATTTGACTACCTCTGGTGTAGATGAAAACAGTTACTTCAAAGTCTCAAGGAAAAAAATAATATTTTTGTTACTGATTGTATGGCAGCCTATTGATAAAAGACTGTGAATCAATTTGCATTTTTCAATAGGAGATCGTTATTGTGTTTTATAGTCAAATATATACTGAAGTTGAATATTATTTGACCCTGAGTGTTTCTTAGAGGTATTAAAAGCAACTAATCAATTTGCTCACAGATTGAAATGGGATTAGATCGGATTTGAAGGAAATATTAGCAAAATCTTTGATTTTTGTTGTTTTGTTCTCCATTCTGTTTCTGTTACAGGCGTATTCTGCATTCTAAAGGGGAATTGAGTGAAGATCGGCATAAGCAGTATGAAGAATTTGCTATGTCCTATCAGAAGTTGTTGGCTAACTCTCAGTCATTAGCTGATCTCTTGGATGAAAATATGCCTGATCTCCCGCAAGATAAACCAGTACCAGAAGGTATGGGAACTTCTACTAAGGAATTCAACTTGACTCTCTATTTGCCTTTTACATTTGTTTGCAAGTATCATGTTTCCTTTTCCTTAATATTTAAGGATAATTTAATGGTTTTATATATTATAATTCCAGAACATGGGCCTGGCATTGATATCTTTACCCCTGGCAAGCCTGGTGAATATGATTTGGAGGGGGGTATCTGGGAGGATGAAGATGCACGGAACTTCTATGAGAACCTTATTGATTTAAAAGCATTTGTGCCTGCTATCTTATTCAAGGATAATGAAAAATATTCCCAGAACAAGGACTCTAATAAAGATGATTCTAGAGGTACTTTTTTTTGCATTTATTTATCTTTATAATGTTGCTGAAGAGATGAAAGGTTTAATCCTGTCTTGTGTGTATTTCTAGTAGAAAGAGAGAGTGCTTAAAACTTCTTAGAAAATGAGAATGTCTGAAAGCTGCAAAGAGGCAGTTACCTGGCTCATCCCATTTTGTTCTACAAGGGGTTTTCAAAAAGTTTCCACGCTTTTATATTTTATAAATATATTTTATATATTTTTTGCTGATGGCATTAAAAAGTTGGTACAATGCTGGGAAAAATGCATTGCAAAGGAAGGCGACTATGTAGAAAAGTGATATGATTTGTTTTTGAAATTCTTAATAAATCAAGTTTAAAAAGTGCAGAAACTTTTTGAAGAACCCTCGTAAATATGTGCAATTGCATTTTACTCTCTGTGGTATATATTCTATGGAAAGTATAAAATATAAATACATAAGTGTTGAAGGGCAAGGTAGATATTGAAAAAGTGTATACTTTACTATTTTTGAAACAGAATTAAAAGAGGCTAAGGAAAACAAAGATGTGTCAGGTACTGACGATTTGGAGTTGGACCTGGAGAATCTGGATATTAATGATGATACCCTTGAGTTAGACTGTGGTGATGAAGCTGAAGATCTTACAAAAAAGCTTCTTGATGAACAAGGTAGGAATAACAGAGAGGTATATTGTATATATGCATTTTTGTAAGTTGAGTTCAGTCATAAACTACAGCTGTATACATACTTTCCACAGCACTGTGTAGTTGCTTCTGAGGATGCTAACTCCTTTTTTGGAGCATTTCTAACAATGCAATAACAGTAGGCTCTTTTACTCCTATTACATGACCTCTATTTTACAGCATTTCCATGAACAGAGATGCTTCCATACCTGTGGCATGGAATAACATTTAATGAACTGATGTGTGTTACTGCAGGTGAAGCTGTCAGTTATACTTGTTTCTTGTAACTGGAGAACACCCATTGTCTCTGGAGCTAGAAAAACTGCCCCTTGCCAAGGATTCATTAATAATGAGAAGGGAGCACATTCTGTTCCTTTTCCCCTGCTTCCATTATAGTATTTATGTGTGGTGTTTACATCTTTTTAAATTGTGTATTTTTATATTAAATGGATATGATTTTTTCCATTGAAGTGTGAACACTGGTTGTTTCCAGGCAGAATGTGGTAGTTACTGTTCACAGAATCATACAGTTGGAAGGGGCCTAGAAGGCTATCAGGTCTTCCTGCTATAGAAAACAAGGCAGTTTCATTTGTCCTTATGGAAGTGATACCTTTTTATTTTCCCAATGTTTTAAGATTTGATTCTTTTAACAGGGGTTTTGCTGTTGATTGGGATTTTTTTATTAGGATGCTGTTTTATTTTATTTTGTCTTATTGTTAAACCATCCCGAGACCACGGTAAGGAACAGTCTAGAAAAGTTTTAAATAAATGAATAAATAATTAAATAAAAATACCACTTTTCAAGCTAGGTAATTGTTTGCTATCAACATCAGAGGTTCTCAGTTGATTTTTTTTCTCTTTGTTGATGACTTTTATAACTGAAATGCTTCTTGTTAAGAGTGTTTGACATTCCAGGCATAGCTAATCCCAATCTCCCTGTTAAAAGTTTTTATTGTCAGACTCTTTCTAACATAACTCTGTATCAGTTTTAGCACTGTATTTTAAGAAAAGAGACAGCATGTTTGGATAACAATATTAACAAATTAATTGACTCACCTTGCGCAAGTCATGTTCTTGTTGGTTTAGTTCTCCACCATACAGAATATGAATTAGATAAGTCACCTATTTCCCAGGGTTATTAAGATGAATTAAATGAATTGTAAAGCACTTTGTATGATTGAAAGTGCAGTAGTTTTCATGTATGCATGTATCAATGAGAGAGAGACAGAGAGATTATATCAAGATGGGGAGGGAATAATTAACTCATTCAATTCTGTTTAGTGGACTTTCTGCTGAATTATAAATGAATACTAAAAACCTAATAGACTGTGCAGATATTTGACTTACCCATTGTGTGTGTGCATGCACACGCATGTGCGTTACATGTTTTAATGAGAAAAGATCTGCTGAAATCAATTCCCCCTCCCAGCAAGTGATTTAAATTAAGGAAATTCAGCATGGTGCCATTAGCCGATTGATCATAGTGAATGTAGAATATTATTACTATACTTCATGCTGTTCAAAATATTCATGCCCTAGCTGTTCAAAATATTCATTACATACTGTTGTAATGAGAAATAACATGATAATGAAGAGGGAACTTGTACATAAAGGAAGAGAGGCAACTTTCTACATTTTTCATAATGAAGGTTTGCTTCTGCATAATGTATTTTGTGGGTATATTTAAATATTTTTGTTCTATTTTTAATATGATTAGGCAAGAAACAGGGAGCAGATAGCATCGGAGCTGAAAATAGTGACGGAAAGGAAGCTGCAAGAAGTGAGTTTGGAGGTGGTACCTAAAGAGAAGGTGTCTGAAGTAGATAAGTTTGTAAGAGATAGGGAGCAGATAGAAGTTCTCATAAGAATGACTAACGTCAAAATATTTATAACTAGAGGAGTTGTAAATAAGTGCTTTGCAAAACTTTTACAGAAAGAAAAAACATTAACTTTTGTATGGAATTAGAGTTCCTGATGTAAACTTAAATGTATTTTACTTACGACTTAATATAATTAAATACATAACATCATTTTCAGCAAGGTTTGGAAACAACCTTCATTCTGTTTTCAGTTTCACTAAATTTTGCTTGCCCTATAAATAGTGAGTTTTAATTCTCCCAAGATTTATCAGAGAGAAATTAAAACAGATGGTGCCATCTCTACTTGAAATCCTTGTTTTGAAATATTGAAAAACTGCTAGCAATGGTTAAAAAAAAGATAATTTGGTAAAAAACAAAGGTGAACATCTGCATTGTTCCCTGAAGCCTTGTGTTATGTTGACCCTTCCTATCATCTAACTTGAGGTGTAGGCATGTTGAGTGATAACTAATGACTAGGAGGAAAAAAAATGTAAACCTGTCATATTGCAATAACTCACTGCTTCAGTAACTCTTTCAGATATCCCTGGAGTGGTCCGAATTGCTTCCCCTCCCTTTCTTTTTCCTTTGGCAGATATAATTGTGACTTATTTGCCAATCCATCCATGAGGTTGTGTTAGTCTTCATAGCGGTAGGATCAGTCTTATGGATAGGAGAGTTAGACCTGTTTCGGAATACAGACTATAACATGAAAGAAAGCAAACCCTGTCATATTTTATCTTTTGGAATGGAAATCAAATATACAGATATGCATTATCTAGAGATGAGAAGACTGACTGTGGCTCATACCTGCTGGAAATGCAAATTGCTATGCTCAAGAGGGAGAATGATTTCTGAATTTTCTGCATTCTTTGCCACTGAAACAAAAGTTCTAAGCAGAAACATTTCCTTTGCTGTTCTTATAAATACTTCTGTAGTTCTTCTTAATGTACTTCTTAATGTCCCTGCAGTTTGGCTGTTTAAATAAGCAAATAAAGTTTTTCCCTGAAAGTTAAGTATGTGCTTTTGTTTGCCAAAGTACATAAAATTTGAGAACTGTGAAGGAGGAGAATCCAAGGTGATGTCTATGAGGAGGCCAACTTAAAAGGATGCTAGCCATCTTTTTTAAAAATAACTACATAGCACTTCTAATGTGCAAAGTGTTTTACAGTTCTTGCGTTATTCCTCCTTTCAATAACCCTTTAGGTGATGAGTGACAGGCATCAAGGTAGGAATTTTAGTTTGTTTATATGCTTACAGGGCTATTTTATATGTGCAAGCTCACCCAAGTACTGTTACTCAAGGCCTCCAATTGGAGCTTTAAATTGGACCTTAATAAGTAATTCGGAAGTCTGGTTCCTGCCTAAATACGAATAGGACTTTGATTTGGTAAAATATTTATGGTGCTGCCTTGCCTTAACCTAGGAAAAGGAAACATCCAGGTCCTCTGTGATGTCTACATAGATTAGTTCTTTATAATTTACATATGTGAGCGTGCTGGGATTTTTGTGTATTTCTTTCAAAATTACTGATGACAGTAACACTGGATTTTGCTTTTCTGCCCTTTGTGACCCTGTCATGCAGTATTCATATTTGTGCCTCAGTTTCTTTGTCCCATCAATTTGCCACCCCCTTTGAAGTCTATAATAGGGAGTGTCCTATAAGGATTAACCATTTCCCCCTATTTTTATTTTCTTATTGAAATGCATGATTCACCTCTCTAAGGTGAGTGATTATACAGAGCTTGGAAACACACTGAAGCTATTAAATGTAGCATTTTAAGAATATGTGCTTTTTGGTTCTCTCCCTCTCTCACACTTGACTAGAACAAGAAGATGAAGAAGCCAGTACTGGGTCACACCTAAAGCTTATAGTAGATGCTTTCCTTCAGCAGCTCCCAAACTGTGTAAATAGAGACTTAATAGACAAGGTACAGTTGCTACTTAATATTTCTTCTTCCTCATATTTACCAAAAGTTATTTGATGTCAGTGTAAACTATTGGAACATAGCCCTCTTGGTGCTACTGTTAAGCCAACAATACTAATATTGTAAGACTTAAATATATGTTATAGTAAAAATGGGTGAAAGTTGGCATAGACAATCTCAAATGAATTTTGTAAAAGTTCAGAAACTGAGATAAAGTGAATGCAAATAGATATGAGTTTGTTGGCACTCTTTGGTATATGTCTAATGAGTGACCATATACTTATGCAAATATTTACAAAATTCTTCTGGCAGTGTTAACAGTAACTTTTACAACTTACAGATGTATAATTATGACTTTATATATCACCTTGCTCTCTTTCTGTATGGCTGCATTCACACAGGAACCCTGCATGATTATCATGGTTTACAGGTTTTTTTAACCATGATCTACCTGATAATCAAGTGGTTTCTACTATATCCTGGTTTCCATCCTCCCTATTCAGTCGTCCCACTGCTAGCATGTATCCCATCAGCCACTGTGCCTGAAATTCAATCCCAAGGTGCATCACTCCCTACTTGTGTCTCCTGACTATTACTTGTTGGTCTGCAAATAGAGGCAGAATGGCTGGAGCAGTTCCTACAGTTGCCATTCTTTGCAGAGGATTCTATAGTAGTTTCATATTGGGACTGTGGAAATCATCATCCTGGATTCAGACAACAGGACAAGTAGAACAAATTGTTGTTTCTTATTATGGTTTTTAAAGACCAAACTAACCATGGTGAAGTACCATTATTGGATTCAGACAGTATAAGAAACCAAAAATGGTAAAAAACAAAAACCCCACCATAGCTTGCTGTGTTGTCTGAATCCAGCCTGCCTCTCTCTCTCTCTCTCTCTCCCCCCCTCTCTCTGTGTGTGCGTGCGTGTGCGCGCGCGCTTGAACAATTATTGTGTATCTAGCAATTATTTCAAACATGTTTTCTATTTCTTCCCAAGTTGAAACTGAGATGAAAAAACATAATTAAACTTTGATAGGATCGCTAGGAGCCAGATATGATAGTTTCATGGGATTGATCTCACCCAGGAGATGCTAGTCGTCCATCCATAATTTAAGAGGGAAGAAACCACTCTTCCTCACAGAGAGAGTGACGTATTTTAAAATTCATTTTAAAATGATCAGTGTATTTTGGGAGAGATGCATACAGTATGAATCCTGTTAAAGTTGTTGCTTCAAAAGTTACACTTGTTTTGAATTAAGATTTAAAGTTTGCTGTTCTTTCCATAGGCTGCCATGGATTTTTGCATGAATATGAACACAAAAGCCAATAGAAGGAAGTTGGTTCGTGCGCTCTTTATAGTTCCTCGGCAAAGGTAACTATATATATGTAAACATTATTTTAAAGGTAATTAATGAGATGCAAAAAAAAAGTACAAATTTGACTTCCCCAAAAGTGCCTAATAGTGGGACTGCAGGACAAGAGCAATAACTGAAAATAGTTGCAAATTCTCTCTTACAGTGAAACATGTGTACTAGGAAAGGCAGACAGAAGCAAAAGCTATTGTCAACCTTTTGCAGAATGCAATCCAGCACAAAAAAGGGTGTATGACATGACCCAGTTAATAAAAAAAAATGTGAATATACATTTTTATGTTTGTCAATCAAACTTAAATAGCATCTATGAAGGTGGTTACTATGTAGTTTTCATAGTTTGGGCCTACAAGTACCTGAATTCATTTATAATGCAAATGTTAACTCTCAGTAAAAAAAAATAATACCAGGGGTGCCAAAAATGTATACACATTTTAAGAGATGTTATTACTTTTCGAAGTTGAATAGAATTACAGTAGCAATGTGTAGTATGCTGTTCGCGCCAAAGATGGCGTTAATCGAATGAATGCTAGCGTCATCATGCAACAAGCAGGACGGTCAGAGAAAATGGCAGAACGGTATGTGCAGCTATACAGGTCGACACTTTGGTCAACATTGCTCAAGCAGTAGTTCGCCATAATGAGAAGTGTCTGGATGCTGTTGGTAACCACTCTGAGCTCCGCTTTGTAATTGCAGAAGTCAAACGTGACATGTATTCATCTTTTGTTATTGGTGTATACTGAATATTGCCATTTTAATACAATTTTTTCCTTTCTTAAATTGTGTATACTTTTTTTGGTATTCTCTGTATGTAGCCAGGCAAATTGTAAAAATGGGTAAAACAAATAAAATAAAAGGCGCTCAGGAGAGAAACTGTTGCTCCATTGCCATCCTGGCTGCACCTCCCCAACTCTCAGAATGTGGATGCCTGGCAGGCATGGAAGTTGGGTCTCACAAGAGGAGAGCCACATTGGTTTAAGGCCATGTAGCCTATCTAAATCTGGACAAGGAATCTAGCACAAAGTGCTGTGGATAGATTTTCTTCGTCATTGTGGATATTGCAGAACCTGTGGTCTGATGGGGGTATTTCTATACTGTCTGTTCTTAATGTTTAACTTTATCATTGGAATCCAAAGCATTTATACTTATATTTGGGATAAAACTGATAGTTCTTTTAGCTGCTTATGCTAGTAAACCCTGTCCCCATAACTTTTACAACTCACAATCTCATTGCAAGGAATGGATTCAGTTATATTGCTTTGTGTTTTGTAATTAAGTCTTCAACATTGTCATTGTACTCTTTCTTTCACATAAGTGTCAGAGATTCTTCCATAAATGGTGCAAGAATGGGTCCTGCCTAATAGATAAACATAAGTAGTAATAGTGTGCAACAGAGTGCTGTTTCACCTTTGTAAGATGTAGTAGTATCTACCAACTACATACTGTTGTTGAGTAAGACCTGTTTATTTTAGTGTGCTTACTATTTTGCAGGTCAGAAAATAATCTAGGTTGTTTATGCCTTAGCAGAGTGTACCTATACTATGTGAACATTGACATTTTACTGATGGAATCTAAGGCTTTTAATACTGAGTAGGTAGATGAGATCTCACAGTTTTCTCCCATGCCCAGTGTGTAGTTCTGTATAATCACAGAAATTTAGGCAAGCTTGGTCTGTGTGTAAGTAAAAGCTACAAGGTACATGCATTTGATATATTTATTCACTTAATAAAAAGAGTTGGAGAGTAATGCTACTTCTCATAATATAAATATTTACATGGGTGTAACCTTTTTGTTTGTAGGCTGGATTTGCTGCCCTTTTATGCAAGGCTGGTTGGCACATTGCACCCTTGTATGTCTGATGTAGCAGAAGATCTCTGTTCCATGTTGAAAGGCGACTTCAGATTTCATGTATGTGTTTTCATTCTGTACATTATGGATTCATTTTTAATGTTTCCACAAAATCTCTTACAAATCTATTAAAAGTCAACAAAGCTGATATTGTCATAATATAGCAGTGCTTTTTATCTAATATGTTTGATACAGGTAGTGAGAAGTTTGCAAGGCATCACCCCATGAAGCATAAAGCATAAATTTGCAAGCAGACATAACATTTCAGAACTTACAAGTGAATTGGTTTCTTTCTGATGTTGATCTCCAGAGTATCCAAACACATGGTATCTTTTGTTACCCACATTGGAGTTTGCATATGACAGTGATTCTTAAATTGCGGTCTGGAGATCACCATAGGTCTTTGAAACCACAATGAAAACAATGGGAGAAACAGGTAGATTTTTAGTCATGATTTTTTGTTTCTTGTTTGCAGAAGAGGCAACCACTTTAAATAGCAGGACTCTTCAGCAGTACATTTGACTACAGTGTCCCTCTCCCCACATTCTTACTCATTGGATCACTGCTGCAAAGCTCATGTGTGGCAGCTGCAGTTTTAATTTGGAATTTTTTCAGGCATTTTTCTGCATTCTGTCTAAAAAAGGGAGAAAAAAAGGAAAGATTAATCTTCAAACTGTACTCCAAAACAGTAAGGGTTTATTAACCCATATGAATTGTCAGATGTTTCAGTCTTTTTTAAAAGTCTTCAGGGTCATTGTAAATTATTATTTATTTTAATAAATAAAATGTTAAAATGAATACAAAGTACTAAAGTGAATCAATAAATACCTGTCATGAGGTAATAAATATAGATTGTGTAATCCTACATGAATTCTGAATATGTAATACTCAAACATGCATCCTCCATAAATTTTAATAGTAATCTCAATTCAAAAGCATACAAAAATAAACAGCAATGTAATAAAAATATATCTAATCTCAGGTGAATCGCTCTTAATTGTAACAGTTCTGGCCGCTTTAATTTTTTCTAGAACTTCTTTAGTTGATAAAACCTTTTACATTTCATTATTGGTACAGAGAGAATGACAAGATCAGAGTAAACTAAAGTGCTCAGAACTACAGTTTCACAATTAATGGAAAGCAATCTCTCAGTGATGTGAGAAGCATGAAAGAGAACATAAATGAGAAGACAGGATAAAAAGTTATTTGTTTGAACAAAGTTTTATTATGAAAACTAGCTGCTGTGGGATTCTAGAAATCATGTTTATTACAGTCCATATTTAGACATATTTCATTAAATCAGATATAAGTGATGCAGAAATTGGCTTTCTTGGAAAGTTTTCACAGGAAATTTTTAAAAAGTGAAAAGGTAGCTTTGCTTCTGGCTTTTAAGCATAGGGGAATGGTGAATCTACCAATTAAACCTAGAATCCACTCTTGGTAAGAGATTGTACCATATTAACTTTGTGTATAAATGTAGCTATTGGCCTGGACTCAGAGAGATTTTGGTAGTCCCAGTGGGCTGGCTTAATTAGTTTAAGCACCCTCATGCTGTATCATAAACTGCCTTTGAAAATTCTCTCAGCCTCTGCATAATATGGAGAGCTGCTTCTAATGAAACATGAGCCCAAAGGCCCTGGGGCATATGGAACTAGTTACACAGTTCTTTGGATCCTGGCCATTGTGTTTCAATATCGAGCCTTTAAAACGTGTGTTAAAATTAGTTCCCTGATGCCATCATTTATTTGCGCTTGAGTGGAGGTGCAGAAATTATTTTGGCTTCTGTAGTTCATCATGCTTGAAATCTGGTACCAGCAACAAAAATCCAGAAATGTCAACTTTCACAAACAAGTGTGATTCTTATGCTTGGGAATATGTTAGAGAGTAGCAGTGTGTTCGCTCACTCAACAAAACAACAACAACATCCAAAACACCCGTATGTAGTATTTGCAAAAGGTGAGAAGGTGGGTTTTAAGAAACTCAGATTTATGTGTCCTACAGTGCTGCTCTTCTTTCAGTATTTTCTAATTAAGTATCTGCTTCCATCTGCTCCTTCTGCCCTGTCATTATCTCTGGCAGAACAAAAAACCCCAGGGGTTATATCCTACAATATATTGTTGAATTTTTCTTACCTTTTGTTTGTGGAAGATGCTCTGTCCTAGTGGAGGGTTCTGCTAATGACAGAGTTACTGAGGCTGTAGTGGAAGTGTCCCTACCTACAAAAATGTGGAGAGTGTAATTTGCAGAAATCATCAAGACACCCCTCCTCTCCTCCCATTAGCAGAGGCGTGTTCATAGATATTAAAATGTTCATTTGTCATACCTGGAAAGTAAATCTTCCTACGTTCCCTTCTTCAGGTAAGGAAGAAGGATCAGATTAACATTGAAACAAAGAACAAAACTGTTCGGTTTATTGGTGAGCTTGCGAAGTTCAAAATGTTCTCCAAAAGTGACACTCTGCATTGCTTAAAGGTTAGTGCTTATATGTACTGCTCATTATTGGTTCATGGCCTTTATTTTTTTTCCTGGCATACTCAGAGGCATACTATGCAGAAATGTGTTTGAATATAATTAGATTATTTATAGAACTGCATTATCATCTTTTAAAAAATGAATTAAGAATTGTCAGGGTAAACTGGAATGACTCTTTATAATGGACTTTGTAACAATGATTCCTGTTTTAAGGATTCTTCTGTTTTGCTTCTAATAGAAAAACTTACTTTGGATGCAGCACAAAACGTTATAAGAATATCTTACATTAAACAAGTGTTTCAGTATAAAAGACATTTTAAATGTAACTTATATTTCTGCAGATGCTTTTGTCTGATTTTTCTCATCACCATATTGAAATGGCATGTACTTTATTGGAGACTTGTGGTAGATTCCTCTTCAGATCACCAGAATCCCATTTAAGAACCAGTGTCCTTTTGGTAAGAATAATTTTCTTAAAAGAACCATTTCAAAATCATGGTTACAATTTCATTGTTTTTTGCAGTCTCTGTGACTCACGCTATGGGTTTATGTATCTTTGCAGAACAAAATTAGATGTTGTTCTAGAGCTCAGTAGCTTTTTGGTAGAAGCCCAACCAGTTTCTTGTTGTACCTTGGTTCCTTCTTCTGTGACATGCAGCAGTTTGGAACACACAACCTCAAATCAAAGTTTATTTTCTTTTCCTTCATTGTTCTTCGCTCCACTGAGACAAACTACTAGAGCTCCCCTTTCTCTCCCTGTTGCTTTCATGGAAACATAGAAACAGAGTGAGTTAGAAGGGGTCTCCTGGGCCATCTAGTCTGACCCCCGGCTCCAACCAGCTCCGCTCACAGCATGCCTACCATGTGCATGTCCAGCCTATCTTTGAACACCCTCACCAATGGGGCGTCAGCCACCTCCCATGGAAGCCAATTCCATACCCTCGGGGTCCTAACTGTCAGGAAGTGCTTCCTGGCATCTAAATGAAACCTTGGTTCCCTGAGCTTTGCTCCGACCTGTGTGTCGCCAACATATCCCCTCTGAGTCTCCTCTACTCCAGGCTGAAGAGACCCAGTTCACTCAGTCTCGCCTCATACCCCAGCCCCTGCAAACCGGCCACCAACCTTGTGGACCTGCTCTGCCTCTAGCTTGGCTATATCCTTACTGTAATGAGGGGCTCAAAACTGAGCACAGTACTCCAGTTGCAGGCACACCAGAGTCGTATAGAGTGGTAGTAATACCTCTCAATCTAGAAGTCACACTTCTCACTATGCAACCAAGGGTGACATTCGCCTTCTTGACCATCGCATCACACTGCTGACTCATGTTTAGCCTGCAGTCAGCCAGTACCCCGAGGTCCCTTTCACAAATGCTGCTCTCCAGCCACTTGTCCCCTAACCTGTACTTAAGACACCTATTCCTATGCCCCAAGTGCAAAACCTTGCACTTATCCACATTGAATGCCATCCTGTTGTCTCCTGCCCACTTCCATAGTCTGTCCAGATCCTTTTGAATCTGGAGTACCTGCTCCTCAGTTGTGGCCACTGCTCCAGTTTTAGTATTGTCTGCGAATATGATCAGCAGACTGTTCACCACTTCTTCCATGTCATTTATGAAAAGATTAAACAGGATCGGCCCCAGGACAGAGCCCTGGGGGACCCCGCTTGTCACTGGTCGCTATCCCAATGATTCTCCACTAATGGTTACCCTCTGCTTTCGGTCAGCCAACCATGCCCTAATCCATCAGACAGTGCTTTGGTGTATTCCAAAACTCCTCAGTTTCTCCACCAGGCTATCATGGGGCACTTTGTCAAAGGTTTTGCTGAAATCCAGGTATACCACATCCACTGCATCCCCTCCATCCAGCCATCTCGAAACCTTGTCGTAGAATTCCACAAGGTTTTCTGGCAGGACCTGTTTTTGCGGAAGCCGTGTTGTGTGGCTGCCAGCCTCCCTTCCCTATCTAGCATTACTAGATTTCTCTCTGGTATGAACCTTTCCATTGTTTTTCCTACAATGGACGTAAGGCTAACAGGTCTGTAATTCCCCATGTCCCTTCTACTACCCTTTTTGAAAACTGGGACCACTGATGCCACCCTCCAGTCCTCTGGAACTTCACCCATTGTCCATGAGGCCTCAAAAGTGAAGGCCAGCAGGTGTGAGAGAACCCCTGCCAACTCTCTAAGTACTCTCGGGTGTAACCCGTCAGGGCCTGGCACCTTTGTAATGTCCAATGCCCTGAGGAGCCCCTCAACTTCAGGGGGGGTGACTCTAATCTGTGCCCCTAAGTCCCCAGCCTCATCTAATTTCCTATGCGGATCTCCCCCGTCCTGCTTTGGGGAGAACACAGAGGCAAAATAGTCATTTAGCATCTGTGCCTGCTCCCTCATATCAGTCACTGGATCTCCTTCCTCCTTATTTAGTGGTCCCACTACTTGTCTCCCCTTCCTCTTCCTCTTTACATGCTGAAAGAAGCCCTTTTTGTTGCTCTTTATATTCTTGGCAAGTCTCAGCTCATAATCAGCCATAGCGTGGCGAAGAATCCTTCTGCAACGGGCCTTCTCCTCCCAGTATATCCTTTTGTCTATTTGCCTCAGTACCCATTTCCTATGGAGGTTCCTCTTTTGTCTAATCCCTCTAATCACCTCCTTTCGCATCCATGGCAGTGCTCTCCTCCGCCTCCCCATTTACTAACTAGAGGTATCGTCAAGGCTTGCGCCTCCAAAACTTCCCTTTTGAGTGCCATCCACCCCTCCTCAACTCGCTTGCCTTGTGTTCACTGGATTTTTCCATTTCTCTTTTGCCCCTTAGAGGCACATGGCCCCCAAGGCCTTCTTCAAAAATGCTTCTGCTGCAGTAGGAAAACTCTTTTGTCAGATGTGCTTTCTGAGTGTCTTCTGTGTCTTGAAGAAATGTGTAGGGCAGACTCCTGTACCCATTGCAACATTTTTGCTAAACAGGCGAGGAGGAATAGTTCAGTCTGTCTCTGTGCTCTCTTCTGGGAGCAGGGACTAAAGGCCTGTAAGCTGCACTGATTAGGCTCTTATGTACTCCCTCATCTACTTAATGGTCCACCACCTCCCTCTGCTGCCATACTCATGGAGCGTGCAGCCGCAGACCCAGCTCCCTTGGTTGCACCCAGATGTACAGTACTGACACCTGCAGCTTTCTTCCTGGATCAGTGGCTTGGAACTGGCCCTTTGATGGCCATAGTTGATATTGAGCAAAGCAAAACAGCCTGATCAAATCACCCCATGACTACTTGGACTGCAGGGCTGAAAACAAAGCAGAAGTTGGATTGAGTCCAATATCTTGCTAAAGCTTCTCTAGCCCTGACTCAACCACTAAGACCATTGATCTCACAACCTTTCTCACGCCCTCCAGTGCTAGCACTAGAAAAATTTCTCATCCATGATTAATATAATTAACAGGATGCTCTCTAATGCTTTGGTGCCACCCTTGCGACTTTTCTTGCTACCACTCACCAGGGCACCAATCTTCTTGCAGATATTAATCCCCTTAGTGCCAGTGACCCTCACTGACACCTACTGCATCCTCAGGAAGGTTTCTCTATCATCATTTATTTATTTTATTTATTTAAAACATTTCTATGCCGCCCCATTCGCCGAAGCCTCAGGGCGGCTCACAACATAAAATTAAAATATAAAACATTCAAATATACAATAAATTAACAATATAAAATAAGTTGCCCTGGCCAGATAATATAAGCAAATAATATTAACAATTAAAATGACGTTTAAATAAAAAGGTCTTCACCTGGCACTGAAAAACAAATAACGACGGCGCCAGGCGGACCTCTCTGGGGAGCGCATTCCATAGATTGGGCACCACCGCAGAAAAAGCCCTCCTCTGAGTACCTACCCTCCTAATTTCTTTCACGGAGGGTTCTCGGAGAAGGGCCTCTCCCGCAGATCTCAAGGGGCGGGCAGGCGTATATGGATGTAAGTGCTCCTTCAGGTAACCAGGACCCAAGCC